TATATAAAGAGTATAGGACAAATATACCTCTCGTAATCTTATAAAGGTACTACTAGTAGTATAGAATACTAGGAGTAGCGCGGCGCGCTAGTAGTAAGTTCGTAGATATAGCGCTTATAGTAGACTTACGCTTAGGCGCTATAATATTATTACTAAAGTTGTTTTTATTAAAGTTCTTACTACTAAGCTATATTATAAGAAGTTCGATAGTATATCGAGTACGAGGAGTATACGACGCTATACCTAGAGTTTTATATAGCTATATTACCTATAGTAATATATTTTAGATATCGATAAGCTAGAAATTCGGATTAGGAAGGAACGCTTTTTATATTCGATTTAAACACTTATCGACTAGGCTACTACCTCTATTCGCTAGTAGATAAAGGAAACATTTAATATATATACCTTTAGATAGCGCTTTTATATAATCGCCTAATATAGAAGGAGTAGGTATATCCCTATAAAAAAGCCCCTATCTCTCTATATCTATAAGGTACTATCTTACGACTTATAGGCGATACGTAAAGTATATATATATATAGTTAAACGGAAACCCGAAAATAGGTACTTATCGCTCTAACCTAGAACGACTCTAAACGAACTAAGCGACTCTCTTCCCTACGACGATAATATAGTATATAAGTAATTTAGAAACGAGCTAGAGTTAGCTCTCTCTAGAGAGGGAGGTAATTATAAAGGAATACTAAGAGATATTTAGAAACCTAAAAAGGACCGAGGTAAACCTTCCTTACGTAATAGTATATATAATTCCCTAGTACGTATTTTATACTCGCTATATACGAGAATAGAGAAGGTAGAAGTTTATTCTACGCTTAACCTAGTACTAGGTTAATTAGAGTTCTATATATTACTATAACCCCCTATTATAAGTAGTACTAAAGAAGAAGCTTAGAGCTAAGTTTATTAGACTCTATAAGATTCTAGATATAGTCGGTAAGTAGATATACTACCTAGCGCTTCTATTAGATATAAAAGTATATAATATCTTTTACGTTTTTTTACTCGAACTCTAGAAAGAAAAAGAAGATAAGTAGATAGATAGTATATTTCTTATTAATAAAGAAGGTAAATAGAAAGTAGAAGCTATTTTAGATATATAGAAGAAGAAAGGCAAATAGTAGTACTTAGTAAAGTAGAAAGACTAGGCTAAAGACTATAATAGCTAGGAATAGGAAAAAGGCTATAGAAATATAGAAGAAAATATCGCTATATACTAGTTATATACGAAGTATAAGATATCTATATAAAAGGGGAATAGAAAGAGGTAAAAGAAATAAGACTAAACTAGGTTAAACTTCTTAAATTTGCCTCGAGTCTATTAAGAGATAGAAGAAAGAATATCTATAAAATCCCTTATATATAAACTATACAAAAATAGTATCTAAAGACCCTACTTATTACTACTATTAAGAGTCTAGTCTATAGTATCTATATCTAGATCTACCTAAGCTATAAACTATAAAAGAAGTTAGTAAGACGACTTAAGAGCTTCGTATATAATATATATCTAACGAGCTACTTTAGTAAAACTAGTAAGAGAGCGATCGATACTCTAAAGAGCCTCTAGCTTAGTATACTTAATACTACTACTTAGGAAGAATATAGGTATCTTACTTATACTATATATAGAAGTATTACCTATATACTTAGATATATTAGAGGAATACTACTTTAAGTTAGACTTAAAAGTAGCGATAGTATTATAAATAGCCTACTAGATACTAACGACTAGTATATAAGGTTAGTAAAGGAAATTAGTAAAAAAGAAAATTCTATCTACTAACCTTTATTATTCTTCTTATCGTCGCTCTCGATATTATTACCTATAGTAAGTATATATATATCGCGCGTAGTAACTATAGTACTCTAAAGAGTATATAGACTAGTATCGCGAACCTCGATATAACCGTAATAAGAGATAGTATAATAACTATACTTTTTACTTAAAGGACTAAAGTAAGTATTATACTTATTATCGCTATTTAGTAATTTACCGTCTAAAGAGAGTTAGTATTAAAGTATATATAAAGAGTATAGGATAAATATACCTCTCGTAATTTTATAAAGTACTACTCTATAACTTATAAGTAATATATAAAGTATATATATATATAGTCAAATAGAAACTTAAAAATAGATACTTATTACTTTAACTTAGAACGACTTTAAACAAACTAAGCGACTCTCTTCCCTATAATAATAATATAGTATATAGGCGATTTAGAAACGAGCTAGAGTTAGCTCTCCCTAAAGAGGGAGATAATTATAAAAGAATACTAAAAGATATTTAGAAACTTAAGAAAGATCGAGGTAAACCTTCCCTATATAATAGTATATATAATTCTCTAGTATATATTTTATACTCGCTATATATAAGAATAGAGAAAGTAGAAGTTTATTCTATACTTAATCTAGTACTAGGTTAATTAGAGTTCTATATATTACTATAACCCCCTATTATATAAGTATAAAGTAGTCTTTTATATTATTAAACTAGTCTCTTTAATTCTCTCTTTTTAAGATAGCTATAGGCCTCTTTACTATTCCTTAATCTAAATCTATAATTTTTTCTTAAAATAAAATAAAAATAGTCTTTTTCTAGTTTCTAGTTCTAAAGTAAAATACTTCCTAGTAGTTTAGTATATTTAGATACTTTCTCTAAATAGAGCTCTACTCTAAAGAGCCTATAACTAAAGTATAGTAGTTTTATAAAGGTATCTACTTCTTTTATAACTTCTTTTATTTTTCTAATAATACTTTCTCTAAACTAGAATCTTCCTAAAAGAGCTTATAACTTTATATATTAGTTATAATCTTTATAACTTTAATAAGTCCTTCTAGGGCTAAAATATATTTTTATTTTCTAGAGATATAATATATAGAGTTTTAACTTATATTACTTTCCTTTTCTACTTCTCTTTTAAAGTCTAATAAGTATAGGAATAACCTATACTACTAGAATTCTTAAAGTAGTTAGACTACTAACCTAGGCTTATAACCTATTAAGCTAAAACTACTCTATAAAGTTTATATAAGTATTAAATATAGTAGAAGTAACTAAATTAATAAATAATAGTAGGAACTAACTTAAATATAATTATATTAGTTAGTTATAGAAAGTAGGAGGACTAAAGAGAGGTAAGCTCCCCTTAGTTATATAACTCTTAGTATTAATACTTTAGGTATCTATTTTAGCTTATCTATCTAGACTATACTATCTAATAGTATATAGTAATTAGTAAATTTTTTTTATTATAAATGATTGTACCTTACAAGAATATAGACAAGCAAAATTAGGTTCAAATTAGCGTAATAGCAATTTCTAGTTTAGGTATAGTATTAAACACAAACTAGTACAGACCGAGAGAACGAAGTTCAAGATCTCTCGCTCGAGTGCTGAAGACACTAATACGATCACAACATCCTTGAAAATGTCAACACCGACTGTGGCCATCGAACGGAAGCAAGAGATCGAAGAATATATCCTCGAGACCATTGACGCCATTGTAGACCACGTCAACCGGCGCGCCTGGACGCAAGACTCCAACTCAGGTACCTCGGATGAGTCTCGTCTGGAATCGATTCACCTCGAACTTCAACGCACAGCCAGAGTACCTTGCTACGGCAACGGCCAACGACGTCAAGCAGACTCTGATACTCGAGAAGAGCATCGAGGATTCTAAACTATCTGTTGTCGGTTGCTCTAAGAGCCTACAAAATCTTTTCCGCCAGTTCATTAGCGCATATCCTAGCTACCGCTTGAGGGTGACTGATGTGAGCACGAGGGTCCATGAAGATGCCGGCTGGGCGATTTCATACGTGGGTATGGAGACAGCGGACATGCCGCCGGGTGTTGTGAGAGGCAGTATGGGTATTTTCGAGTGGAAAGTTGTGGAGCGAAATTGGTTACTCGACAAGTACAGAGGGATACTCGGCAACATGTGAAGTCAGCATAGGGTCAAAGCTGGGCAAAGCGCTTGTTTTCACGGCGAGAAGTGTACACCTGGGGTATATTTTCTAACAGCACATCCTCTCTCTACTTCACAGCTGGCAAGATGCTGTCTCTGTAGAATGCAACCATTTGGTGCGAACAGTCCAGTCAAAGGTTAATGGGTCCGACTCAAAGATGTGGTTCAGACTCTACGAAAATCAACAGTCGTGGGAGGATTCCTGCCGCCACTGAGGAGTTGGAGGTGGGGTCCGCTTCAGCCTCAATCTCGGTCGGAAGGTGACCCGACCGATGCTTGTTTAAGGTAAATGGTGCCTGGCCTTTCAGCTCGCTTAAGGAGGTCTTGTTGCCGTAGAGAGCTTTTTGTCATGACCTGCATACTACAGTACATCGGCAATTCTCAGCTCTGGGCATGTCGCTTGCTACTAGCGCTAAAGCATTAAGACAACGCAGCACGAGTCAACCCTACATGGTCCGAATTGTTTGAAGGAATCGTGCGAAAATGGTGAGGTGCAGTGGCTTGTTGATAAAGGTTGCAGGTCATGACCAATAGCTCAACATTCTGTGTTCTCATTCTCAGATTAACAAGAGCGCCGCTTGATTACGATGCATCCTTGGCTCGTCCGAGTGTGCCTTTTCCTTTTCCCCATCAAAGAGTCCCGTTTGAAGCGCGACCGTCAGCTGCGAGTCTTAGCCCTTGGTCTACCCCGTACTGGAACCGACTCCCTTCGGCAGGCCTTGATTGATCTCGGATTCGATGGCGTTCATCATGGTTTTCGCATGGCAAGCAATCGGTCCGAAACTCCTCAATGGGTGCGACTTGCGTATGCGTAGGCTATCAACGACGCTCGTGGTCTAAGCGCTGGGCAATTTGACAGAGTTCTCGGGAACTGTGAGGCTGCGACTGACGTACCCTCGGCTGCATTTGCGACCGAGTTGCTGTGTGCGTACCCAGAGGCGAAGGTCATCGTCAACTATCGAGACGACATGTCCGCTTGGCGTCGAAGTGTACTTGACTCTATAGAAAAATTTCTGGACGATCAAGATGCGAACTGGTGGAAGTGGAGCTTACAGTTCTTTGATCCCGACATTTTTTGGGCAAGAAGAGTTCACTGGTGGTTGTGGCGGAGACTCTTTGATGGATCCTTCCATCAAGATGGAACGGATTTCTACCAAGAGCATTACCGGCGAATTGAAGATGTTCTGATAAGTCAAGGTCGGCCTTATCTGAAATGGAAAGTCCAAGACGGATGGTGAGTGAAGCGAATAGAAGCACGCACTAGCGACTGCTCGTTCATGCTTACTTTGTACGGGTAGGGCAAGCCTTTGCGACTTTCTTGAAATGGATACACCCATGGGGACCTTTCCTTGTGGTAACGGGCCGACCGATTTCGAGGCCAGGAATTTATTGCTACAGAAGCAAAGCCTCGAAAACGCTCAACAGAAAGCACGAGCCTGCATTGCATTGCTCATAACGGCAGGGGGCTTCATCGCTGCTTTTGCAGCACATCACATCGGTGACAAGTACTACAGAGCGCTGTGAACAACATGAGGACGTTGAGGACGATTGCAGCGGACCTCGTGTATACCAGGGCTAAATAAGTAAGAGCTAGTAGTGTTGCGAGGAAAGGCCCGGGACAAACAACGAGCATTTTCCACTAACGGCAGGTGCTGAGGCTATCTCATATATAAGTCTTCATCCACGTCGTCCGCTGATTCCGTTCTTTCCCAAATCTCCCACACGCTTACGATGAACTACATGCTCCTCGAGGTCTTCGACGTTAGCGAGCAGCCTATCTCGATTAATATTTCGAAGGTTGTGGTTGTGCTCCTCGCCGCCCACTTTATTCACATCGGGTTATGGGCTCCAACATCACCTCATGGATTTTGCGAAGCTTTCGGAGGGCTACGGTTCGATGGGCGGCCAGCACGGCGCATGCAACGCGACTACAAAACTGAAATCGCAGAGGCAGAAGGCCTCACTCAGAACTACTGGCCAATTCTCTACGCCTCTAGGGAAATCGGTTACGGCATCGGGATTCTGGTCCTCGCCGCACTCGGGGAATGGAACGTGCTCGGCATATTCACTGCTATTATTGCCGGGGTTCTAGCTACTACGGACGCCTGGGTAGCTATTTATTTTGGGTCTCAGGGTTGGAGATGGGCTTTGTGCAGTCACCTGTTACCATCTGCTGTCCTTGCATACATTGCCGTTGTTTTAATTCGGAGCTAGGAGGAGTCATAAGCAATGGTTTGAGGGGACTACTGTCCGTTAGAGCATAGCTCGCAACCTCTTTGACCTGAGGCGACGAGTACCATTACGAGGTGGATACCTTTCCGACGATGGGTGGCGACAGCGACTTAGACAGAGGCGGGGTTTCCGGCATGTTTGGAAGGCTTTGTCTAACAGGCAGGGCGGCTTGCAGACACGCTTCAAGCACGTCTCGTTTTCGTCAAGACAAAGAACGGCGCATATTATAATAGAAGCAGGACCGCGTTATTGACTACGGCATCTCCTATATTCGCCTTCGTCTGCTCGGTATTATTGTTATCATCTTCACCGCTAGCGAGTACAGTTAACTCATTCCAACTAGCCACAAGGCGAAACCGTCCAGTGTCCCGCGTCGAATCTCAAGCGATGGCCTTCTCAGCACCTTGAAATTCCATTCAACGTAGTCCACTCCTATCGGCCTCAAGCATCAGACCAAGCTTGGCGAGGGACGGCCGGCTATTTGCATTGCCAAGAATGGTGACTTGGCTTTTTCCACCATTTGCTGGTGAGCAGCGCAGAAGCATCGTGCGCAATTGACCCACACTGAAAAACTCGGCGAGGTTATGTAGAATTGGTCCACGATCGATGCCTTTCAACTCGCGCCGGACAATGTGCGACATCGTTCCAAGGTGCGATTTGGGACCGGGCTGCAAAGCCCCACTGGCTCATTGTTCAACAAAATGTCCTGCTCCAAGCCATCGTTCAAGCTATGCCCGAGACTTTTCTGAAAAATCCAGAGGGTGAGTTTGCCAACAGGATCTTGCATCAAAGCGCGGCGGTCCGGCACCGTGACGAATTTTTCTGAGCCATTCGAAATCAGCCATACGCCGTACAGAGAGCTATATTCCAGGGTCAACAATGACGAGGCTGCGATCCGAGCATCCCCCCTTCACAGCAGGCTTTGCTTTCCTTCGCCGGCCAATGTAACAAGCAGAATCTGCACTGCGTCGGGCTCGAGAGCCTCCGCAAGAGCATATGAAAGCTGCAGTGAGCCACTGACAAGGCCCAACCATCTGTAAAAATGCGTTCAAAGCAGAGAACCAGCATGCAGCATCTCAATTGCCAACTAATTGCGTGACGTGAAGCGATCGAGTTGAGTTGCCACATGTTCAAGTCTTCCATCGATGACAGGCGCAGGAATGTAGAGCTTGTGCAGTATTCAGGTGGTCAAATATAAATCAGTTCCGAATTTTGAATTTCAGTTCTCAAGAAGTCGGATTGCCATAGTACCGGTGAAGATTTGGAGGCCGTTATTTGTAGAAGAAATGCGGCCTGAGAAAACCTTGTTCGAGCCTCGGGACTCGATCTAACGGTGTTCCTGCCTCAGGCACTAGCTCCAGTTATTAGGAGTAAACTATAAACTTAGAAAGTATAGATGTATAGTCCCTTATTAATATTTATTAGCTTAATATAGCTTACTAATATATGTAGTAGGAAGTAAGGTGGTAAGTAGCTTTCATTTAAGTCCTCTAAGATGAGGTCGAAAACCTAGATATTAAAGGTATTGGGCTAGCTAATGTAGTCTAGTGCTATGAACAGGCCACGGTCTTGGCAGGGACCACCTGCAGTCGAGTGAATGTTTGAGCTCGCAACGTGGCCTCGACATCATCCAGCAGCTGGCTGCCATTGAAGCGAGGAGAGCTTCACTCCACCCCTCAGCAACGATGGGAAACCTTTGGAGCTTCGGTGCTCTGCTTGTCGCTGGGCTTGCGGCAGTTGCAGCAGCAGATGACAGCTCCGTCTTCTCGAAAGCATCAAACGACAGCTTGCTCTGGGGCCCGTACCGACCCAACCTTTACTTCGGCGTTCGACCTCGATTACCAAAAAGTGTGCTCACTGGATTGCTATGGTCTCGTGTCGAAGACTTCGTTTCCGTCCAGGGCAATACTCGATATACGTGCGAGCAACATGAAGGAATGGCAGGATATGGCTGGGATGCCTACGATGCAAGAACGGGTGGTGTACAAGTCGTACATGATAAGGGCAATGGTCTAGACTTGGAGACGAGCTTCGTCAAGTTTGATGAGGGAAGAGGAGGCTGGGGTGCAAGAATAAAGGGCACTCCAAGAGACGACGTTGAGCCTGTGCCAAATGTTCAGTACGCCAATGGAGGTGACAACTTGAAAACGGCTGTGTGGTTCACTGTGGGTGCTGAAGGCCTTGGGAGCGTACAACCGCAAGATGCAGAAGCAGCTGAGGAGTCTGGCTACACTGAGGATGTGATACTTGATGGCCAGACGAGTGATCTCGGTGACTTCAAGATCACAATCACAGAGTCGAAAGAGAACAGCCACCCTACCACATCACATCCTTCGTATCAGAACAAGCCATTAGACCACACCTTTGTGCATTCTATCCAGACCCCAGAAGAAGCTCTCTGGCAAGCCAAGGGTAAGTCAAGTCACAGCCCATTCTAGACTCTCTTGTTCTTTCGTCTGACGATTTCGTACCACAGCCCTTCTCTTCAGCTCCATGAAGTCTTCCATTGATGAATACATTGAGGAATACACCCAAGAGAAGATGCCCCCGCCATGGCAGACATACACGATCCAGAACTTGCCAGGTCAAGGCAACTTCCACATGATTCAGAAAGTCTTTGAGGGACCCTTCGAGTTCGACATCCTATTCACACCCGCTTCATCTACCCCGAAGAAGTCCGAAGATCTGACCAATGCGATCAAAGCTGTCACGAAGTCGTTCGATGAGAAGTATCTGGAAGTGCACAAGCCCCTGGCACCATTCAAAGACAACAAGTATCTGGGCTTCAGCAAGTCTCTCTTCAGCAATTTGTACGGCGGTATTGGTTACTTCTATGGCGACCAGGTCATCGACCGATCTTATGCTCCCGAGTACGAAGAGGAGAATGAAGGCTTCTGGCAAGAAGCTGAGGAAGCTCGAGGACGCAACCAGCAGAAGCTCGAAGGACCGTACGAGCTTTACACCTCGATCCCGTCGAGGCCATTCTTCCCACGTGGGTTCCTTTGGGACGAGGGTTTCCATCTCTTGCCGATCTTGGACTGGGACGCTGAGGTGGTTATGCAAATCTTGAGCTCGTGGTTCAACACGATGGATGAGGACGGCTGGATACCACGAGAGCAGATCTTGGGGCATGAAGCACGTAGCAAGGTGCCACAAGAGTTCCAAGTTCAGTACCCGCACTATGCGAACCCGCCAACTCTCTTCATGGTGATCGAGGCTCTACTGGACAAGATTGAAGGCAAGGCCGGGTCTGGTGCAGCTCTGAGCCAGCAGACATTGGGTAACATCGCTGGCAACGTGCTTGCAACACCTGACTCTGTCAAGGCGTGGTTGAAGCAGCTGTACCCGCTTCTGCAACGCAACTTCGACTGGTACCGGCGCACGCAGTGGGGAGATCTGAAGTGCTATGACAGAGAAGCGTTCAGCTCGAAGGAGGCGTACCGATGGCGTGGCAGGACTCCCCGACACATTCTCACTTCTGGACTTGACGACTACCCGCGTGCGCAACCGCCTCACCCTGGCGAGCTTCATGTCGATCTCATGAGCTGGATGGGGTTGATGAGTCGCAACATCCACCGGGTTGCTAGCTTCCTGGGCGAGAGTGACGACGAAGCTAAGTACGCGAAGATTGCAGAAGCGATTCGACGCAATGTGGACGATCTGCATTGGTCAAAAGAGCACAAGACTTACTGCGACGCAACTGTTGATGATTACGAGGAAAGCGTGCACGTGTGCCACAAGGGCTACATTAGCTTGTTCCCCTTCATGTCTGGGCTTGTAGCGTCCGACAATCCCCATCTCAAGGACGTACTGGACTTGATTGGCGACGAGGACGAGCTATGGAGTCCACATGGCATCCGCAGCTTGAGCCGCCAGGATGAGCTCTACGGCACCGACGAGAACTACTGGCGAAGCCCAGTCTGGATGAATATGAACTATCTGATCATCAAGGAGCTATACGTAAGTCCACTCACCATCAAGATATCGTCAAGCCTTACTAACAACCACAGAACATCGCCCAACAACCCGGCGCCCAACAAAAGCGCGCCGCAACCATGTACAGCGCCCTCCGCAAGAACCTCGTCGACACAGTCTACAACTCCTTCCAAGAAACCGGCTTCGCATGGGAGCAATACAACCCCGAGACGGGCGCCGGGCAACGCACCCAGCATTTCACTGGATGGACGAGCTTGATCGTCAAGATCATGGCGATGCCGGATCTCAGTGGCAAGAAGGGTCATGATGAGCTATAGACGAGGGACTTTTGTAGATCTGTAAGCTATAGAGCGATAAAAAGAAGGACTTGTTGTATCATTGGATGAAGCTGTCACGGTTGTGGTTGGAGGGACTTCCAATCAGTTGATGCCGCGTTTTTGATGTTACTGTGAAGAGCAGGTATCTGGGCGGCGGCTTTGTTCGGTCATGGTGATGACTGATAGTTGCTACCTGACAAGCTTCCTTGGACGTACGTCTAGATCTGGTGAGTAACGGGAGGTATGATTGCGAAGACTATCACATGCTTGGGCAGCTGTGGGTGAATTGCCATCGTTGCATGGGCTTCGAGCACAGCATTAAATGTGTTAGAGAGATCACAACACCGTTCCACAACGACATGATCGATCCATAGCACAATTAATTCTACCCCCAAACCACCCTGTCCAACTCTCCCAACATTCATTACCACCATGAACCCTCTCCCCAAAATCATGCCTCAGGCCTCCACATTCCCCAGCCGAACCTAGGCCCAAGCTCCAGCCGCCAAATGTACCGACAAGCTCAAGCTCCCCCATCGCCTCTCGCGCACCTTCTTCCACGACCCAGACTGGGGCCTCCTCGCACGCCCATCGCGCGATGCCACTCTAGCCATGGCCAGCAAGCGGCTCATCAAAGAGCTCGAAGCCTACAAACGGGAGCCGTCGTCGGCGTTGAAAGTGTTGGAGCCGAAGAGCGAGGATGATTTGTTCCATTGGGTGGCTGTTTTGAGGGGGCCAGAGGGGACGGCTTATGAAGGTATGCACCGCACTACAACAAACGATGATAGAGAGAGAAGAGGAAGTGTTGTTAACGAGAACGATCCCACCCAGGCGGTCGCTTCCACCTTACTATCACCCTACCCCCAACATACCCCAACACGCCGCCGGAAATCCGCTTCCAAACCCCCATCTGCCACCCGAACGTCAACTTCAAAACGGGCGAGATCTGCCTGGACCTGCTCAAGACGAGCTGGACGCCGGCGTATGGGATTGTGAGCACGCTGGAGGCGGTGCAGCAGTTGTTGAGCGCGGGAGGGGAGCCGGATAGTCCGTTGAATATCGATCTGGCGAGGTTGTTGCGGGAGGGGGATTTGGTTGGTGCGGAGGGGTTGGTGAGGTTTTATACGCAGATGTTGGCGGTGCCTAGGTGAGGGGTGGCGAGGGCGAGGGAGGGGAATGAAGAGCAGCAGACACTGTATGAGATGTACAATTGAGAAAAGTTGGAACGTACATGTATGCGTGACCAGCCATGGAAACGCCGTTCTTCTTGCTGCATATGAAAACGCTATCATGGATTCGCAGGTGCAAAGGCATTGGACGCTGCTTCACATAATGTACACTCGCTCTTCCCAGAAGCCAGCGCCAGACCCAAGAATCTCATCTGAGGCAAGTGCCGCCAGATGGTAGTCTTTAGTTTACATTTCCCGTTGACCCCCGTTTACCGCCATATCAATGCTCATTGCTCGAACGCTGAATGAAGGTCGTTTTGTTTCATGCTTTTGTGGATTTTCCCACCACCACCATCCTGCCCGACTTTACGCCATCAGGATGCGAAGATGCAGTGCAGCTCTCGTTGGACACTGCCGAGTGGATGGAGCTGAGTGCTCAGGCCCACGACTCTTCCTAAGAGCGTGCACCAGCACCATCAGCACCTCCACGAGGAGCACCGCGACCACGGCCCCGGCCTCTGAACTCCCCATTGCCACGGTCTCCACGGAATCCACCACGGAAGTTGCCACGACGGCCTCCACGACCGCGGAACTCGCCATCTCCTCCACGTCCACGACCACCACGACCACGGTTGCGGCCTGGCACTTGGTGGAAGCCGTCATCAGCTGGAGCGGCGGCAGCATCCCCAGCACCATCTGCCCAGCCGTTCGCTGCGGCGCCTGCCTCTGCAGCCCAGCTGTTGTCTGCTTCACCTGGAGCCTTCACGTCCCAACCCTCGCCAGCCTCGTTGCCAACACCTGCTCCAACTTCTTGGGGTTCGTCGGCCCAGCTGGTGCTCTGTGGCTGCTCGGAGATCGTGTTTGCCTCCGCCGGCACTTCCACCTCCTCAGACGGACGAGCAATGATCTCGTAGCTCTCCTCCAGACCACCCTTCTCAGCTCCTCCAGACGTGCCAGCGGCATCAGTGTCCCAACGCTCCCCAGCCACATTCCCAACACCACCAGCAGAGACTGGAGCGGCAGAGTTTGGCTCGTGCTCGCCCTCGTCTGGGATGCCGTTGGTCTGAGCCTCCTGGAGCTCCGTGAGGCTGGCGTTGGCCTGCGTTGGATCGGTGGCTCCTGGGTCACCTCCTGTAGCTTCGGCGACCTGGTCCACCCAGGCCTCCTCGGTTTGGAATGGAGCGTGATCGATCGAGGCTTGCTTTACATTGGCGTCTGTGCAGAAGTTAGTGGTAAGTCTCAAACAGGGAATGCAGCACGTGACGTGTGAGATCCGCACGTGCTCATGTCACGCGAGGATTGAGAGTGCAGGCTATACTTACAAGTGACAGGCAGAGGGCTGCCTTCGATGCTCGGGACCTGCTCGTCAGAGCCTTCGATGAGGTTGATGGCGGTATCGACGGCCTTGTCATCGCCTCCATAGACCAGCAGCAGCGCTCCCTCGAATGCCTTGCTCTCATCGGTATCAGCATCCTCCTCGATGGTCCGCTTGGCAGCAGCAGCTCTCAAGAACTGCGAGAACAGGAGCAGCTTGCTTCTCAGCTCGTGTGATGTTGTTGACGTAGCTTCGGCCCGCAGCTCCTGCTTGACCTTCTCAAGCTCTTGCTGGTGCTGCGACGCAAGCTCATCCCGCTGCTTGCTGAATTTCACCTGGTAGTCGGAGTCGAACTTGCGGTAATGCTCTTGACGCTCTTCGAGCTCGGCCAGCTGGGCTTGGAGCTGAGGCTTCTTGAGAGCTGCAGCCTTTTGATCGGTGTTGATCTTACGCTGAGCAACGAGGTCATCGAGGGAGACACCCTGGTTCTCGGCCAGGACGGAGTCGAGCTTCTGCATGGCAGTGAGCTTCTTGTTGATGTTGCGGATCTGCTTTTGCAGCTCCTTGAGATATGGGTGATCACTGTCAGCCTCTGCCACGACCGAATCATCCTTGGATGCATCGGCCGGGACGGCGGCGGCGGGGTGACCGGTTCCATTGGTCGAGGTGTTCGCTGCTTCTGCCTTGGCCTTCTTCTTGCGAGCTGACTTGGACTCGCCCGTCACTGGCACTGGGTTCTCGACGGCGGGCGCAGCCATGGTGAAGTGGGTCGGTCGAGGTGAGATGTTTGAAGTTGGCGATGGAGGCGAGTATTTGAGGATGTTGGAGCAGCGGATTTCGAGTTGGGTTGCAGTGGTGAGGGGAAGTGTTTTGAGGAGGTGTGTCTTGTTGCTGTTCAAGCCAAACATCTACAAATCTGAGCCTCGCTACACCTTCCTCTCTGCCCCAGGTTAGTCGTCGCTAGCGTGGGACCAGCGGCTAGATCCGCTGAGATACTGCACCTTGAGTTGCGCCTGCTCTCTGATCTTCAGCCTGCGTATTCCACGTTCCATTGCTACTGTCGACCACACACGAGAGTTACCTCGCCATGGCGACGACTTCACAGTCACAGGCGCTCGCGAAGCGTAACTCAGACTCGGCGCTGATGCCACCGCCTCCGCCGCCAAAACGACAAAAGCGGCCAGCCAAAGTTCTGGACGAGGATGTCTATTCAGATGCGCTGTCCCATATTATCGCGCGGGACTTCTTCCCAGGCCTACAAGAAAGCGACGCTCAAGAGGAATACATGGCGGCACTGGACAGCAGCAACAGCGATTGGATACGAGAGGCGGGGAGGAAGTTGACCCAGGTCATGACTCCTGGTCCTGATGGACGACGAAGACTGGGCAGAGGGACAAGTTTTACACCAAGGAGAAGTACTGCCGTGCAAGATACCCCGAGGGGTTATGTGGGCGAGACTCCGAGTCGAACACCTGTCAACGACGATTTTGCCCCAGAGCAAAAACCGGATGTCGATGTCAACATGTCTTTGGGAGCCTTCCAAGCAAAATACACATCTGAAGACAATGAGAGCTTCAACGCTCTCCTGGACAAGCAAAACGTGAAGCGGGCGGCGAAGTACGGATTTTTCCATCATGGCAACAAGATACCCACATCCCGCCAAATCGCATACCGAGCAAGAGAACAACAGCTTTTGGAAAGTGGCGAGGGGGCGTCAACAGCACTTGTCACTAGAAATGGTGCCGGCGAGGAACGGCAGCTCTTGGCAGGGAACAGACCATCGCAAGACCTAGACCAAAGGCCGGCTTCTGTGGACAGCTTCCCCAATCGACAAGGACCAAGAAATCACTTCATGTTTGGCCCAGAAGGTGTAGAGGATGAGGTGGCTACTAAGTCACAAGAAGCCCAGAACGCCTCGGTCGCGCCCCCAAAAGCTGTACAGTACTCTGCTACTCGCTTTCAAGAAGCATCCTCAACGCCTGCGAAAATCATCCCTCCCAGCCCATCAGTCAGCGCGATCGATGCGGCAATCGCTGGTAGACCGAAGCCAACGGAGTCAGAGTCCGGCTACAGCGGTGCAGAGACGCCTCGGATGAATGGCTACGCATTCGTAGATGCAGAGCCTACGCCCAGCGAGATTGGTGTACCTGTGTCAGAAGAGGAAGCTGATATCGCGGAACAAGAAGCCGCAAAGCAGTTCCTACCCAAGGTCGACGAAGGTGGTCCTAATCTATTCAAAATCACTGAGCGAAGCAAGCGTGAAGATTTGCACCACAGGCTGGTCGAACAAGCAGATGCCAGCCGCAGGAAAGGTGGCAGAGTCGATCAACTCAGAGGCTTGGGGATTACGCCAGGACGAACGCCTACACCGAAGTTCGCGAGCGGTGCAAGCATCAAGAAAGGTGCCGGCATGACGCCCGCCGCCCAACGACTTGCCGAAAGAATTGGCACTCCTCGGCGTGAAGGGGGCATGTTTGACTCGGCACGCAAAGACTGGACACCGACTCCGCGAGTGAAGAGGAAGACGTAATGCACTGAGAAATGACGAGCTCGAGATTGTCTATCCGCGCCTCTTACCATGCATCTTGAAAGACTTGGGTGGGATGCAGGACTCTTGCCCTTGCTCCTCTGCGGGGTTCTGCAACGAGCTGCTGACGAAGCCGCGAAAATGTGATGGCCGCACCGCACGCACATCATACACAACGGCAAGTCCATCTCAGATTTTTCATTACTATCAGAGCAGAGGAAGGCTAGTCATCATCATCTTCTTGTCGTCGGTCAATGTCCTCTCGTCGTTGCTGGAAGACTAGCGGAGGCTTGTGAAGCTGTCAAGTGAAACTTCCGTGAGGGTGCCACCACCGGAGAAGACGTCGGAGAAGAGCTAAGATGGGCCTTGAAGCTCCAAGAGGTGTTGCAACATGCTGTGGCGTGCCGCAAAATGGAACAACCGCGGCGGTAAAGGGTACCTGGATGGCGTTCCCGGTGCACGAGCTTGATTGCCACGCGAACCAGGTCTTGTGGATCCGGGGACGTGGCTGACAGCGTTGTTATGTCGTGCATTAGCGCATCGCTGCAGGTACCCTTTACCACGACGACGGCGCTGTGCTCGATAGCAGCCTTCTGGGACCCTCGAGCTTCTTGTTCGAGATGGATTTGATGAGGTTGTGGATTTGGAGAAATGGTCGAGGGAAGATGGGCTGGTGGTGAGCGGGAGGGGCAAGGCCGGGGAATGTGCGGTGTTCACTGAACGCCCACGAAGCTCCAGCTCCAGCTCTGGCGCATCATGATCAGATCCAAATCGATCCGCGAGATCCATCCCGTAGCTACAGCAATCAACAAATACTCCTGTGTGGAGAGTATCTTTCCTCCCATAGGGACGCTTTGAAGGTACGAGAGACGATCACGTGATACGACAATTTCTGAAAGAACTTTGATTATCTGCTCTCACTTGGCAGCCTGAAAACAATGAGTCTAGCAAGGCATTGTTAATTACCTTGCTTCCAATCCTCGTCTTATTTCTACCGCGACATTGAGTCAATGCGTGAATTGATGGTGGTGAGAGAAATCTGTCCACCTCTGGCGTGCCGACCCGCCGAAGTCGCTAAGCGCACGAGCCAGCCTGCACCTCGCTCCTTGGATACCTGAAGCGCATCATCACTGCTCTCCCTCTGCGATACGGCCTCATCCTGCCCTCGCAAAATTCATTCTCCCTCTCATGCCACGTTGAGCCACCACTCCCTCTGCGCGACCCGTTTGTTGCCGCCCGTGTCTGCCATAGTCGGTCGGGCGCACGCGGGGACCCTGGCTGGACGCGGCGACTCGACCGCACCTCACCACCACAACCACACCGCGCACCCCTTGCACTTCTCGCGCTCCCACCATGGACGCTGCGGGAACACCTCACGCTACGACAATGGCGGCCACTGGAGCTTTGTCTCCAGAGCCGCAGAACATCAAGCCCACCATCGAGACGGGCGCAAAGCCTGCGACCGCACTGACGCCACCCACGAGCGAAGAGATGAATAACGACACCAACAAGGATAACGAAGAGTCAGATCTGAGTGATTTAGACTTGGACGACGAAGATGAGGAGGAAATACTGCCAGATCACTACTGGGACGGCGAGAATGGCGGCAGGATCCCCGTCTTCAAGCCGACCATGGACCAGTTTCGCGACTTCAAGAAGTTTGTCGAGAAAATTGACAAGTATGGAATGAAGTCTGGCATTGTAAAAGTGGTTCCCCCACAAGAATGGTAAGTTGCGCGTTGAAGGTTGGTAGATTGCAGGGATGCAGCTAATAAGTCGGCAGGCGCGAGTCTCTGCCTGCTTTGGATGACTACGTGAAGCGTATCAAGATCAAGAACCCGATTACTCAGGAGTTCAATGGTACCTTTGGCACGTACACACAACAGAATGTCGAGAAGCAGCGCTCCTACAACCTGCCAGAGTGGAAGGCCTTGACCGAGGAGACCCAACATCAGCCCCCTGCAAAGCGTGGTGAGAGGCGACGTAACCAGGCGCAGGTCGTCCGAGGTGGCGGAAATCTTCGAACACGTGCGTCCGTTCTTGCTGAGGAGGATGACGGTACCCCCAAGCCCAAGAGGAAGCCTGGTCGACCTCGTCGAAACCCACTGCCAACGGAAGAGCCCCCATCGGATGATGAATCGAAAGCGCAGCAACCGATGACTCCAAGCTCTCCTGCTCAGAAACCCGCAAAGAGGCCAAAAGGACGACCACCGAAGAATGGCGGCCAAGGCCAGGCAAAGTCGGTCTCATCCCGGCGACTGAACAACACTGCTGAGACTGCGGATTACATCGACGAGAAGGCCTTCAAGAACTTCGATTATCGCATGGATCGCCTTGATGAATTCACGGCGGAGAGATGCCAAGAGCTTGAGACGCACTACTGGAAGAGTCTTGCATTCAATCAGCCAATGTACGCTGCTGATATGCCTGGCTCTCTTTTCGATTACACGGTCTCCAGCTGGAATGTCGCCAAGCTGCCGAATCTGCTCGACATTCTAGGCACCAAAGTTCCTGGTGTCAACACTGCTTACCTTTACATGGGCATGTGGAAGGCAACTTTCGCATGGCACCTGGAGGATGTGGACCTGTACAGTATCAACTACATTCACTTCGGTGCCCCAAAGCAGTGGTACAGCATCTCGCAGGAAGACGCCCGCAAGTTCGAGCGCGCCATGAAGCAGATCTGGCCGGTGGATTCGAAGAACTGCGATCAATTCCTTCGGCACAAGACCTACCTGATCTCACCTGATGTGCTGCAGAAGCAGTATGGAGTGAAAGTCAACAAGCTTGTGCACTACGAAGGAGAGTTCGTAATCACCTTTCCTTATGGCTACCATTCGGGATACAACATCGGCTACAACTGCGCAGAATCGGTCAACTTCGCCACAGAGTCATGGCTGGAGTTTGGTCGCATTGCACGCAAGTGCAACTGCGAGGCTGACAACGTCTGGGTCGATGTTGGTGAGATTGAGCGCAAGCTTCGAGGAGAGCCGACTCCAGAATACTACGAAGAGACCGATGATGAAGACGAGGACGAAGCTGATGGCCATTTACCGTCTCCACCTCCCAGTGTCAAGGGCAAACCGGCGACGAAGAAGCGCAAGCGCGAGACGAAGCAAGAGGCACCCCCGAAAAAGAAGAAGAAGATTCTTATCAAGATCAGGAAGTCCACTCGCGAGCCGTGCGCCATGTGTCCCAACGACAATCCTTGGGAAGACCTTCTTCCCACCGACAATGGCAAGAAGGCACACCGTTCTTGTGCCTTGTTTACGCCGGAGACATTCATCGTTAGCGAAGATGGGAAAGACATTGTTCGCGGTGTCGGCACCATCGACAAGGCTCGGCTGGAGCTCAAGTGCAACTTCTGCCGATCGAAGCGCGGTGCTTGCTTTCAGTGCTCTGCAAAGAAATGCACTCGAGCATTTCACGCTACCTGCGCGATTGCCGCGGGTGTACTTATCGATGCAGGCCTGGTCCCGACGTTCAGCGAAGATGGCACAGAGTACTACGAGGAAGGCTTCGATTTCCGTTGCCGCTATCATAGACCTAAAATGCCCAAGGTCGTCAACGTGGACAACTTGGAGAGCAACAAGCTGGTCATGAACTACGCCAAGAAGCTGAAGCCGAACGACACAGTGCAGGCACAGTATGTGGGCGGAGAAGTCTTTGGTGGATTGGTGGTGGAGAATCGACCAGGCGAGCTTTCTGTCCTGGTCGATGTTCTGCCTGATGGGTATGCATTACAAGATCATGTTTCCGAAGCCGCAGCTAACATTGCTCACAGAAACCGTGTTGAAATCGAGTACAAGTGGCTGTGTGTCTTGGACCCCGATGACTCTGTCCGACCTAAGCCGTCCGCTGCCGCGAAACCGTTGCCCGAGGATATGAGTAGAAGCCATCTCTCTCTTTCAAACCGACAGGATGGCGTGCCAATCCAGGATGAAGTCTTCTACACCGACTCCGCGTTCAAGTTCTTCGACTTTTACAACTTCCACACGCCACCGCCCGGCTACCAGACAGTCCTTTTCAAGGCGCCACAGAAGCTCAGGGTCGATCCAAAGGCGCCCGAATTCTATTTCTACCTGCCGGAAATCTCTACGGAAGCCAAAGTCTTCTTCACAGATACTCCCGGCTCCAAGCAAATCTGCACCAAGGCCAACTTCCAAGAGCGCATGCAACCACCGAAGCCAGCGTACCAGTACTCTGGACCAAAGCAGCCCATTGCTCCTGCGAACCTCAACACTTTCAACCGCATTCAACCCAATCTCACCAACATCAATACAGCTGCCGGCGCACGGAACGAGAAGCCTTACGTCTACAAGCCAAAGGAGCCTGCTCGACCCAACGTGCTATGCGCCGTTGACTACCAAGCACTTGCAAATCAGCGAAACTTCCTCGCAGAAGGCAACCGGCGGTCATCGGTCTTCAGTCAAACATCGCAGCAGCCGCCGCAGCAGCATCAGCAGTCCCCGCCTGTGCAGTATGGCTTCCAGAGCAACGACCCGTCACGTGGCTCTACGCCTCTGCGCTCTTTCCCCACTGAGCACTACTACTCATCCAAGATGCTTCCCGCTGCATATTCTGGCGAATACTCCAAGTTTCGACGCGAATCACAAGGTGCACAAACGATGCAGCGGCCCAACTTTGACGTGCCAGGCTACATCCCGAACTATCAATCAGTCTCGTCGCAGAAGGCGGTGATGAAGCAAGAAACTCCGGTTGGATCAGCTGCAGAACTTGCTCGGCCAGGCTCATCCTCTGCATTACCCCCGAATCCATATGCACCTGCTGGCAGCCACTCGACATCTTCTGCATTGAACCACCACTCGCCTGCAGGAGCGCCTTTGACACCAGCGACCACAACCTCGTCTAACTCCAAGGGAGATGGATCACATGCAGACCCTGCATATTATCAGCATCTGCAGCAGTTTCCATATCTCATGAGCAGCTTCTCTCGGCGACCAAAGGTCTATGAGTCCCCTTACTCGATGGGAGGTGGCTTCTCGACTAAGTATCTGCCACTTGAACTACAGAAGCAGAGTGAGGGAGGTGGAAACACGAGCTCACGCCATACCCCGAGCAACTCAATCTCATCTCGCCGAAACAGCCAACAGTGGACGCCGCCCTCCCAGGTTTGGCAGAGTTCTGGATTTGCAGACAAGCATCGGACACCACCTCCGCCTCAGTCTCAGCAACCTCAAATGCAGACTCAGCCCATGCTTTATCAGCAAGTAGGACCACGGAACTACCCACCTGCGGTGCATCAGACATCACAAGACTTTCAGCGGCAGATTCAAGGCTTGCCAAGCACAGCGAGCCGCGACGGCGCACACGCGAGGATGCTGAGAGATCAAGGCTATCTGCCATACAACCAGTACCATAGGAATAGCTTCGGGCATTCTTACGACTCAGCGAAGATGTGGAACAGCCCGCAGGCCCCAACACCAAGTCCATTGTCGGATCCTAACACAACTCCGGGGTATGGACGTGGTCATACGCCGACCAACTCAGGGCATTGGGGATTGTTGCCACGGAATGAGAACGGCCAGCCTGGCCAGCGACCGACTGGAGCAGGTTATGGACCAATGTTGCCGCAAATGGGAGGCAACCAGGAATCGTGGCGCTACAACTAGCCAAGGTCGGGAAGAAGTTGGCCTTGAGTGACATTGGAACGTGTGACTGTCACCACGCAAGCTCGACGCAGCTGGCGATGTCACGTTGATGAACTTTGGAGCGTTCATACACTCTGTCTGTCTCTTTTAGATATTACGACTATTGCTGGAAGGAAACGCCCCGCCGCTCTCAGATAGCAGGAAGAGGAAGTGAGAAACGAATGATAAGAAATGTTAAAATCTCCAAACCAACTGCTCTTCCTCGTAGACTCCATTTCTTTTCCTCTAAAGCCTCTTCATTAGGCCACCCAATGCTTTGTGATGAGTTTAGCCGCCATCCTTGCGGGCCGCTGGGTCCGTGAACGTCGGGCGGTTGTTTCAGCAGCTTTCTCTCAACCTCTTACCCACCTTCTCCTATGCGCCTCTTGCCGCCCACTCTCGCTTCTCGCGTTCTATCTCTTCTGTCTCCTGCATATGGTGACGAGAGTCACAGCTTGAAGATGAAAGATTGCTATCACGCGTGTGATAAATCGATTTCGAGGAGAGGGAAGAAAAAATGCATGGCTGGGTTCACATCCTCCTGGCTGAAGGTCGACTGCGGTCGGTGAGCCCGACCCACGGACACTGTTTCACAAACCGCACTTCGACTCTCGACAAAGACCACATGCAGGCGAGGTGGATATGCGCCTGGCCGTTGATGCAGCCGCGCGTCTCAGTCTGGCTCCTCTGCGGACAGGACGGACGACGACATGTGAGGAGAATGTTTGCTTTGTCTTGTGCTTTTCATCTGTTCATCTGTCCACTTCTCTTTCAGCAGCACCTCGCTTTTACGGTCTTTTCGTTCTTTACATCAGCCGCGTGTATGCGTTGTGCGTCCTAGTGACCACGAACTTACTTTCTTTCTCTTTTGACAACACAACACTGTCGTTTCTGGCACTCGACCGTTACATTACATTCTTTGCATGCGCTGTGCGCTTGACATTCTCTTGACGAGGAATTAAACAGCTCATAAACTGGATATTTGAATCTCTACACTATCGACGACAAGGGAAGACTGTTTGATTTGGTAGCACGTGGACGGACGAGAGTCAGCATGGTCAACCTCGGGGCGCTGGCCGGTGTGGCATTCGCTGCGATCTTTGCGGTTGTCGATGGGCGACCACAACATCATCACATACATCATCGGTCCGGTTTAGTATCTGCCAAGGTGGATGCAGGCGACTCATATGCTTCGACAAACGGTACCAATAGCACGAGCATAGGCAACACGACACTTCCAGATGTGATTCGAGGTGTCAACATCGGAGGATGGTTGATCCTCGAGAAGTGGATGACGCCTGACATCTTCGACAACACCGATGCTGTCGACCAGTACAGCTTTGACAGCACCGACGGCGCGGAGGCGAAGCTAAAGCAACACTGGGAGACCTACTTCACCGAGGCTGATGTCCAGAAGATCGCGTCTTGGGGCATCAACGCTATGCGTATTCCAATAGGCTATTGGGACTTCTTCAACGACACCACGCCCTACATCCGAGGCGCAGACGCATACCTAGACAAAGCCATCGGCTGGGCAAGGAAAGCCGGCCTCAAAGTCCTCGTCGACTGCCACGGCTCACCCGGCTCCCAAAACGGCTTCGACAACTCCGGCCGCTCAGGCAACGTCAAATGGCAAACCTCCGACAACCTCTCCAACAGCATCAAAGCCCTCCAGAACATAGCCACAAAATACGGCTCCACCACCTACGCCGACGTAGTCTTCGCCATCCAACTCGTCAACGAACCCATCTCCTGGGCCCAAAACAACTTCACCCTCACCCAAACCTGGACCCAACAAGCCTACCACGCCGTGAAATCCGCCTCAACGAACCCACACCTCCAAATCCTCATGCACGACGGCTTCATGACGCCCTGGGCCTGGCAAACCATCGGCGCGCAGCTCAACGGCCCCGACACCAACCTCTCCACCGCCCCCTTCGCCATCGACACACACCTCTACCAGAACCAAGTCGCCGCGGACTCCACCCTCACCCAAGCCCAACACATCGCCAAAGCCTGCAACTGGACAGCCTCCAACCTCCTCCCTTCCACTGCAAACCTCCCCGTCTACGTCGGCGAATTCTCCGCCCAAACCAACATCTGCGTCTACCTTAACGGCACGACCGTCGGCGGGGATGCATGCTACGAAGACGGCTGTCAGTGTTCCTGTAATGTGGATATTCAGGATTGGGGACAGCCGTTGGTCAAGGCGACGAGGATGTTTCTGGAGGCGGAGTTGGAGGCTTTTGAGGAGGGGGCGAGGGGCTGGTTTTTGTGGAGTTATAAGGGGCCTGGGGCTTGGGGGTTGAGGAATTTGGTGGAGTTTGGGGTTTTGGGAAAGGGGGTGGGGGTGGGGGAGAGGATGTTTTTGAATCAATGTGGGTTTGAGTAGGGGGGTGGGTTGATGGGGGTCTTGAGGTGTGTGTGGTGTGTAGTGGGAAGGGGATGGTTGATGTTTGCGAGAGGTAGGAGGGTGGTGCGTTTCTGATTTAGAGTTTTTCTCACGATGTGAATGATCTGAAGAACTGCATGGTATTTACCAAGAGCTTTGTGGCAGAGAAACCAAGGCCTCTGCGAGAGTTTGATGACTTCTTTGCGGTTCTGTGGATACCATGTCAAATGTCTCGAGGCAGTGAACTATCATTCACGCTCTTCATCTCTATGTACGCATCACAAACGGACTCAATTGACAACTCAAAAGAAAGAGAAATCGAGAAGACGAGAGGCAGCAAAAAATCACAACGACGACCAGAACGAATCCAAGTCGAAACGTCGATTATTATTCTTGCTCAAACATATACAAGGAATCCAAAACAACTGCACAAACAACAAGACACTAATAAACAATTCGGATCCTCCCAAGATTTTTCACACACCATATCAATCCTGATGCTTATCCCTCCCTGACTCCATCATATCATGATCGCTCCCCCTTTCCTCTAAACAAGAACAACCAACGCCGCCGCACCGGCAAGCAGCGCCATCACAGGCTTCGCCGCGTTCGCCGCACCAGTGTACGCCACGGGCGAGTTCGGCTTGGAAGGCGTCGCGGAGCCGGAAGCCGTCGCGAGGGTGGACGACGGGTAGCCGTACGCCGGGACGGTGCCGTTGCCCTGCGGGTAGGTTGCGGGCGCCGAGGGCTTGACGGGGATGACTGGGTAGGTCTTGGTCTCTTGGGCGCAGCTGGAGCAGGGCACGGTGCTGTAGATTGTGCTGAAGGCGGTTTTGGTGTTTTGGGTTGGGTAGCCGGGGATGGACTTGCTGCTTTCGACTGGAGAGTTGGGGGTGGTGGCCGGGTAGCCTGGGGCGGTTGGGACCGACTCGGAGCTCTCGACTGGGGAGTTGGGGGTTGTTGCTGGGTACTCTGGAATGACTGGGGATGAGCTGCTTCCCTTTGGCGAGTTGGGAGTGGTAGCTGGGTAGCCAGGTGCGGTTGGGACGGACGAGCTGCCCTTTGGCGAGTTTGGCGTAGTAGCTGGGTACTCGGGAACAACTGGAGAGCTGCTGCTGCCTTTTGGCGAGTTTGGCGTGGTGGCTGGGTACTCAGGGACAGATGGAGTAGTAGAAGCGCTACCCTTTGGTGATTCAGGGGTTGTGTGAGGGTACTCAGCTGGGCCACTTGGGCTGGTGGATGGCTTCTGCACAGGGGTGGTCTGGGTCACGACAGTGGTCTTGCCCTCGCAGCTTGGGCATGGGACGATGATAACCTGAGTGGTGTGCACAGTCTCGGTGTTTGGCTTGCTGACGACGGGGGTGCTCTCCTTTGGCGAGTTTGGCGTAGTGGCCGGGTACTCGGGGACGGATGGAGTAGTAGATGCGCTGCTCTTTGGTGACTCTGGGGTCGTGTGTGGGTACTCGGCAGGGGCAGTTGGGCTGGAAGGCTGAGCTGGAGTCGTCTGGGTCAGGACAGTGGTCTTGCCCTCGCAAGAAGAGCATGGGACAGTGATCAACTGGGTGGTGTGGACAGTCTCAGTCTCTGGCTTGCCTGGCTGCGAAGTCGTGCCTGGGTAGACTGGCGGGGTGCTCTCTGACTTGACGACACTCGTCTGGTAAGTAGTAGTGACGGTGGAGGTCGTGATAATGGTTGAGGTCAGAGTAGTGACGCCGGTGGAGCAAGACGAAGTGTAGGTAGTCGTCAGCGTGCAAGGAGTCGTGAAAGTGGTCGTGACGGCGGTCGTCGTGGGCTTGCCAGGGGTCGTGGTTGAGTAAACTGGAACGCTTGGCTTGGAAGAAGTGACGGAGGTGCTCTCAGACTTAGACTCGGTCGTGCCTGGGTAGACAGGGACTGTTGGCTTGGAAGAAGTGCTTGAAGCCTCGCTAGTCGTCGGGATAGCAGGCACAGTCGAGGTCGTGGAAGCGGACGAAGCTGGCTGGCTGGGCTTGGACGAAGTGCTCTCGCTCTCGGTGCAGGTGGTAGAAGAGCTGGAAACAGGAGTCTCGGGCGTAGTGGTCGTACCGGGAACAACTGGCTTCGTGGAGGTAGAGCTGGACAGCGAGCTGGATTCAGTGGTGGGCTTGGGAGGCACAGAGGTTGTGGAAGCTGAGCTCGAGTGCGAGTAGACTGGAGGCGGCACCGAAGAGCTGGAGCTGGTCGTTGGCTTTGGTGGGACCGTGGAGGACGAAGAGGACGACGAAGCAGAGCTAGTGGTTGGCTTCGAGGGGACGGTAGTCGATTGAGTAGAGATGCTCACGGTGGAAGACTCCTCAGTGCAGGTCGTAGACGACGACGACTCAGACGAGGTGGTTGGCTTCGGGGGAACGGTGCTCGACTCCGACGAAGTGGTTGGCTTAGGGGGCACGCTCGAAGAGCTGGAGCTGGAGTGGCCGTACACTGGAGGAGGGACCGAGCTGCTGCTGCTAGCGCTGCTCGAGGTAGTTGGCTTTGGTGGAACCGTGCTTGACTCCGACGAAGTAGTTGGCTTTGGGGGCACGCTGGACGAAGAGGAGCTCGAGGAGTGGCCGTACATGGGAGGAGGGACCGATGAGCTGCTGCTAACGCTGCTCTCCGTGGTAGGCTTTGGTGGGACGGTCGAAGAGCTCGAGCTGGAGTGGCCGTACACTGGGGGAGGAACAGAGCTGCTGCTGCTGACGCTGCTCTCCGTGGTGGGCTTTGGTGGAACAGTGCTGGACTCAGATGAAGTCGTTGGCTTCGGTGGCACGGTGCTCGACTCAGAAGTCGTTGGCTTTGGCGGCACGCTCGAGGAGCTGCTGCTAGAGTGTCCATAGACTGGAGGAGGCACAGAGCTGCTGCTGCTAGCGCTGCTTGTGGTTGGCTTTGGCGGCGGCACGGATGTCGAAAGAGAAGTAGTCAAAGTCGAGCTGGTCTCCTCGGTGCAGGTAGTAGAGCTGGAAACAACGCTGCTGCTGCTGCTCGAGACGATGGTGCTGCTAGACACGACACTGCTGCTAGTCGTGGTTGGCTGAGCTGGCGGTGTGGTCGAAGAAGAGGAAGGTGCGGAGTAAAACGGTGGAGGTCCATTCGACGTCGAGCTGCTGCTGACTGGCGATTCGGGAGTCGTAGACGTCGTAGAGGCTCCGTAAGCTGGAACAGTTGGAACCGAGCTCGTTGGCTTGGGCGGTGGGACGGTCGTCGACTCTGTGCTGCTCGACGAAGACTCGGCTCCGTATGGTGGTGGTGCGTTGCCGTACTCTGGCGGCGCGACACCTGCCACGGCTACCGAGGCAAGGCCCAAAAGGGCGAAGCTCTTGAACATTGTTACGTTTCCAGTCGTTTTCGTTAGAACAGAATTAGTAATTAAGGAAAAAGAAGTCGTTGGGGTGCTGCCACAAGGGCGAGCAAGCGAGCGTGAAAGGGTAATACGAAAGTAATTGTTGATAGTTCAACGAAAGGATATGGAAAAGAATTCCAACAGAAGAGGCTGGTGGGAAGAGAAGGAAGACGATGCAAGGCACGGGACCGTCAAGCCATATGAATGGGATGGCTACGAGTGTCGTATTCCGCTCACGATGGCGTCCTATTCCATGTACTTCGAGCTATACCTGTTAGTCCGGTGCAGACATGGCTGTCGGTCCACATAAGGCGGGAGTCCGGCCAATATGAAGGCACAAAAAGAGTAGAATTGGGATCTGCATGGATGCGAGGTAGAGGGGATGGGCGAAGAGCCGGGCTGTGGCTTCGTATCGATAGAAGCACGACAGGGAACCACTTGTCGGTAAAAAGCTTGACGAACGGCGGCAGATGGGGCGAGTGTTGACATGTGCTAGTGACAGGGGAAGTTTTGGTGCGGGTTGCGAGTCCGAGGTGTCGTTAAAGGGGTAAGGCAAAGGATAGCGGCGAAGCTGCATCTTGGGAGACTTTGTCTGGTGCTGAAGCGGGTGTTTCGAAGGCGTTCGCGCACTTCCCGTCCACTGTTCATACAGTTTCAAGAGGCATAGAGTTCGTGTGGTGAACGGAGCGCGGTCTCGTTCCTCCTGGACAGCCGTTGTGTCTTCGGTCACGATTGGACCGGATCAGCAACGGGTACCTTGCAGCTTGGCATGCACTTGACCTTGTTTGTCATGGCGCCGAGCATAAAAAGCGTGCAACGGCACAACGTGGCTGCCACTTTTCAACGGGTGTCAAGGAAATGACGCCTCCGCCGCATCCTCTGGCCAACGTCACCTCGTGCCTTGACCGCGCCGCCAAGTTCGTGTTCACGTCGCTAGCCGTGTAGTGCTCCAGTAGCCTCGTGTCCGGAGGAAGTCAGGAGATTGGCGTGCTGACCTGCTCTGCTCAAGAGGCACTCCTGGACGCTGCGTGCCCGCATATGCGACTGCAGGCACACTGCAGAGAATTCTGCAAGCGGAGCTGCATGATGGTGCCCCCGATGGATCTTTGACTTCGAACATGCACACTCTGCATGCACCGCGGGAGGGGTGGAAGTGCAGAGACTCGCTCGCCTTCTGCCACACCTTCCAGCCACAGTCGTCGGCCGCCATCGAACGGACCGCAGAGGACCCGGATTGACAGCGTAATTAAGCAAGACGACCGCTTCGTTTGGACCTGGAAATCTAAAAGGGGAACTGCTGCCATGTTCGCCGGTGCTGGGCATTTGGCGATTTGTTCTTGGATGTTGTGAGGCATCCCACGCGTCGAAATCCCGATGGCAATGGGCTGTCTTAACAAGAAGCAAGAGGAAAAAGTCGATGGCGAAGCTGTCAGAACGCGAAGGCAGAAACAGCTATACTGTACACAAGCACTCTCATTGTATCTCGAAATAAGAAAGGTCACTCCACTATTCATTCCCTACCCCAAAGTGACAGGGTACACTTAACATGGGTGCCACAGTCCGCGCGGTGGATCAGCAACCCAAGAGACCCAATTTGCAAACAAGCTGCATTAGACAAACTGACTTGTTTGTGAAGCCCTGCTGCAACATGTTTAACAAGATATACAAATGAGCACCTTCCCAATCGAACGGAGAAGCACAGGCTCGACTCCAAAGACACGCAGTACCAATAGCATCACGGACACGAACTCTCCTCGATATCGGCTCTCGATCGACTCGGCGTTTTAGCAATCTACTTGTCTTATATCGGACGTTGGTACAGCCGTGAGTCCGTGAGCTATCCCTTCGTATTCCAAGGGCTACCATGGAGTTCGGACTTGCGCCGCTGCAAGAGCGAAGTTCAAGCTGCAGTACAGCTGGGGATGTTCCGGACACGAACGAAATACATCAGATTCATCAAGATGATGCCAATTAGATGCTGTTCGCACAGACTGACAGCTGGCAACAAATCTTGATGTCGTCCAAATGTACCACTCTGGCTATCTACGGTTTTCGCCTCTCAGTACTGATCCCTCCGGACGCCTCACGTCGCAACGCAGTTCACTCTTCCTTGCAAACTCTTGTGCGGTGAGGAGGAAGGTTCCAAAGCTTGGAGCTGACGACATCTTCCCAGGACCGGGTGAGCTTGCAAGACAGGAATCGAGAACACCATCGACCGACGAGGATCTGGCATTGATGCTTCTGGCAAAAGTACGTGATCAAGATTTGAAGACGATGGCAGACCCGCGGATTCCGTGTTTCTTTGGACCCGACTTACTGGATGGCTCGTCATCAGACCTTGGACTTGTTCGAATTATCAACATTCGAATGTTCCCTTTCATCGACAGACGACTATGGTCAGCACACGGCAATCGGCGTCGAGGCATCATTCTCATCTGCTTCGAGGCCTCTTTGGAAAACAATGCGCGACCATCGATTGCGATTCCTGCTGAATCTGTGGGTAGATGAATCTCGTTGGTTCAAGGCCATGTCTCCGCTACTGTCAGCTTGAATAGCCGCCGCCTATCATCCCGGGTCACCGTGGCTTCTCGAGCAATTCTGTCCCTTTTGCTGGAGGTGTTGTAGCACTCAGACTCTGATGGTCGCGAATATGTGACAGTGAGACTTACCACACGCGGACGTGGAACGTGAAGAGCAGTCAAAATGCCTGTGTGCAAATCCTTCACATTCGAACAGCTGTGTGAAGTCACCTAGAGACGGACAGGTTCTCTGCGTGAAAGTTGAAGCAAATGGAACATTGAACTGTACGCCCCATCATCTCCCTTGCCAGCCAGTAGATTTCAACGATAACCCTCCAACAGCTCAAGTCCACGTCTCCGTCAGTAGAACAATGAACAAACAAATGCAAAAACCAATCCGACATCTCTCAGGGAAGTAGCTGAATGATGAATTCTCTATGCGACACCTTGTGTGTCGTAGCGGTGTTGGCTTCGCGGTCAACACCTCTTCCCTTTTGTTTTTGAAGTTTCTTGTTTTGATTTGGTTCTTGGTTCGAGTCCTGGAGATTTCCATATTTTCGTCTTTGATCGTTTGCCTGGGTTCGGTCTCTTACTATGCATTATCACATTACCGTTCACGAGGTGGTATCATCCCCTGGATGATTTGGGTGTTCTGGCGATATGTATACGGCGAGAACTCACTAGACGCATCGTCTTTAACGCATCATTTTTCACGCATCGTCTTTCACGCAACTACACTTGACGTTGAGGATCTGATATTTCTAGTGATTTTGCCAGGGATGTTTTGGAAGATAAGATGCTGGAGTTAGTTAATGTTGGGCAGGAAGCAACCGAACGCACCCTCCAAGACTCGCCATGTTGAGCAAGGCGGTCTGCGGAGGAAGGTTGTTTAGAGCTTGGGCTGCGGTCAACTGGTTTTGGGTCAATTGATGGACGGCCTGCTCGTTGGCTCGCTGCTGCTGCCAGCCAGGTGGTGGAGGCGCGTTGTTCTGGGCCTGAGCTGCATTCAGCTGTGCTTGAGCTGCTTCGTGAGCGTTCTGCTCTGCATGCAGCTGCTGTTGGAGTTGATTAACTTGCTGCTGCAATGTTCTGTTCTGGTTGCTTAGGTCGTACGCCTCTCCGCCCTCTTGTCCCCACGAATAGGTGTAGGTAGGCTCTGCCTGCACTGCGGCGGAAAAGCTTCTTCTGTGTAGTTTGGGTGATGTCTGGATTGTCTCCGCGAAACGTCTTGTTGACTCTTGCACTGCAGGGCAGAGCCTTATCAGACAGAAATGAGAGGGTCATCTCGAGGACCTCCACGACACCCTGAACTCGCTCCATGGTTTCGTTGACGCCGATGGTAGTCCGGAATTGACAATTAGAGTAGTTGCTTCAGTAGGAAGGTGTTTCGGGGAGTGAAGTAGAGAAGCCATGACCTCGACCAGCGCCATCATATGCCACGAAACCGAATCGCTTCACTGCCACGAGTCTCAACTTCGTCACTTCGACCAGCGCTGTCACATGCCGTAGACAGATTCGCAAAAACCTATATTCTCCTTTTTCACGCGCACCATTCTTCATTGTCACCACCAACACACTCACGAAGAAAAATGTCTTTCTACTGGCAAAACCACTCATACCTCCTCCAGAGCGATCCGATCCTCGACGGCTACCAAACCAACATCGAAGAACAGCTGGCCAGAGGCGCAACCCATCCACACAAACACCAAGGCCTCCTCCTAGGCGCAGTTGGAGAATTTGGAATCTTCGTACCGACGACTACGAAGCCGAGGAGAGGGTTGGGTTGCCAGCCGATCGCAAACATGAACGATCCAAACTACGCCAACGCCAAATACAAACTGCAGCAAGGCCAAGTCCCGCCCCATGTGCTCATCTGCACGGAGCTGTTGGTCATACTCGAGCTGGCAAACTGCAAGGCGTTCGTTTCCGTGAAGGGCAAAACGACCTTGAAAGTCCTACATGGCAGCAGCGCAATCCATATCCAAAGAAGCGACAATTTCAAACGACTCCTGAAATTCACTGCGACAGTGCTGTGTGCGCCCTATACGTTGAGCGTTGAAATCGGACTTCTGCAGGTAAGAGACGATCGTGGACTGGAGACTATCCCCAAGGCCATCCCCGTTACAAACCTGGCATGCACCGTATCGATGCCATGGACGTACGGGAATGCCTGGGGATATATCGCTCTTTCCTCCGTCCTCGCCCAGCAGGTGAGCCAGGAGCGCCAGTCGTGCGCTGGTGTGGTGGTATCTCGCCAGCTCGTTCAGATGATGGATACACGCATTCGCATGTAGAACAGCAGGACGTTCCGGTTTCGCTCCTTGGTCAGCTGGACCTTGCTTCCGTAAAGATCGAATTCCCGGCAGGATGAAACGAGGATCCAATAGCACCGTTAATAGTCGAGTAAGGTCGTCGGGTGGATTGAGCTATCCGTAGTCTCTCCGGAACCTCACAGACTCGTCTGGCTTGATGTTGTAGTATATTCGAGCTCGCATGTAGTACAACAGGACGTCTCTGTTGCGCTGCTTCGTCGCTTGCACCTTGCTTTTGTCGTATAGAACAATGGCGTTGGCGATGCCCATGGCAAGGTCCTCCTTGCTTCGAACTCCGACATTGTCGGAGGATACCAGATGCTTGCTGGAGCAGACGAATTTGTGTGTTAAGTGCCAAGCCACCACAGTGAAAGTGAAAGAGTACGCCGACTGGTGCACCCCGAACGCCACTGGAACATTGCTTTGAGCTCGTAACGCACGCAGCGTTGCTCTTTAGCGAGCCGATGGACGTGAATGGTTGAGTTCTCTTGATTTCGAGCTCAACTGGGCGGATGATAGGGCACATTCCATAAGAGCCAGCTTGGCAGTCACATGAGAAGTGGGTCCATTCACTCCAAGTTGTGCGGCCTCGAGGGTCGTCGCGAACTTGCCATACAACAGCTTCTAGTGCAGTAGCCACCAGATGTTGCTTGGTGAGAGGTTGGTTGATGTCTTCGTGGATCCACTGCTGTGGAACTTCGCAGGCGTCCGAGTTGACGAAGGCGGTGTAGTTCGCCGTGCTGTTCTGCAGCGCTTTGAGAGTGTTGGCGGACGGCGGGTCACCTAGGTCGCGGCGCCATTGCTTGGAACCACGATGAACAGATTCGTCTGGTTGGTCAGGGCTGCCGGCGGCTGGTCGTATGGGCGGCGCGGTTGGGTCAAGATTGAAGAGTAAGGAGTCAGGCTGGTCGCCGAGGTCTAGGGTAGCCATTCTGATACATTTTCAGAAGACTCTTCGTGAAGGGTCGCCTAGTAGCAGGGTATACCGAAATGTCGTTGCTATTGGGGTTGATAAGAGTCTAGTGTCGAGTGTGTGTGGATGAGTCTGTAGGGATGATGGTGTAGTGGCCAGGGTGTGGTGATGAGTCGATGAGTCAGCGGAGACAGAGAAAGAAAAGGAGAAGAGCTCGCGATATTTAAGTCTCATCGGAGAGATCGCGCACAGTCCATCGGTTGGACTGCATTTGACCCATTGCTCACTCGAAGAGGGTATGTGATTGTCGCTCTTGTGCCTCTTGGCCGGGGATGATGGGGACTGCAGTCTGTCAGCAGGTGTTGCTGCCCTATGAAGAGGCTACTTACTATAACAGGTGTTCCGCTTTAAGTAAGACATTCATCCCTACTACTCCTAAGCCATATAAGCAGCTTAGAGTGCAATTAGTAGCACAGTCGCTGGTGGAAAGTTGGGGAGATGGCAGTTCTATGTGTGTCGCTTTAGTGTGGCAAAGCCTGGAGATTATTAGCAATGGTCTGAATAGTCTCAGGCTTCACAGCCATGCTAGCACGGAAGCTTTCGTCGGTCATCGCATCGACCTTGGCTAGGAGGAATCGGGACGTACCACGCTCGATGCCAGCGGCATCAGCGTCCGCTCTCGAAATTGGTCCAGCTTGCCAGTGGCTTCATGTTTACGTTGAGGTGAGCATCCAGCTCGATCTGCTCAGCGCAACATCCTTCGAATACAACGGTACCCGTACCCCACGCAGCCTGCGACCTGAACGATTCAGCCAATGTCTGCTACCCGACATTGCTTACTGAACGGCCGTGTGATCTCCACGCGCGCCGGGCGCAGTGTGGCGACTATGAAGGCTGAGACCATTCAGACCATTATCAATCATCTCCAGGCTTTGGCGACTTGTCCAAAGTGTGACAAGCAAGTCATCTTCCCTGCGCCAACTTCTCGTAAGGAATACCTCCTGTCCAGCAGGCAGAACCAAAACTTCGAGCACCTCGAGCAAGTACACGGTCACTCGAAGACACGTCGCTTCACCCTAGTAACGTGCTTCGAGCATGTCCAATGTCGACATGTCAGGATTGCAGGCGATTGTAGCAAGGCCAGCTCGCCGGCGGTCAACTCTCTTCGCCGCCGGCCGCCTTCGTGGTCATGGCCTGTCCCTCACCATCCCTTGCGACATCGTCGACCATCGCGTGCAGCGACAACGAACACGTCGCATCATCGCGACCGTGGTCATAGTCCTGAGGGTTTTTCATTCACTCGCCCACGTGCTTGAGTAGCGTGCAGTGCAGCGCTCGTCTCGAGTCCGTTGTGTCGAAGGGTAGCGATCGCACTGCTCAGCCGGAGTCTTCCCTATCTTCTTGGATGTCGCCATTTGGAGGTGATGTCTGGAGTCATTGTCGTGTGTCAAGTCCGAATGCCCTTAAGTTGTCGAAAAGCTAAGCACGTGGTGGTCTGCGACGAAACGGGAAGGCACGGCACGTGAAGATTGATGAAACAGGAAGCTGCGTTCAGTCAATCGCGAAGCTTATTTTGACTGCACTTACTTTGTACTTGTACTTCACCACTTGGACATGGAACAGCCTGAGTCAAGACTGCTTACTCTTGCGCTGGGCGAAGGCTGGTGTACGAGCAAGGCCGGCCATATCCGCCGGAACTTTGAAGTTCGTTGCCATCACCTGAGACATGAAGTGGATATAGCCGTAGTCGCCGTAGTGCCGGCCTGTCGCTGTCGCGTGCAAGATCGGTGTGCTCGTCCGAGCGGTCTCCGCGCCCGACACGTGGTCATCTCGGTCGTTCCAGAATACACAGGGCGATGGACAAGTTGCCATTCGAAGATTGGTGACGAGTTTTTTTTTTGTTGAACTGTGGATTCCTTGATGGTTTGAACTTTGAGCACGAGACAGCGGCTGCTTCCCCTGCAGATTCTGGTACGAAACCGAGCTGCCTGAATAGGCTCACTTTCGGGTATCGTATGCGATGAGCATGCATGCGAAGCCGACCATGTCCATGTAGGGCGTTTGCAGAGCCAGGCTTTTCCCCGGCCGATCAGAGCGACTTCAGCGCAGGACAACACTATCGACTCAGTGGAAAATGCGCATCTTCGACATTCTTAGAATGTCAGTGATGGTGAAATGTCTGCTCCCGTCCAGCACACGACTCCGTTCGAGGAACGGACTCCAGGTTTGATCGTTGGGTCGAGTGGGGTTTTGGTGAGGAGTTCGGCCAAGCGATTTCTGAGTAATGACAGATAGGCGAGTTGTATCCTCTTGTTGCCCATGGGCGGTCACTACCCCGGCTTCGAGCTACAGCACCTCTAGCAAGGGCGAGATGCGTGATGCTTTGGCGTGGACCTTGATGCGCTGTTGTTGAGAGTCGGGCAGCAAGCGTGTTCTCTTTCCTCATTCGGATGTTGTGTACGAGGTGGAGTGCGTGGCACTCATCTTTTTGTGGTTTTGGATTCGATGTTCGCACAAACGACACGATCACATCAATGGGACGTGTACCGCGAGAGTTTAATGTCGTTGTCGCCGTCCTGATACGCTGTCACGTGCGCCTGTGGTTTCTCCGGAGATGCAAGATTCGCCCAGACGATCAGCGTGAATGGTCGCACAGCAGCCTCCAACGCTCCCGCGAGCTTATCTCTGGCCAACCGCCTTCTTTCCTTTTGCAACCGCTGCAACCACACCACCTTGCGACAGCCTCATATCATCCACCGAACGGGCAAGCGATTCCCTGGGCCAGCTTGGGGTGCAGCACTGCTGTCCTTGTCGCGTGTGGGGAATGGGTGAAGAAGGCGGCTGTCCCGAAGAAGAAGCACAGAAGCACCGGGTAGCCGGTCGAGCAGCCGGCGTATGGGATGCCTGCCAACTTTCACCAAGGCACGAGATCACTTCGTCTAGACCGGCGGGCAGAGTTTTGACCGCCCCCACTGCGACCAAGAGTTTTTCACGCAAGCCGGTTGAACCTCTATTCGATAGTGAATTTCACTAGGGAATATCGGTGCTTTACTTTGAGCAGGAACTCGGTGACCGCGTCGCCTTGCGATACATGGAAAGCTCCCGGGTGCCACGAGCCACCAATCACATTCCCACTAGTTTTCGAAGCGATCGGCCGTAGAACATGTGCGATGCCTTCTAGCGCCGGGAAATGTATGCGCTCAGGAGGCTAACCCGAAGGCGTAGGTCAACACACTCGTCTGTGCGTCATCCTCCACCCCGGCGACGACAAGGACAACAAACCGCAGTAGCAGCAGCAATCACAACCACGACCAGCAGACGGCGGCCTTGTCCGATGCAGGGCGAACGACGTGAGGACGCCCGACGCATGCACGCTCGTCGACCAACGCCCGCACAGAGTTTGGGTGCGAAGTCTTATCAGTCCCTGTGCCCAACCACAACGCCCGTATTGTGCCTTCCCGTGCAAGCCGTCGTGCCGCTTCCGCCGACGATGGCATCCCACGCGTAGCCGCAGCAGACGTATCATCAGTGGTGGTGGTGGTATCAGTGTACACTCCGTCACTCCTCGCTTCGCGCCTACCGCACCTCCTCGTGGTCGCCTGTCTCACCCATCCCTTCCTCACTCCAACCTCACCTCTGTCAACAACACCACAACGACATCCACGACGCTCGCTCTGCCCCTTCCTGACCAAATTTCGCACATCCTGCATCCCGGCAGTTTCGATCGAGTAATACCACGCTTGCTGGACCCTTACGCAAGCCTAAGCTCCATCTGTTACGTGTGGGAAACTAGATCGCGTCAAACCTCCCTCCTGGGTCCTGGATCGCTGGACGTCAGAGGCCCCTCGGCCGTCGCCGTTCCAAGCTGTGGCCAACGTCTCACGAGACACGCATTACTTCTTATTCCTCATTACCCAACTGGAACCACAGTAGCCCAGGTCTCGCCGTGCCTGTCCACCATGCAAGTCCCGAGGTCCTTCAAATACAGCTCCTCTCCGCCCATGGCCGACGCCCTGCACGAGAGACCTGCTCGACGATCGCCCACGCGCAAACCCAAACCCGACGTCAACGTTACCTCGAGACCTGTGTCGCCTGCACGAACGGAATCAGAACCTGTGGCTATCCCTTCGCCAAAGTCTACAAATGCTCCGGCATTCGAACCCTCGCCTGCAGATCAGAGTCACGAGATGCCGAATTACAGGAGCCAAACCTTGCCTATCGGTCGCAGGAAGCCATCATCAGCACACGACCCAAATGCGCTTCCACCGGCGGTAGCCGCACTGTTGGCAGTGACTGCCATCCCACCGCGAAAACCGAACCGCTATCGCAGGAGACCTGGCAGCGACCGGCGCATTTCTATTGAGGAGTTGATTCAAGAGTGGAAGAGCGATTCATCGCTCAAATCGACCAGCTATGGCAGTCCAGCGTTGAATGTACTGCTTGAGGACACAGATTGTGAGGATGAGGATAGCGAGAGGAGGGACAGCGGGCCAGATCCAGCGTTCTTGAACGCGAGGTCGGCTTCAAGCGAGTCGATGCCGTCGCTGGAGGCAGACGATCGATCCGTGCTTTCAGTGGGTAGCCCTTCCACGCCTGGTTCATTGCGAAGTCGCAAGTCTTACCAGAACCTGAAGTCAAGGCCGCGCTCGCTGCCAACAGTCGAAGACTGTGCATTTGACCATCCGCTCGTGCCTCGGTCAGTACCCGAGGATGACGACTTTCTGCTGCCTGTACAGAAACAGTCTGTTTCTGCAGCAAAGCCCAGATCTTCGTTCAAATCCAACCTTACCGCATCGCTGCAGTCTTTGAAGAAAGCTGCTGTCGAATCAATATCCTCCATCGGCCGCGCGAGTTCATCACCCGCGCTTTCCAGACATGCGACCCCACCTATCGACGACATGCTCTGGTCGCATCCATTCCTATTCCCTAGATTCAGCTCAGAGATCCGGCCAACAGTCGATGGAACACCCTCAGAAGCGGAAAGGCGATATCTTAACCCAATCCCGCTCACATTCGAAGAGCAAGAAGCGCCCTTCCAGCAAGCTCTCCACGCCCCATTCCTGGCCGAAGCCATCGAAGACGCACCCACCATCCAATTGCAGACCTACAACCGCGGTCGCAGGCGAGGCAGTCCTAAGCGCGCTCCCAATCCCAACTCAGAAGCCGGTAGAGCCCTTCTCGGCGCCACGGGTGTTAGGCAGCGCGAGGTGCGCGAGAATCCGGATTTCCTGCGCATTGTGGTTATGGAGATGAATATGCGGCGGGAGGGGAAATTGGAGCAGGGCAGGGCGAAGATTTGGTTGCCTCCGCGGGAGGCCAGTCCGGCGCCGGAGACGACAGAACGGGTGCCGAGGCGGTGGGTGGGCGTGAGTGCGTATTGATTGAGAGGGGCGAGTGTGGGTGAATGAACGCCATTTCAAGCGAAGCATTTTTCTTTTTGACTGCCGCGTTCCAAGCGACTTTGATATATCAAGAAGAAGGAAGAAGCATCATGCATGCATAGGAAGGAAAGGAAGGAAAGGAAGCAAAGGAAGAAAGACACCTCACAAGATAGGAGGAAAGAATAAAGAAGAACGACAGCTCACAGTGCTGGTCACCAGAATATAGCAAGACGACGAAAGCCGATGGCAACATCTCACCCAAGAACCTCGCAACCCGTGCGTCCATTTATGTCCCTCTTCCCCTCTCCCCTCGCCATCATGGTTGATCACCTACTACAGTATAGTACGGCAGGCAGGTAAATGGCTCACACGGACGGGGAGGATTGCGCGATTTTATGGTGGTGTGAGGTATTAATTTTTGGCGTTTAGCGTCACGTGGGAGTTGGAGATGATGATGTGCTGTAGAACTTAACTTCGGGCTACGAGGGATGGAGAAGTTCAACTTCACCTTCACCTTCACTTGTTCTGGAGCTGGAGAACCGTGTGGGGGGCCGGGACGTGGTGCGTGTAGTTCATGTATGCGTTTGGTGAAGTTGTTGGAGGTGTTGATGAGGCGGGAGTGACGAGTCGTACAGCACCGTGACACAGAGACGGAAAGGACTGGGGTGTTGTGTTGGAGTTCGACGGATGCTCAATCTTCGGCCTGTCTTCGCTCTAGTTCTATCCACGGTGTTCCGCTCAAACTGGAATGAATACTCATCCCCTTTACTCCCAAGCCATCTAAGCAGCTTGGAGTGTAATTAGCAGCGCAGTTGCTTGTGAGAAGTCGGGGAGAGGGCAGTTTTATACGTTCAAGAACTCGTACTGTGCTCCATACCTATCTATTCGGGGTATATCTCATCTCATCTAAAGTGCCCATACTCATACCAAATGCCCAAAACCCAATGCCAAATGCTATGCAATGCCAAATGCCCATTCCCATAAACCCACTCCCACCCCTATGCAAATCACAACCACATCCACCCACGTCTTTCTACGCATTATGATAAACCCTCATCAACCCCTCCCGAAACTTCTCCCAAGCCCCCGCCTGGCGCCGATGCTCCCGGGCATAATTCTCCTCCAAAACATTATGTTTCGTCACGATACTCAGAAAGACCTGATCCAGCGTCGCCTGGCTGACGGAGTAATACTCGAAACCCAATTTCTCCTTGTTGCGCTCGAGTTGGGAGAAGAGGGCGGAGATGCTGTGGGATGAGGGTGAGCTGTTGTCGGAAGTGGTGGTTGAGGACGTGAGAGCGGTTTTCTTCTCGTCCTCGAGGATAATCTCTTCTTTATTCGGGGGCAGCGTGTCTCGATGCGCGGTGCGGTCGTTGGGCACGCTGAAGCGCAGCTGGCCGTGGAAGGTGCGTTCTTCCACCGTGGCGCCGGGGAAGGTGTTGCGGATGAAGAATTTGATGTCGTTCATGTCGTCGTCGGTGCTGTAGGGGGCGTCCTTGTGGACGAGGTGCACGTGGTGGGCGTCGCCGTGTTTCTTTCGCAGTTCGTCGCTGGTGCCGAGGGCGAGCATGTGTTTGGCCATGATGCCGGCGCGGTCGGCGAGCGCGTCGGCTTCTTCCATGGAGTGCGTTGTTAGGACGAGCGATCTGCCTTCGGAGACGGCTCGCAGAGTTCGCCACATGACTCGTTTCGATGCTGCGTCCATTCCGGAACTTGGTTCGTCGAGAAGGAGCACAGATGGGTTGCCCATCAGTGCGATGCCCAGACTCAGCTTCCGCTTGTTACCACCAGACAGTTTTCCCGCAAGTCTGTCCTTGAATTGCGCCAGCCCAACAGCATGAATAACCTGATCAACATTGTACTCCACATCCTTGACACCTCGAGCCCGAGCATAGAACCTGAGATGCTCAATGGCAGTCATCTGATCCATGGCATCAAACTGAGGACACACTCCAAGATGAGACCTCGCCGCCGCCCGATGATCAATGATCGAGATATCCTCAATCAGAATATCGCTTTCCCTCGAACTCGGGCGCATATCGCCACGAATCAGCCCGATGGTCGTAGACTTGCCAGCTCCATTGGGCCCAAGAAGAGCGAATGTATCGCCATGAGGCACACCAAACGACACATCTTGCACGGCAACGTTAGGTCCAAAAGCCTTGGTGACATGATTGACTCTGAGCTCGTCCTTGGAGTCTTCGATGCGGATGGCTTCGCTGAAGACCTCGTTGTCCACATCATCAATCTCTTCGTGATCTGGCGATCGATGTCTCGACCTAGCAAGGAAACTAGGTCTCCATCCACTGTCGAAAGCGATCAGGACAGTCATGAAAATGACAGATTGAATGATCAGGTACAGGATCGGTCCGCCGTAGACATCGATGGCACCGGGATAGCTCGCAAGTTGGTCTCCTCTGCAGAGCAATGAGAACTCGTTGAAAGACAAAAGCAACGCACGAAGCAAGTTTCCAGCCGGGAAGAAGAATGCAATGGTCCAATTCGCTGTTGAGATGTAGCTGTCGATGTTCGCTGGCGGAGCGTAGGTGATGATGGCCATGAAGGCGATGAAATACAAGAGGAAGAAGATGCACTGTCCTCCGGCGGCGAATGCGAAAGTGGCGAGTTGGCTGGTGGTGAATAGCGAGACGACGTACGACATCAACGTCGCTGAGAGGCCGAAGAGCGCGAAGACCAGGAAGAGGTATCCAGGTCCATAGAACACACCCGAAGAGGCCGTGAAGATGATGATAGCCACAGCGCTGACCAGCAAAACGATCATGAAATCGAAGCAAGTGTACGCAAGCCAGAGCGGCCCAGCTCGGACGCCATTGCTGTAATGCAGCGCTCGCACATTCCTCAGCCGTTCGACATTCGTGTACAGCGAAAAGAACCCTGGAAACACGCTCATAGCCAGTCCAAAGTACAGGATGAACTGCAAAGTCTGTCCCGCATCCGGCGCCCACTCTCTCGCGAATGCCTGGAAGGCCGTGACGATGGGGAAGCCGAGGAGAGCGTTGTCCATCAAGTTCTGCATTGAAATGGCGTATTGCATCCCATAGTCACCGCGGTAGGCGATCGTAGGCGTGTCTCCAAGGAACACTCCTCCGGGAGTGACGTTGTGATATCTTGCGGCCACGAATTGGTTGAAAGCTTGCAGAGTCGGTTGCTCGTTGTCCAGGGTGTTGTTAATACCCAGAGCAGGATACAACTGCCGAAGGGCATCTGTCGGGAATTGGCCAGTAGGCCCAGTGGGAATCAGAGCCTGGTATGCCAGCCAGGTCTCGAATGAGTCGGCCTCGGGGTCGGCGTACAGTGCTGATGGGTCACAGGATAGGGGCTCGAAGCTCTGGATGAAGAGCGTTACAAGAGCAGCAGTGATGATCGGAATGATGAGTGCCGCCAGGTATGGCCACGCGTTTCGACGAAGAATGACCGCTCGCTTCCGGAAGAGAACCCAAGTCTGGCCGAAGAACGAAAGAGGCTGGCCAGGCAGTAGTCGCAAGCCTTTGTCGCCTTCATGGTTGCCATCCACTGCATCTCCAGTCGAAGGTGTCGGACTAGGTGCACGATCCTTATCAAGTTCCTCCTTCACCTCCTCTGCCAACTTCAAGAAGCAATCTTCGATCTGTGGGCCGTTGACCTGGTAGTCCCGCACGCCATGCCTTTCAAGCTCAGAGATGAATTGAGCCGCCGCCTCAGAGTCCGCCAGAAAGTAGACAGTCTGATCATGGTAGACCTGCTTAGACGTTGCCTCCAACTTCTCAGGCAAGGCCTTCTCATTCGCATGGTAGATTCGAACACGGTAGCCACCACCCAGGTTGTGCTTCAACTCGACAGCCGAACCATGAGCCACCATCTTGCCCTTAGATAAGATGGAGATGTCGTCCGAGAGGAGGTCGGCTTCGTCCAGGAAATGGGTGGTCAAGACCATAGACCTCTTGCCTCGTTCAGCGAGGAGGATATCCCAGATCTTGCGTCGACTCAGTGGATCCAGACCAGAGCTGACCTCGTCAAGCATGCAGAGGCTGGAGCCGCCAGTCAACATCATCGCCAACTGACACTTTCGCTTCTGACCTCCTGACAAGGTCTCAGACCGAGCATGTATCTTCTGCTCAAGATCGCAAGCAAGAACCAGCGCCTCGATCTCAGCCTTGGTGTCCATCTTGTCCGACTTGAGTTTATTGAATATCCGCACATGCTCAAAGACCGTAAGCTCATCCCAAAGCACGTTTTTTTGCGGACACAGACCGATACCTCCGGTCCCATCCATCTCAATCGTACCACTCGTAGGCTTCTGCAGACCAGCAAGCATATCCAACGTCGTGCTCTTCCCGCTTCCGTTGGCTCCAAGCAAGACCATGATCTGACCCTTCAGAACCGACAGATCGATGCTGTCAACGGCTCGAACAACATTCAGCGGTTTCTTGGGGAACCGCGCGATGACATTTCTGACGAACCATCCAGGCGGATAGTGCTTTGTCAGTCCCGTAATCTTGAGCGTCTCGGGCTCCTCGCTCTCAGTATATCTCAACTCTCTGGATTTAGAGGCTGTTCCGTACAGTAAATGCTCGAGCAGCGCACCGATGAAAGGGTAGACCAGGAACTGGATCGCACAGAACAGGAAAAGAACATAGCCCGGAACTCTCCAGGGCGCATCTGGAGCCGCGTACCTCAGGTCTGCCGCGAGGTTATCCCTCTCCCAGTAGGCGTTGTAGATGATGTAGAGGGTGAAGTTCATCGAAGGCATGAGCAGACTGGCAATGATGGCGCCTCCAGTGGACGGCGGCGGGATGACCTGGATGATGATGGCCAGGATGACAGCAGTCATCGTGACTGTTATGCCCGAGAGTTGTGCCTTCCTGAACAGCGCCGCGAACGCAATAGACCACGAGGACAACGCCAGACCGCTCAAGATGAAGTACCCGATCAGGATCCCAATGCTCGAAGTCGGGTAGTTCAGGGCGCCTACTATAGCTCCCATGACGATCCAGCTCGGAGCATAGAGTATGTCGAAGGAGATGTGCAAAGACAAAAGTCTTGCGGCCTGCGGCATCCACCGCTGCTTGTTGGGCATCATGGCCTCGATGAGCTGCGACATGCCCAATTCTCGTTCTTCGGCCATGTGTCCCGTGAGTTGGTAGCAGATACCACAGATACCAATGAAGTACGCCAGACCCAGGATACTGATGAGCGTGCCCATATACAGCCTCGTAATGTTGCGGTCTCGTTCCTCTTCATTCCTGGTAGTGAACGGATACTGCTGAACATCATCCCTCAAAGTCGTCCCGTTAACCGTAGCAATCGCGCTATCCACAGCATGCTGCAGCGGAAAAGCGTAAATGTCAACATCATTATTCTCCTGATTGACAAAGATCCTCCCACCCAGCGACCCATCACTCCTCATCGTATAATTCCAGAACCCACCCTCCCCCTCCGTCGGCGAAGAATGAAACACAATCGCCCCAAAACACGGCGACACCCCGCGGATCGTACTCGGACACATCTGCAGCAGTTCCCCCTCACTCGCAAGAACCGGCGCCCTCATCCCCTGTGCAGTGACCGGCCTCGACAACTCCTCAATCACCCTCGAGATATCGCCGCCGGAGAACCCATTGTCCACAAACGCGACGATATCCCTGCCGCCCGCCGAACTCGCCAGCGCATCGCTGAAACTGCGGATCGGCGAGGCAGATCCAATCCCGAAAGCGCTCGGGGGCACAAAGAAGTTTTTCGTGTAACTGATGATGAAAATGAAAATGATGGGCGCGAGGAATGCGCGGATGAGCGTCCCGAGCCAATGCCGTAGGAAGACGACCGTGAGGGTCTTCTCGACGAGCGTCCATGTCTGGCGGAAGAACGCCATGCTTGTCGAGTTGGTCTCCGCTCCAGTCGTGGGTAGGGTCGGCGTGAAGTCGTCGTCGATGAATTGTCAAGAAAAGTCCCTCAAACGTGGTCCCTCGTCATCGAAAAAGTAGAACTAGTAGTCGTCTCGGGTGGCAACAACGAACAAAGTCTCACTCATCTGGGCGCAGTCACGCCAAGGCTCTCCATCACCAAACGAAGGGAGTAGATTAAGCGAACGGACTTCCAAGACCGCGTCCTTCTTGCGCGGGTGCTTGGTGGTAGCTGAACGAAGTGGTGTACGGGCGTACGAAGCGACAGAGGAGAGAAAGATGGAAACGCAATCCATTTCCATTCCGGGCTCGGCAGGACGCCCGGCCCAATGGGCATCCGAGCCAAGCGCCATGCCGCGCAGAGGAGACGGATCTTTGACGGGTGCATAAATCCGTCTGCAAGCGACTTACTGTGGCAAATGCTATTGTAGTTGATGCAGAAGGATTGATATCCTACGGGTTTAGGTCGCTGGATGGGTTTGGAGTGAAGTCAGATCATGCTTTACCCACTTCCTGGGTTGACCCAAGGGGCCCAACAAGGAAGGCGGAAATTGCCGGATTAGATATAGACGCATGTGAAGGATGTGCACGGTTTATGGAAGGATCTTAATCGTCTCGTTCAATGCCAGCCCTACGGAGATATATTGCCGGTCTATGTCAACTCTTTCGAAGGCGGTTGATGAGCAACTGCCGCTTCGGGCTGCCTGTCACCAATCTTGCCAGGCTGGAACTTTTCAGATCTCAGATCCTTGGAGGCTTCAGTGCTTACACTCTTCTCCCTTCCTCCCTGCGTCCCTATCGTCAAGAACGGCACCAGCATCACGCTCAGTGTAGTAGCTGCGAAAGCAAACCAAAACACTGCCGCGTAGGGCTGCGTCATTCTGTCCCAATAGTTCGACAGGCTTGGCTTCTGTTGCACAGAATTAAACACGGCTGTGTTGATCCCCAGCCCTATCGTCATGCACAGTTTCGTAACGGTCTGGAATATCCCACCAGCAGTGCTTTGCTGTGACGGCGGCATCGAGGACATGACGTACATGTTGGCGACGTTGAACTCCAGGTCGGCTCCTACGACAAGCAGAAGGAATGCCGGAAAGCAGAAAGCCCAGTAGCTGTCGTGGATGGTGTTGAGGGCGAAAAGCAGCATGGCGATCGCATACGCTCCGCTTCCAATATACATGAGAAGCTTGTTTGAGATGCGGTGAAGAGCCCAGCCGGCAAAGATGTTGACGATGATGCCGTTGATGGCCATCGGCAGCAAGTGGACCGCGACCATGATAGCAGACATGTGCCAGACATCCTGGAAGTACAGCGAGACGAAGAAGGACGCTGGGGTGAAGGCCACAAATCCGAGCGACAGGATCGATAGTACGAGAGTGAAATCGCGATCTTTCCAGATACCCATGGGCATCAAGGGCCATTTGCACCAGCATTCCCAGCATATGAACCCTATGATGAGGAGCAGGCCGACGATAAGAAGCGCGAGGACATATGGCGTCGTCCATCCCTGAGGTGCGGTATCTCCCAGGCTGAGAGCTGCTGAGAACATGCCTATACCGGCGACGGTAAGGACAGTTCCCACCAGATCAAAACGCTTCCACGTATCCCAGTTGAATGGCTCTTTTGCCGTGAAGTCTTTCGGTACGCTGAAAACAGCGATGATCGTGAAAACGAGGAAGATGATGGCAAGCAGCCAGAAAGATGCTCGCCATCCGAAAAGTGTTGTTGCGATGCCGCCGAATATTGTCCCAAAGACGAATCCCAGCGGATTGCCAGCACTGAAGCAAGCGAAGGCTGCGTTCTTGCGTTTGCTCGGCTTCTCGTAAATGACGCCGAGTAGGCCAACAGCCGGGGGCACTGCAGAAGCACTGAAGAGTCCAAGAACACCGTTTAGGATGTCGAGTGTTATTGCGTCGTGCACGAACCCTGCAGCAAGGCAAAAGACTGCGAACAAGAACAGGGAACCGACAAACATCATTTTCCTGCCGAAGAGGTCGGCGACCCTGCCGAAGAAGAGCAAGAAGGCGCCAGCGCTCAGTGAGCTTGCCGATGAGATCCATGTGATCTGAGCTGTTGTCATGTCCAGCCTGGCCTCAAGTCAGCCATCACACCGCTGGAGATATCTTCAAGATCAAACACACGATCTGCCAATGAAAGAGGAAGCCACCGTGACAGAGCCGGCCAGAAAGCTGGTCATTGCAATGGCCATTGTTGCCGTTAGCACGAACAGTACCTCTTGTAGTGTCGTTTTGAAGCATGCCGGCCGTGCGCTATTCGTTCGAACTGGTTCAATGAGATCCATCCCCTCGTTCGCCACAGCTGGTGAGGCAGCATCTTGAGCGGTAGACGATTTCTCGTCGCCCGTCTGTGCCCCAGCCATCGCAGTCGTCTTCTTGGTTGTGCGATGTCAATGCATCAAACTTTGATTGACTTAAAAAGAAATCGTCAATAGCTTCCAGGCTCGTGGGAGCCGACTATTAGCTGGTCTAATAAGCAGTGCTGTTTTGACGCGGAAAGCCTCCGTTTGAGGTGGGCGGCATTTGCTAATCGATACAGGCAAACAGGCCGGCATTGGAACTTCTTTGGCGTAACTCCGGCTCATGTGGTTCAAAGTGCGAGGTATGCGACTGCTGAACTTGCCACATATTTGCGAGGTCAATTATTCGTCTGATTTGTCTTCTTGCACGCAAGGCATCTTCCTCACAGCTTCACGACCTCCCAGTCATCCAGATCCATCGCGGAAAGGACGCCTTTCAGCGGTCCTTGGACTTCCCTCCCACCAATCCATTGCTTTGGTCCCGCCCAGTAGTTTACGAAGCCTTCAGGTCCGGACACAAAGACAATCTTCTTCCCCGGGACGGTAGCATTCTCTTGTGTCGAGATAGAGCGGATGACTTTAGTCACATCCTGCGGCTTCATGAGGGCGCCTTCTTCGTCCACGTAGTAATCAACGAGAAGTTGAGAGCGCTTTGCCTCTGGTGTTGTCGCCTGATCTTTCAAGTCTTCCAGCACCGACACCAGCGCACTCTTTTGCACATTTGCGACCTTGGTATCTGCCCCAGGAGACGTTCGCGAAAAGCTCCACCAGCTCCCACTCGATATCCTCTTTGTGTCGCTATGCCCACCAACGCAGTCCTCTCTCTTCCTGTTTGCCCACAGTATGTGCATATCCGCTTGTCCTTCAAGTATATCTGCCACTTGCAACGCAGGCGCAATGCCAGTACCTCCAGCAATAAACACAACGCTCTTCACATCCTTTGGAACGATGTACTCGGCATGAAGACCTCGTGCCTCGATCTCTGCGCCAATGGGTAGCCTGTGAAGAAAGTTTGACACCTCACCTTTCTGCTCTCTGCGTATGAGGAATCTCAGCTCGTCCATATGCTGGCCTTGTTGCTGCGGGAGGCATGTATATGCTCGTGCGATTTGAAGCTGTGGCTGCTTGAATTGTAAACTGGTGATAGCTCGTTCGCAGTCTGGATCGTCCAGATCGATCGCGACATTGCCGGCTGGCATGAGTCTGAATATGGCGCATGTTGATGAGACTGGATCCTTGCCAACAAGGATATACTTCGCAAACTCTTGAGGACCGGCCAGTCTCATGCCACCATTGTCTGCGTATCGCTCTTTCAGGTACCACCCGAGGGGGATTGTGAGGGCAAAGAATCCCAATGCCGGCAGAACGAGCCGACTGCGACTCTTCCTGCTGCCACCATCTTCATGCTCTTTCCCAGACCCAGTGTTCGAGACTGTGCCGTTGGGGGATTTTTCATCCCGCAGTCGTGGAATGCATTGCGCGGATCGGGCAAAGGATGCCGGTCTTCTCGTCAAGTATCTCGGCAATGTTCGTGAAGCACGGGACAAACAACGAAATTGCAATGACATCGCCCATATGACAAAACACCAGACGCCAAACAAAAGCCGTCATTCAATGAAGAAGGTAACTTGCTGGGAGTATTGGGTTGCAGCGCGTTTCGCGTGTCAGCAAGGAGGCCCGAGCTTCGCTCACTTCTCTCCTTCGAGGCCAACGACATCCCCTTTCCCGTCCTCCTAACACACATGCATCGTGACTTACAGTTCGCGGTCGAATGCCTCGAAGCAGCACTCAAGCAGTCCACCACGGTACATTCTACGCAACGCTGAGGAGCTGCAGCATGACCATTGGGCAGGGCGACAGGTAGGGGTATGCTGCGCCGTTCGAAGCCATGCGAGACTTCTGCAAGTCGGTGCCGGCGTGCGCTGGGATTGATATGCGTTGTTCTTCCAGTGCGGCGTAACGAGAGACTGGTATAAAGTGCTCAAACTTCCCATCCCTGCCTGGGATGGAATTCCACCGAACAAAGCTAACTCAGAGCGCTCTACAATTTCCATCGTTCACTACCATGGCTACCGTCGAGAAGCAGCAATACAACGATGTGGCAATCGAATACTTGACTCTGGCCGATGTACCACAGACCAAGCTTGAAGACGAACTGGTCAAGCTGGGCTTGGGTGACTGCGCAGGTTTCCGGGTGCTCGATCTCGGCGGCGGCAGCGGCGGTCACGCTCGACATGCTCTCGAAGCTGGAGCTACATCCATCGACGTCGTCGATGTCAGCGAGCAAATGCTTCAGGTGGGAAAAGACATAGAGGCGAAGAATGGTCGAGACGTGATCAATTGGTACTTGGCCGACATCTCCAAGCCAATATCAAACGATATTTCCTCGCTGCCACAGGAAGGCTACGACATCGTCATGGTCATCTGGGCGTTCGACCATGCCACATCGATCAAGGAACTCGAGGGAATGTGGCAGAATGTTACGTTCTACCTCAAGCCTGGTGGTCGATTCGTCGGCGTTCGTGTCGGGAACCCACGGTCCAAGAGTGCACAGAGCGGCGACTACGGTGCAAGATTCGACAACATCAAGGAGATCGCAGACGGAGTCAGATACGATTGCGTGGTCCTTACGAAACCGCCGTTCTCTTTCGAGGCTACTTCTATGAAGACAAGCTACACTGGATCATTCGAAATACCCCAAAAATACGGCCTGTCTGATTTCAAATACGTCCAAGCGGAAGATACGGAAATTGTGAAGAAAGACGCGGATTACTGGAAGACATTCCTTGAAGACCCTCACTTTGTCGCCTTCACGGCTACGAAGCTGTGATTATGATGGATATCTGCCTCGAGCTGTTTTTCGCATGCAGTAGCTACTGAGCCCGTGATGTCTACGGAAAGAACAGCTCTATGACTGTGGCAGTTTTGTTTATGTCCAACCCTCCATGCACGATCTCTCACCCACATTATTGCTTCCACTATTGATTTGAGTATTCTATATACCACTTCAACATGTGTATCCAGTCCAATGCAGCTCTAAATAGAGTTTATTAACGTCTGCAAACACCACTACCATTGGCGGGCCTGGAGCGCCACATCGGAAGGAAGCGAACGATACCTTACTAATGCAGACTATTCAGCAACGGGCTGGTAAGGAACGTCGGCGGAAGGTGGCCTGAGAGAGACGACATCGTCGAGATATCAACAACTCCCAAGCAACTCTGCATTGAAACAGCGTCCTCCCGGGTGATGCCTGGTCCCGCCTACGCCTCTCTGCGCTCCTCCATCTGCATCTCGTGGGCTCCTTCCTCTTCTAATGCCTGAAAGGAGTGCAAATAAGAGGGTCTCGAAAGCGAAAACGCCCTCATCGAATAAAACTGCCGCATCCTACACCTACACTGGCTGCTGGACATGCCGGCGGCGCCACATTAAATGTGACCTGAGAAGACCCGCCTGCAACCGCTGTATCAAGGCTGGCTTTGACTGCGAAGGCTACGACTTCAAGTTCGCAGGCTCTGACTCTTCACGATCGTTCCGGCGGCCGGTAGCACCGGGAAGCAAGGCTCAGCAAGTTGCTTCTTTCACGAACGCTGAGGTTACTGGCATCTTGGATGAGTTGGACATTGCAACTGCCTCGCTTCAGAAAGGCCCATTCTCGGTGCTATCCTTCGATTCAGCTGCTCAAGATGAGCCCTCAACGCCGACGGTCGATCTTGCGCTTCACCCTACTCGGGTCAAGCAGGAGCTGTCGTCATGGGAATCGCCGCAAGACAGCGGATTCGCTTCACAGCAGACCTCCCCAACCAACGATACAAAGAGCCTCACTCCAATTCGCACATACTATTCGCCGTCGCCGCCGATGGTGCAAGAACCTCATTTCTTGACCATATCGGGGAGACAGAGTGAGCTGTTCGAGCACTGGACCACTTTCTTGTGCCATAACTTGTCACCTTTGACGTCGACCGTCAACCCCTTCCGCTACACCTATCCTTCTTTGGCCTTGGAAGGCTTGACAGTGACCGCGGACGTGGCAACTGCGCGGTTGGCGGTCTTTCATGGCATTTGTGGAACTGCAGCCTGGAGTCTATTACGGCTGAAACAACACGATCAGACATATCATGCGCTGTCTGTGTATCATGACCAGATGGCCTTGCGATACATCCAGGAGACGATCGAGCGACCCGATGGATTACACGACGCAGCCATTCCTGCAGCTATCATGAGCTGTCTCACCGGTGATACAGTGTCTGGACGGCTAGAACTCTGGGGAAGACATCTTCGCGGTGGCTATCGTTGCCTGTTGAACGTCCTCGCTCATCACAAAGCAAGGGACAGGACAATGTCTGTCCTGTGCCAGCAATATCTGCTAGGAGCTGCACTGGGCAACTTTGGAACGGCAGCAGAGTTGCAAACCTTGTGGGATGCGGTCCTCAACGAGCCTCTGTACATCGAAGAGTGCCATTGCATCACTCGGCCGATGCTGGAATCAGTCATTGCGATCAATTTGCTCGCTGTCTCCAACAAACGCTTCAACCCCAACGAAGTCGAGGCAGTGCGATTGCAACTTCGTCGGAGCGTGCCAAAGTTTGAAGATCCTTTGAGGCACCACCTCTCGTATGCCTACTACTTCGCCATCATGATCCACTTCAGCCGTTCATTTTCCCAGCCCGTCAACACAGAACAACTAGCTGCCAAAGCGGTCGATCACTTGGAATGGGCAAAGCAGACCTCGGGAGGAAATTGCGGCAACATTTTGATGTGGCTGTTGTTCAAGATTGGGCCGGAATGCGAAAGCAACGAACTTCGCACGAGGCTGTTGCATTGGTGCAATACCCACTTGCGGACCAACATCAACACGTTGGACACATTCATCAAACACCTGCAAAACACCTGGGCTGTGTCGGCGATTCCTGCTCCAGAGACGACAGGATTTCCTATCGAAGAGATCAAGACCGAGAGCTATGATGATACTTGAGGACAAACTTGGTATTAGAAACTCACTCTGGTCTCGCCACGCAACTGTACTTGGATCACTCTTAGACACCAGGTCTTCACTTCGACTCTGCTCTGACAACAAGCTTCTTCTCCGGATCGCATCCAAGCCAGAACAAATCAGGCCTTGAGTCTGTGAGAGAGTCAGCGAAAGGCAGGCAGAAAGGAAGTTCAGAGAACTCACAATGGCCAATGGCATCGGCGAATGTCTTCGCCTTTGTGACTTGGGAAAGATCCAAGTCCGCAATGATGAGCTTTTCGTTGGGGTTGTTTGGATCGCTCAAGATTCGACCATCAGGGCCAATGACAGCCGAACTGCCAACGTTCGATTGTCCCATGATTGGAGCGCCCGCCGTACCCATCTGCTTTGTTGCAGCTTCGGTGATGACGGTTGTAGTATGGAGCACGAAGCTCTGAGATTCCATTGCATACGACTGTGAGAGATTTCGGCATCCTAGCGAAGTCAGCAATATACTCTCTGGTGGAGTAAGAACGCTTCATACCTTCAGTCGACATGGAATAAAAGCCTGGAGATCCCTGGATGAACCCATCGAGAGGAGGCCATGCGCCAACGTGGATCTGCTCGCTTTGCGCAAAAGTGTAGTACTTCAGCAAAGGCTGCATGTGTTCCCAGCACGACAGACTTCCCACTCGGCCAACTTCCGGAACATCGACCACCGGAGCAAGGCATTGACCGCTCGCATCGCCAAAGATCGTTCGCTCCATGTGCGTGGGCTTCATCTTACGTCTGGTCATCTTGAGCTCGCCGTTCTCGTCGATTAATGCCTGGGCGATATAGACTGATTCGCCATCGCGCTCGGAAAAGCCAAGAGCCACACTGATCTGGCCTTCGGCGGCGGCTGCTTGAATGCGCTTCATCTCATGACTGTCGACCTTGAGGCAGTTTTGGACGTACTTCACGCCAAGATCGAAGTCGACTGGGCGCGACCAGATCCATGCTGGGTAGCCTGGGATCCAACATTCGGGAAATGCAACAAGTTTGGCTCCAGCTTGAGCTGCTTCTCCGATGATGGCGATGGTTTTGGCCACGGTCTTCTCCAAGTCCAGCCAGACGGGCTCGTGTTGGGTGACCTGCGGGTGTCATGGTCAGCGTGGATTCTTTGGCGGCCAAGTAGACCTCCTTCTCGTTCGCTCGGTCTCTCAAGTCTCTATCAAAACATACCGCCACGCGGACTGTTTGTGGTCCAGCTGAGCCCATTTCCGCAATGTTACGATATCGGTCGCTGGTGGTATGAAGTGGCAAGAACTCTCGACTCTCCCCGTGTGGTTCAGCTCTGACTGTATCTCGATATATACAAACAAATGCTCTCGTGCGACGTGAGAGCCCTGTGTAAATACAAGGATTCCAGCCGTACAAGGACGTCAATCCTTCCTATCAACTTTGCGGCGGTATTCCTTGTTGATGTGGGGTAAAGGCCACGGTCCGGGGTCTGGGAAGTGGTCTTGGGCAGTACGTAGATCATTCCTTCCGGTCTGGATTGGACGAGATTGCCGACGGCTAACGTCAGACTTTGACTACAGACGCAGGTCCCGATTGTGCGGGTTGATAAGAGCTCCCAGCTGTCATGGCTAAAAGCTGACCTGGCTGACCTTCCCCTCTGCCGCTCTGCGCTGGGTATCGATGCCACTCTCCCTTCCCGCCGAGCGGATTGCCGTGACGCTAGACACGACGATAGGGTTTGATGGCGCAGCATCAGACGTACACATCACTGGAATTGCTTCCGCGCCTGGAGGGCGTTTCCCAGCAATGAGAATGCCGACATTGATAAGAGCTTTCGCCAACGCACCAACGTGAGGTGTGGTAGTACGAGAATCCATCACCAACCGACATGGCGGCCACCACGACGCTGGAGCCTGCGATCCCTGAGCATTTGAGGGTTCCGAGGACGATTCCTGCGAATACGCCTCCGGGTTTTCAGCCTCCCTTCCCGGCGTACAGTGCGAGGTTTCCGAAAGAGGTTAAGGGCCTTGTCACGGCTATTGTTGGCGTTCAGAGCAAGGAGAAGTCTGAGAAGCATAGTCCGGAGTACAAGCAGCTCATTGGGTTTGTCGATAAGAAGCAGGGGAAATCGAAACCTCGTTACTGGGAAGCGGCTTCGGTCGTGGACAATCGCGGCTATTACAACGAGGTTGTAATTCCGTATTGGGAGACGAAAGCAGACTTCGAGGCATGGAAAGTCGACAGTGGATTTGAGAAATGGTGGCAGTCACTAGAAACGGGTTCAGGCACTGGATGGTTCCTCGAGGTCTTCCTCCCGTCGATCGATCGCTTCGAAACCGTCTTCTCCGACAACGTCGAACCTGAAGGCGCCGCTCACATGCGTGAGAGCGTCTCCGGGACTCTCCAAGAACACGTCTACTGGGGCTCAATGCGAGACCGACTACCCGTCGGACAAACCGACACCATCCCCGGCGAAAAGGCAACGATCAAGCCAAAGGCCGCTGCGAACGGGCATGCAGCAGAGACTCAAAGTCGGAGGATCTGTGTCTCGGGCAGGAAGAATCTCGCCATGATTCGCTCAGGACAGGACTGGTCGAATACCAGGCCACATGAAAGGAAGTTGTACCTCGAGACCATGCACCCCGTCCTCATCAAAGGCATGGACTTCCTCCGCGACCAAGGCGAAGAAGTCGGCTGCATCTCCTGTCGCTTCATGGACATCATTCCCAAGGACGACTCCAGCACGGACAAGCTCGCCGACACCGACAAGGCGTTCGGACTGGCGTATTTCGACGATCTCGCGTCGCTCGAGGGCTGGAGTAAGAAGCACAAGACGCATCTGGATATCTTTGGGAGGTTCATTCAGTATGCGGGGGAGTTGCAGAATGAGGTGTCGTTGAGGCTGTTTCATGAGGTTATGGTTTTGACGCCCGAGCAGCAGTTCTTTGAGTATGTGGGGTGTCATGATATGACGGGGATGTTGGCTTCTGTTGCGTAGATATGCTATGGTATACTCAATTCTCGCACTGTGCCAGAAACTCGTCTTCTTTGAGCGCATCTCCTTCTTGTGCCGTGATCATTTTCTATGTCGACGAGGGCTTGTATTGAGCAACCTGACCAAAAAGCTGATCATCGTCACTCTTTAGGACTGCTTATCTCTTCCAAGGCAAATCCATTCCTCTCCGTTCTTCCGGAGGGACATTCTGGATCGCCAACGCGATAGGAACAGCCGCCTACGGCTTTTGGAGTCTTCGATTTTGCACGCTCACATTTCCGTTGCGTTCGGGTTCACTGTCTTGATGGGTGGTCCCATCGGTGTCCGCCATCGAGACCAACGACCCGTTCAACTCGGTTATCTTCGCAGGCCTCGCTGGGGCCGGATGGGATGGGGTGCTCCGCTAGTTCTGATCGTCTCTGCCGTGCAGCTAGCCGTCCAGCGCCATCTCCTTGGTACTGCATTTGCTCGTACTGCGTCGGACACTTGGGCGCTCGCAGGGTCGATGTTCACCGCCATCTTCACGGCTGCTTCTACCGCGAACGAAGGCCATCCAGCGCCCAAAAAAGTCTGCTTGGCCGTGTTGCAAGCAGGTCTCCCAGCTAGCTTAGTGGCGAACTTCACTAAAGCCTTGACGTCAGTGAACAACGCAACGCAGCTCGAGGCCATCGCAGGGGTCGATTCCTCCATCATCAGCATAGGAAAAGTGGCGTGCAAGCAAGCCATCGCCGACTCGATCCGTGTGGTGTGGGAGATCGCTGCGGCCTTCACAGCCGTGGCCGTGCTCTCAACCTTCTTCATGGCCAGCATGAGCAAGTCGATGAATTCTCGTGTTGAGGCACCCAGCTGTTGCAACACGAGTACGGCTTCTGGTGGGAGTCTTCTGCCGCGGGCTGCCCAGAGCAATCAAAGATTGAAGCTTCATGTTGGATGAACTTCCCTCTCCAGTACATTCGGCCACAGATACACGAGAATTAGCCATCCCGTCCGCTCTGGCATATACAAGCATGTAATCGCCTGATTAGTACTGTAGTGGGTGACCATACGGGAATACCGGGTGCTGAATGTTTTGCAATTTCTTTTTGCTCGTGTGTTGTGGGTCTAGCAATTTGTTTTAGTGCGGGAAGCCGATGTATCACCGCAGCCTACGACGTTGAAGAGAACACGAAGAATCATTCGACAGGATCGCATAGGTATCGACGGCGCTGGAACCTTTGGTAGTCACCTTCGTGGTTTGTGGAAGCAGTTGTGTGATTAAGCTGGATTAAGCTTTTTGGGTAAGTGAATGAATCCTGATTTCTTGATGCCTCAGGCATCAATTTCCACCCCCCTCATTTCCAAAATCGCACTATGTCTGTGACAGAGGTGACATTATCAACATTAGGTGAAGACCTATCAAGACTAAGTGTTTTATGTTCTAACGCCGCTCTTCCCTATTCCAATAGTCTTGCCCCAAGGAGAATAGAAGGCTTCGAATTGTTATATCTACAGATCGTCGAAGGCGACGACAGCCATGTTCACCTATTCAGCAAATTACACGACATGCTAGGGATGGAGATGAGCCTTCAACTTCGAGCGCAACACCTAGGGTGTCTCGCATATCTAGTACGTCGGTGGCCAACTGGGAATGACGTATGTTGATGTTTTGCAATTTCATTTTTGCTGGTCGTGTGGTTCTTACACCATCAGCTCAAAATTCTGTGTTGGCCCTCTATACACAACGCCAAGAATCACATGCTTAGCACCGACTCGTTTCACATTCCAACCCATTGTCTACACATCTCAAACTTATTTCACGCCAACGCAAATGTAGTAGTTCAAGTACAGGCCTGAACATTGCGAACCCACCTGCAATATAGTTATTAGTTAATGTTAAATGCAAAAGGAGGACGGAAACATGCCTTAGGGTTCCACTTTTCAATATTCGCCGCCGTCACTTTCTCAGCAGAAGCTATGCTGTCGCAAGTGTCTCCGCTTTTCACCTTGTAGCTACAAAGTAAACGGTGTTAGCGCTGCATGTTGACACTAGATCTTCACAACTCACAACTTGTCACAGTCCGTCACCATCCCTGGCTCGTACGGCGTAGGCGTGGCGATCCCATTCCCCGTGGGCGAGGTGGTCGTCGCAGGCTTGTACTCAAGCCTGTCAACGCAGACGTAGTAGCCTGCGAAAAGAGTCTGACAATCGCTGCCAACAGCGGGATTCTAGAACGTTGTTAGTTCATTGATGAACGTATCACGATTCGTGAAATTGCTCTTACCCAGGCGTAGAACTTTGCAAGCGGAATATTGTACTGAGATGCGATTGCGTCACAAGTGTCGCCAGTCTTCACGAGGTCGAACTTGTTGCAGTCCGTAGCCATTCCACTCTGCGTTGGAGTAGGAGTGGTGATTCCGTTACCGGGCTTAGTCGTAGTGGTTTTAGCAGTCGTCTTGGTTGGTGGCGTTGTCGTAGCTCCTGGTACTCCCACGCATACGTAATATCTGGACAGCAGGTTGGTACATTGCGAATCTGTTGATACATAGTTAGTCACCAAGGTAGCAGAACAGGGACTCTATGGACATACTGATCGATGGGTTCCATTTGCTGAATTGACTCGAGCTTATACCATATTTGGACTCAATTGCGTCGCAAGAGTCGCCGGTGGCAACCAGGTAGTATTTGTCGCAGTTGGCCGCAAGACCTGACTGTGTTGGCTCAGGTGCCGACGAGGTGGGCTTGGTAGAAGTCTTCATAGTTGTCGAGGTGACTGGCGGCGACGTAGTGGCACCTGGCACTCCCACGCAAACATAATAGCCCGACGGTAAGTTGGTACATTGCGAATCTATTAACGCAAGTCAGTTAGGACTGTCAAAGCGACAATGTGCAACCATACTAATAGCAGGGTTCCAGGAGCTAAACTCCGCACTGCTGATGCCATATTTTGATTCGATAACATCGCAGCTATCTCCGGCGGAGACAAGGTAGTAGTTATCGCAGTTTGCTGCGAGGCCTGATTGCGTTGGCTCAGGGGCTTGCGATGATGAGGAAGTTGTCTGTGTCGTAGTTGTCATAGTCGTTGAAGTCGTAGTCGGAGGTGGATTTCCACCAGTAGGGGACGACGTTGAGACAGATCCAACAACACAGTACGACTGGCCATCCACAAGATTCCCGGGGCACACAGTACCAGGGTTGAGAGAGACGAAGTCCTCCACCGTCAGGCCCCATTCACCCGCGAAACTAGCGCAGGTGTCGCCCCCGTTAGCTGAGGTAGAGAAACTACACACGACCGTATCATCCTGAAAGAAAGCTTTCGGGTGCACGGTTGTTGGGTGAAGAGACGTCGGACGAATAGAGGCTGGATGTGTCCAGCCTGAGATGTAAGTCGAGGGATGCCACGCTTTCGTGGTGGAGTTTAGGTCTGAAGTAGTTGTGGTATTAGGCCAGACCCGAGCTGATGCAGCGCTCGAAAGTACGATCAGACTGGAAAGCGAAGATTTGGTTGCCATGATGGAGAGATCGAAATAAGTCATGGAGAGGCTACGTATGAGTTTTACTGTAGCAATTAGCACTTTTATAACGGACTCGCCAAGCCTGAGCAGCTTTCACAATTGTGAACGGTACTGTACTATGGTAAGCATGTGAGCCACGTGCATAGTCTTGAAGGATACCTGGGCAGCTCTCGTGGCAGTTTGCATTGGTCATGGCCTGCTCTCTTCGACGGTTTGAACTCTAACGACGAGAACTCGCATCTCTTTCCAAGGGCGACGCGTGGTCACATTTTCGTCTTGATCATAGGTAACGCATTGTTGTAACGCAGCACGGCTGAGACCCTGATTCCATGTCAACTAGGAGAGTGCCTTGCAGTAGTTCAGATGACGGATTTGATATCACTGCGGGCGGCGCAGAAGACGGCACACCTGATACTAAGCCGCCAACTTGCATCTTTGGAGAATATTGTTGGTTGGAGGATTACTTCACAGAAAGTGTGGGATGATAGTCAAGCTGGAGAATCCTCATTACACAACCAAACTCGGGTGGACTGCACCGAGTCTCCCACAACAGTCGTTTAGCAAGGCCGGCTACAGACCATCCCGCGGGTCAAGGAACAGTAGGATTTTGGTGAGATGCTACTTAGTGATCGGGTCTTACGGGACGTCGGTGTATCGACGTGGAGTGAAGCATCCGCCAAGGCCAACAAGCCTTGAATCCTCCTGTTAGCTTCAGGCACTATGTTGACGGCGCAGCCTGACGTGGACCCTGCAGGAGCAACGCCTTGTGCAGTAGTTCTCCTAGGGCTATGTGGGTCAGTGAGGCTAAAAGCCATGCAGTCCTCTCAACTCTAACCACACTTGACTGGAACACTCAAGACGATTTAGCAGACTTCCCTCGCTCTGCCGGAGCTGCCGTCAAAATCTTTTTGCAACAGTGCTGAACAAGTCTCCCTTTGCGCATCTTGTTGACCTGTTCGGAATGTCCTCCACTTCGCTCTTGGCCGCTTGGGCACTTTTATTTACCCACGTGGTTGCGACTGTCGTTGAATTGGACCTGGTCTTCCCGCGCAACGATACGTACGCCCCTATCCCGCCGTTCCCGGTGGTATTCGCTGTGCAGAACCCTAGTCTTGCGATCACCTTGGATGCTCTCGTTTCATGGTCTGTCAACGAGTATGGAACCCTGGGTTCCCAGTCTGCCCACGCGTACGAACACAGCATTAACCTTCAATGGGTTAATGGATCTGCACCAAGCAGTCCCTATCTTGCGACTGCGTACATTCCTACAATCAAAGGCATCGAAGGCATTTGGACCTTCTCCTGGACCTTGAGTTCGGCCAACTGCTGCGAGAACACAACCAGCCAGGCATGTTTCCAGAACCAAGACAGCGAGTTGGTCTTCACGACCAACAATACGGCACCAGCACCCGATCTTGTCATGACCGAGGCATGCAGCGTCAATCAGGGTTTCGCCTTCAACGTAACAGGGGTCGAACAGCTTTCCTTTTCCCAGACGGGGTTACAACCCTCGTGCGCTGTCCTCGGGGCGTCACCGACAAGAGAACCATGTGCGGCCACCATGGACCCTAATGCCGCCTCAAGCATCTCTTCCGCTCTTTCCTTCTCGGCTTGTACTGCCACTTCTGTTAGCTGTACCGCCGAGCCGTCCTCCAAGTCAAGGGGGAGTCCGTCTTACATGATTTTGACAGCGTGGCCACTCGTGGCAATGGGGGTCATACTACTCTCAGCAATTTGAGACGAAGATCAACCAGGAACATGTTGGACATTGGGCACGGGAAGCAAAGCCGAGCGAAGGTAGAACTAGTCCACATAAATGGGTCACTCTATTGCATCCTACGTGCCGTATTCGTCTTTGTCGCTCAAGTAGTGTTTCCTACTGGTGGATCTCTTGTCCGAATCAATCAAGCTGAAAACTTGAGATGCCGACAAAGCCATGAGCTTGGGTCCTCAGACCCAATGAATATAGCACGTTGTTGTATAGCCTCACAGACACTATCCAGATTAGTAATCCTCTTGTCGCGCAATTGACCACTTGCAGCTTCACGTTTCCCACCTTATTTGGACTTCGAATTTATTCATCCTTATCAATGCGCTTGATCAACGCTCACAGTGCAGTTGCTGACGTCGGATGATGACGCTCCCCCACAGTGACGACCGAGATCTTGGGATCACATTGACTCTATCCTCTGCGCCTCCTTTCGGAATGCTCTGGCCTGCTTCAAATTTTTTCCGGTCAAGATTTGTATCCACGGCAGCGGCCCCCGGGCTCGAGCCGTGGGATGAGTCCTTAACCATTTCGTTGCAGGAAGCAGCGTATGTGAGTTCACGCCGCTGCACAGACCTTTCAAAGGACGCGTGTACTAGCATTCGCTGTCACATGGCGCCGCAACTCGCGCCCATCGCACCTCCCGCCGTAGTGCTCCGACACGGCCAACTAGAGACTTTTTGGTAATCCCGAGGTCAGTGAATCTCTGGAGATCCACGAAGTGGGATGTCTTCGACTCGATAGCCGCGTCAAGGGCAAGTTCTCCTAGCCTTGCGAAGATGGCAGGCACAAGGCGGAACTGCAGGGTCCTTCCTTTGGTGCAGGGTAAGCGACTAAAGGCCATGATCAAGAGCCAACATTACCACGATTTCGCTTGCCGTAAGCACTATCAAAAGTGTATGATCGTACTGACGCGGTTGGAAACCAATACTGGCACGCTGTGAGGCGTGGGTCCCGGATATCAACAATCCGGGGAGAAAGGATGGATCGGGTCCAATGCAACATCGGCCTTCATCTACGTGGGTAGGACTCCCATGTGCCCAAGTATGGGTGGATATAAAGCGGCCGTGAACAGTACGCCTCGCTTGTATGCTACTCATTGCTTTCTGGCTGAGTCGCCTCTGACAATGGTCTTCAGATCGGTCATGAATCCCTTTATTGTTGCTTTGACATTTGTTGTTGGCTCCTATGCTTCGACAGCACATTTTAGATTGCCTGCCGCCCCTGGATATCGGGACAGGGATGTCTGCCCAGCTCGATGCATCACCTCTGGACCTTCTCCAGGGAATTGGTCACTCTACCACAACTTCGAACAGATTGAGTCCTGCGGTCAGACCATCTTCTACGACTTCACTTTAGTAGACGATGTCGACGACCCGGACAGCCTTCACAGGATCTACGCATGTACCTCCACCGGCCAGGACTGGGAAAATGTGGCGCCCAATACAACGGCGGCTGCTCCTCCCGTGTCGACCAAGACTGCCAATTACCAAATTGGATATTGGCCCAATGAACTCGGCGCTTCTGTTGCTATCGATGCCCGAACTGTCGTATCTCAAATGCGTCAGTATCTTAAAAATGGATTCGGTCGTGGGCGTCCGAATGCTCCCACCATCCTTTTGGCTGGAGCAGGAACTGGATCTGTTGGTCTGTACATCGGCCAGGGACTACAAATTGAGAACATTGAGAGCACAGCGCTGAAAGACCTCGAAGATGTCCTCATAGCTTCGAGCCTCAACAGCACGACCAGCCTCGCGATGCAGTATTGTCAAAACTCAACTGTTGGGAATTCCACCACTGGACACTCCACTGCTGGAAGCCTTACTGCTGATCACATTTTTGGTCTGATCGCTACCGGAAACTCGACGTTCAGTACTGTTCAAAACACCCTCTGGTCGTGGGCCAATGCAACCTGCCTGGACCTCCCGGAAGTCAGCTACAACTATAGCGCTCCAATAATATTCACCACGCCCACGTACGGGTCCACAAATGGGACTGGCAATTCCACGTCCACGAGCAACTCGACCTCATCTTCTCTTGGTGCTGGGCTGTCTCCAAGGGCCCAGTGCTCTACGGTCCAAGTTGTCAGTGGAGATTCTTGTAAGTCAAGCTGAACGATGAACGGATCTCGCTCGATGCAAGCTGGCCTATGCTACTGGCATAGTGACCGGCTGCATGGAATAGATCTATTCACTCGAGAAAACTCCAGAGTAATATAGTTGCTGACCGTTCTACCTTTCTATTTAGGTGCATCCCTAACCCAGAAGTGCGGCATTTCAGGGGCAGACTTTACAAAGTACAACCCAGGTTCGAATTTCTGCTCTACGTTGCAACCTTATCAGCATGTATGCTGTTCGGTACGGTACCCCGAAGCTCGCCTGTTTTCTGCATTCAATAGGACCTACTAATGCTTTCCAGGCCGGAACGTTGCCCGACTTCGCCCCTCAACCCAACTCAGATGGATCTTGCGCTACATACACGATCGTAGCTAACGACAACTGTAAGTCAAGCCGAAGTACATCAGGCTCTCGCTCAATACGAAACAGTCTATGCTGTCCGCATGGTTTCTTACTACTGGAGATGATGAGACCCAATGGGGAAGGCACTTATGACAGAAACATGTGCTAACCCATGTTGCCTTCCGTTTAGGCGACAACCTTGCGGCTGAATACAGCCTTACGGTGGATGATATCAACACCTTCAACCAGGACACCTGGGCCTGGGGAGGCTGCGCCGAGCTCTATGTTGGCACTATCATTTGCCTGAGTAAAGGAAGTCCCCCAATGCCAGCGGCTTTATCCAATGCTGTTTGTGGGCCACAAAAGCCCGGCACACCGAAGGCTGCCGCAGGAACTGATATCTCGACTTTAAATCCTTGTCCTCTAAATGCCTGTTGCGATGTCTGGGGCCAGGTGAGTTGTTAATATCAGCCACGCACTTGTACGTTCCCAAGCTAAGTGAGGGAAGTGTGGAACGACGGCAACCTTCTGTACCAATACAAGTACCGGTGCCCCCGGAACGGCAAAGCCTGGAACTGATGGCTGCATCTCCAATTGCGGAACTACCATCGTTCGCGGCAATGCCCCGTCGGAATACAGGAGTATTGGCTTCTTTGAAGGATTCAACCTCGACCGACCATGTCTGTACCAAGATGTTTTGCAGATCGATTCATCAAAGTATACTCACTTGATGTTTGCGTTTGGAACCCTCGATACGAATTACACGGTCGATTTAGGGGACCAGCTAAGCCAGTATGAGTTCAAGGAGTTCGCTGGTGCATCGGGCCCCAAGAAGATCCTCTCGATTGGTGGTGAGTACAAGCCGGAATCATCGTCACTTCAATACTGAGTCAGTTCCGCAGGATGGGCATTCTCTACCGATCCAAGTACCTACAGTATCTTCCGGAATGGGGTTACGGCTGCCAATCGTCAAACCATGGCGAACAGCATCGCCAGCTTTGTCACATCCAACAACCTTGATGGCATTAACATCGACTGGGAATATCCAGGTGTAAGTGGTCACAGTGTCTGACTTGCTCGCCAGAAAAGTTCGACAGGACATGCAAAAAGGGGGTTGAAAAGAGGATGGAAGTGGCAAGGCGACTGACCAACCCCCTGACTAATAAGCCCGAATGCTGGCGAAACTCCTAGGGCACTCTATACCAGGCTTCGTCTTGACTCCGCAATGAAGTATGCTGACCTGGTGTTTTTGTAGGCACCCGACATCCCTGGTATCCCACCGGGCAGTCCCGATGATGGTCCAAACTACCTGGCCTTCTTGAAGGCGCTCCGCACGCTCCTACCAAACCAAGAGATCTCCATTGCCGCACCCGCGTCGTACTGGTATCTCAAAGCGTTTCCAATTAAAGAAATGAGCGAAGTCCTGGACTACATCATCTACATGACGTACGATTTGCATGGTCAGGTATGCCAGTCACATGAATTTACCTGGTCGAAGGAACTGTATGCTGACTCCGACTGCTTTTCCTTCAGTGGGATTCCGGCAATCAGTGGTCCCAGGATGGCTGTCCGACCGGAACATGTCTTCGTAGCGATGTGAACCTGACCGAAACGATTGGGTCACTCGTCATGGTAAGAAGTACAAGAGTTTGAATGGCCAATTGTCTTTTGCTGACCCTTCGCAAAAGGTCACAAAGGCTGGAGTGGACTCTGGCAAAGTTGTTGTCGGGGTTACGAGTTACGGGCGTTCTTTTGCCATGGCGAGCGCCAATTGCTATGGACCAGAGTGCACGTTTCTCGGCTCGGCCTCTGACTCTCAGGCTACACCCGGAGTAAGTAATTATTGCGATATATCTCTGTCTTGTCTAACATGGGCTTGCAGGTGTGCACTCAGACGGCCGGTTACATTGCGAATGCAGAAATCAACAACATTATCAGCAACTCGTCTCGAGTCAACCAGAACTTCGTGGATTCGACGAGCAACAGCAATATCTTGGTCTACGACAATACTCAATGGGTTGGATATATGGATGACAGCATCAAAGCATCCCGCGCAAACCTCTACAAAGGGCTTAATATGGGCGGCACAACTGACTGGGCGACGGATCTACAGACCTACAACGATCCACCCTCCAGTTTGAGCACGTGGCAGAATTTCTTCAGCGATGTCAAAAACGATGTGGACCCATATTCGGGACCCCGAACCGGCAACTGGACCAGTATTCAGTGAGTCGATCCCAAAGATGGGAGGCGCTTCCGCGTGCCCCCCCCCCCCCTTTCCCCCCTTCTTCCCCCAACCGCGGGGGACGCGACATTGAGACCTACCGTGCGACTTGCTGACCTGCCCCTTAGGTGTACTGCTGATGTCGTGCACCATATTGGAGACTATACTCCAGCGGTGCGGTGGAGTGAGATGGACTGTCCGGATGCATGGAGTAACGTTATAGCAGCGTGGAACACGATTTGGAAACCGAAAGGGTGGACCTTCAGCGAATCCGTTATGACCATTATCGATCAACGGCAGGATGTCGACTGTGGGATAATCGGCTTCGAAAGCAACTGCTTCCCGACGGTGCTATGCTACACCGATGTGGACGTGGGTGCATGCGCCTACGAACTTTTCAACGGCTTTGTGTTCATCGTGAGTCTTCAGTCTTGCATTACAATTAACAAAGTCGTGCTAATCTTTTGCAGAATGAAGTAAGACCCCTCAAGACTTGCCGCCATTATGTTAACGATACACTCTGTCCCTACAGAACGAGCTGACCTTGAACAATGTAGATATACAGTGACTACGTTACCGCCCTGACATCGGCTGCGGCTACGGCGATCGATCCTTCCCTTGACACTTTCGAAACCACATTTGCGCCCGTACCACCACCAAAAAGCGATCTATGGCTCCAAATCATTATCGCTCTTGCGACTTTGGGAGCCAGTATGGTGGCTGCTCCATTCTTCAATAGCAGTAAGGCGAGGTGCCATTCCGAGAAAAGGTTCCTGGGTACTGACGCAACGCGAACAGTTTTCAAAGCCTTGCCGTACTTCAAGGCCAACCCAAATACTCTCGGAGTTGCCAAGGATACAACATCAGCATTGATCACGTTCTCGTCGAACATTGCGAAAGACGTGATAACTCCCACGTCCCAGTAAGTCTTTTACGTACCAGACCCTTCACTCCTTCAGAAGTAGCTGCTGATCACACACACGAAGGGGATCCTGGTCAATCCAAGATCAAGACAACTTCAACTCTTACCTCGGACAGGTCATTGCTGGCTGGGGCAACATCAGTTCCACTACCCTTATGAACCTCTTCGATGGATCCGCCGACTCTATCACGACGCTCACGACGCTCACACAAAATGGACAGCTTATCGAGGGCAGTGACGGATCTCCACAAATCGGTAGCACCTCCAAATCGAGCGACACGGCATCGGCTTTGGCAGCCAGTGTCGCAACGGCTTTCTGGGCTTTTGCCATTCCCGCTGTATGGTATGCTGCCGGCACTTCTGCCTTCGTCATTGATTCAGGGTACTCTTGTGGCACCGTCAATCCCCTCGGCGCATACATGAGTACAGCTACCATGGAGGCTACTGCAGGTATGATCACAGCCAGCCGAGTTCTTTTGAGCCTGTTCAAGCACGCTGACACTCTGATTTGCGCAAACAGGCTGCTACAACGGCGAGCTTTATTATCTGGTCTACCCTAAGGGCCCAGCATCTTCCTGTCCTTCTTCAAAGAGGGAGGTCGGTCCACCACCAACTTGCCAGCTCAGTCAATTCCAGCCTCCTCCAGGTCTCAGTGCCCTCGACGGCTCTGCTTGGGGTGGAGTCTCCATTAGCGACCTCATCACTGTCTCGGTTCGCACATATATTGCCAACGGGAACTCCAACACTGGACAATATGCTGATCCCACCAACTCGGATACTTTGTCCGATCTTATCAACCAAGACATCACGACTCCTGGCTACATTACGTTGCCGGTCTGTACTGCTGATGTCGCATTCACTGCCTGGAGCACACCCAGCCAGGTGAACACCAGCGATCCTGCTTATCCATGTGTTGCTTTGCAAGGTACGTAGAGCATACGCCAGAAGGCTCTGATTTTCTTCAAGGCAGTCTATGGTGTTGATACCGTAGATCGTCTTGTGAGAGGGTGGCCTGCAATCGGAGAACTCTTCCCTAAGCTCCTTGTCGACATTTGCTAACACCCGATATAGGTTTGACCGAGTGTCGGAGCTACACATTCACCGACGCGACTTCTGATGCATCACCTTTGGTATCCGACTGCAAAGACATTATTACCAACATCCAAGGGACGACCGGCGAATGGGTGAGTATCGAAAGCGCTTGCAGTCGACTTCCGCTAATACCTTATGTCCACAGACGACAGACATTACAGATGATCGTAAGATCGTCAGTGCAGGAGCGTGCAATATGGACGTCAAAGCAAATAATGAAAAGGGCGATGTCTCATTCCATGTGGGAGCTCAGGACGTCATCAACATCATCAACCAAGCGATATCACAATTCTCCTCCAACGGCAAGGTCGGAGCCAGTGGAACAATGACATGTGACGGCAATGTCAACAGCAACCAGGGTGTGACATGGGGCCTGTACTAGCGGTACAGCTCAGGTGCTCTGCAAGTCATATTTGTTGAAGGAAGAGTGCTATATACTTAGATACTGGACCTGTCCTTCTTTTGCCACTTGTCTTGTATCCCTTTGAAGATTCGTTTGTAAATATCGTTCTGTTCGGGGCCTTTGCTAACTTGCTGCTAAAAGCCCTATATTTTGTTAGCAACTATTCAGCGGACTACGCAATCCATAACTTGCGATATCACACTCTTCGAATATACCGAAACGGCTCTAGTTCTAGCAGAGCTAGAACCAGAATTATGGCGGTATGTGGGCACCAGTCCGTACTCGCAAAGGGATCTCTGCGAGATTCCGCAACTGTTTACTGGTCGCCCGTAGTGAGAGGCCCGGAGTGACTTCGAATACAATGACGGCAAGCGGCATGAGAGCAATGGCGAATTAGGAATTTTCTTTACGGCTTTGGGACATCCTGCGGTCTGAGATTGGCAAGTGTGGAAGCAGGTTTAAATTTAAGCTTTTTAGGAAAGTGAATGAATCCTGTTTGTTGGTGCCTAGGCGCGAAATCCCATCTCACATCATCCATCATCTCGCCTTTCTGACGGCATCGTGACTATGACAGGAGGGCCGCGGAGCGAAGGCTTTATAATTTTTAGAGATGGCTTGTTTGAACGACGTTGCACTGCCACATCGAAAGTTGCACAAGTGCGTCCGTTGCCGTTGCTGGAAGATTGCACGTGCGACGCACTACGGCTGGCTGCGCATGCGTTTGACACCGCTCTCCGGGAGGATCGATACACAAGTATCCATACCCATCGCTGCCTTCATTTCAGTGGGTTTCCAAGTGGTGTGGCCATTTCTCTCACTTTGGCAACTCCGTCACTTCCGCCGCTTGCGACATGTGACGGAAGGTCTGTGCGCGCTTAACCCCAAAAGCTTCTTGTTGACTTCCGCTGCAGTGCAAAGAACAACAAACAATGCCAGCCGCACGAACATGCGACGTTGCAATCCCGCATCGATCGGACATGGCTACAGCACGAACGGGACTTGCGGGACTCAACCGAAAGTTATGGCACATCTTGCCAATTGCTGTGCTGCTCGTCACCACCGGGCTGCTACTGCTCCTGAACTTCGGCTCGCAATATGATCCGCGAAATCTCTTGAGCAGTCAAGGTGAGACAGAGAAATACTCGAGCGATGGCGACATCAGTGTCATAGCAGACCCCCCAGCCCCTGAGCCGACATCAGAGTTCTACGACTGGCGGACCAGCACCGCCTACAACTTGGTCGACATCAGCGAGAACCTCACACAGGAAGAGCTATGTCAACACTTCCCAAAGCAGAAGCTCTCCAAGATCCAGCCGGTACTCAAAACGGGACATCAAGTCCTCGATCGAGTTCGACAGTCGCTCCTGAGTACATCAGCCTGTCTCGACAACCTCCTCATCTTCTCCGACTTCGACGAAGAACTCGAAGGCCGAGCCGTCATCAACGTCATTGCCGACATCGATGAGGCTCTTCTGCGATCAGACAACCAAACAGACTCATACTTCGCTCTCCAAGAGGCAGCTGCGAAAGGAACAGATGACGAAGACATGGAAGCGGTCGAGGGCTGGCTACTCGACAAATTCAAGTTCCTGGCTTCCGTCAGCCGAGCTTGGAAAATGTCTCCAGAGAAGCAGTGGCACGTCTTCTACGAAGGGGATACGTACGTCGTGTGGGATACTGTCTTTCGGCTGCCGGAGAATTTTGATGCGGACGGTGAGCATTATTTTGGGTCGCCGTCGCCGGGAAGGGATGGGACTTGGTTCGCGAAGTGAGTTCTTGTACGATGGTCGCTGCTGGAGCAAGAGCTGACTGGGGGTTTGACAGTGGTGGCCCTGGGTACATTCTCAGTCGTGGCGCTGTGCGAAAGCTCGTCCGTGATGATTGGAACCACAACACTGGCGAGTGGCTCGGCAGCAAGCTGTCGGAGAAGTATTGGGAAGATATTCTGACAGATTGCTGCGGTGACTCGGTGAGTTCGCAATGGTGCCCAAGAACAGCCAGTTCGTACTGACAGTATCAGATACTCGGCTGGGTGCTTCACGTTCACGGCATCGACCTGAAAGGCCTTTGGTAAGGCTTCTCCGTGACTACACCCCTGACCAAAGCAATGCTAAAACTCTTGACAGGCCAATGTTCAATCCTCATCCACTGCACGGCATTCCTTTCTCGGATCTATACTGGTGCCAGCCCGTCCTCAGCATGCACAAATCCTGGCACAAAGAGGAGATTGATTTCTGGAAGTGGGAATGGACCCAAAGACAAGCTCACCGACCATTGCTGTGGCGGGATATCGCCACCTCATACTTCAATCTTACGAGTGTGCCTCGCAAGGATGACTGGGACAACGCAGGTTGGGATGCGTATTCACCCGCTGAGGACGATCTCCGTGAGCCGCACAGTTCTGCTGAGGCATGTAGCTTGGCTTGCCGGGAGGCGGAAGACTCGGGATGTTTCCAGTGGACTTATCATCTACGACGATGCTCATTCGTAAGGTCGTTCCGGCTCGGTCGAGCGAGAAAACCGCATATCGACGATCAGAAAAAGGACCACGATTGGACACAGGAAGACCAGAAGTATTTCGCGGGCTGGAATACCGAACACATAAAACGCTGGATATCGAAACGACCTTGCAGCGAAGTCCAATGGGTCAGACCCAGCATCGAGCGTATCTTCTGAGTTCACGCATAACCCTCAGCCAACAGCTTGAACAAATTCTCCGCCGCATGCTGCCCAAGTGCATCCAACGACCCCATGTCCAGCATCTCCAGAACCGCAGTATCGAGTATGAACACCTGCTGCACGTAATGCCAGCGCCGCCAGCGAATCGAGACCAAGGTTGGTAAGGGGTAGAGCAGTGTGAGGCTCATCATATGGCCGGGGGAGCACATCGACGAGCACCTTGCTGGTCTAGACAGCCAACAGGTGGAACGCTTGAGCGGATAGAGGACCGGGAGATGGATCGAACTTGTTTGCGGCGAGATCGCATTTGAGGGTCTCGGTGGCGGTGGTACTTCCAGACGGCGCAGTTGCCGTAACTGGTGGGAGGGAGAGAGGAGAAGGATGAATGCTATCGGTTTGCCGTTGCGCCAGACAAGAGGCACTGGACTGGACTTTCGAGGCATAGCGACAGTGATCGCATCGAGAAGTTGTTACTATGGCATTTCGAAGACGGTCGCCTTTATGGAGTCGATCATGCCCCCTTGTTAAGAGACTTAGCTGAGCTCGACAGATGCAGGTAGATCAAGGTCATCGCGGTACTGAAAAAGGCGTCAAGCCAGGCGTTTCCAGCTGCGTAATTGGCCTGGTCAGTCACCTCGATGACACCAGACAGCTTCTCCGTTCCAGGTCCGTCCCCCGGGGCGTGAAGCGTGAGAAATCGAGATGCAAAAACGACCAATTTTTTGATGCTCTGGGTGTTCTGATCGTATCCTCAGTCCGTGGAGCAGGGAAGACCTTGTTTGAGCGTACAGAGGTGGTGAGACCTTCGTGGAAGGAGTTCAGCGTCTCGAGAATCAAGTTCCTCGGGTACTATAACGCCGTAACGCCGTTGTTGTTGAATAAGTACGTTGTGCCGTAACCCGACAACCCCGATTCGCCCACAAATCCTGTCACAGAGGAATTCTCAGGCTTCTTTGGGGAGTTGATCTGCCTGGGATTCGACACCCCATACCACAAATTGCCATATGTTTTGGTAGTCCATTGGCATCCAAGTGAGACGCATCTGACTTAGCATGATCGCTTGTGCTGTTGACCGCATGCATCTAACCATGGCGTAGAAGAAAGACTTGAGCAAGCAGATCCAAGTCGTGTTGAAGACTGCAGACGAACAGTCGATGGTGAAGTTGTTGGTTGAAGGCACGAACCTTGAAGATTCAGGAGCTATACGAGCGAGATTGCGCTATCGGGCCGCTGCGGGCCGCGGCCTCATCCGGTTGTGGTTGCCGCGTGCACACGCGTGAGGAACGAGGGCCGGCGCAAACCCAATTGCCCTCATAAATCGAGGACGACACTCCCAGCAGGCATGGATGCGAATATCAAGAATACTCTTCTCCCATCGTTGTTGGTCGCGCATTTGTCTGGGACATTAACGATACGGACGGCCAGCGGGAAACCCCTGTCACTCTGAACGGACTTCCTGCCGTTCCTGACCTGGCCCTGATCGCACCAAGAAGTCTTCTGTAGGCGGCAACTTTGCGAGACTCTCGCCCGGACACCAACTTCACGTGAATCGTCCGAGCCGTTGAACACCGTGTATCCGAACAGCACTCGTGGATTCTGAATCATCAACATTCCGTCCAAACAACAGTCCCACTTTTGAAACCAGTGCGAAGCGAGACGGGCCTTCCGAGTCTCGCTTGCTGTGCCATCTCGCGCACTGCTACTGCTCTGCCTTCGCCCTTCTCCATATTGTGGTAAGGCGCAAGCTCAACGCAAGACCTCGAACTCGCAAAATGGATTACTCCTCCACACCAGGATCGACATCGCTCCACGTCCCAGACGCTGTCGCGACCGCGGCGGCAAACACGCTGTGGCTGGCCGAGAAAACTAGAGATCTTCTACAGCGAGCACCAGGTTCAGCTGTCGTTGTCCGCTATGTTCGCTCTTCCTACCAGAACGACCCAGTTCGGAGCGTCGTCGAACTCCTGTTGTTCTTGCTAGCTGTGCGCTACGTACTGGCACCTCAGTACAGTCCGCGCAAAAAAGGCAACCACGTAGAATTAAGCGAGAAGGAGATCGATGAGCTGGTTGACGAATGGATCCCTGAGCCTCTTACCGAAGAGCAGCCGGAACTTGTCCAACTGGGCGAGAACCTACCTGTTCTACACCGAGACGCACCATCAGGGCCTAAGACTAAGCTCCGCGATGGCCGAACTGTCACCAATCTCGCTAACTACAACCACTACAACTTCTCGAACGATCAGCAACTCGTGGAATATGCTGTTTCCACCATCAAAACCTATGGTGTCGGCCCTTGCTCTGCTCCTGGATTTATCGGAACATTCGACGTTCACTTGAAGCTCGAGAAAGACATTGCCGCCCACTTTGGGACCGAAGACGCCATCATCTACTCGCAGAGCTTCTCCACAATCAGCAGTGTGATCTCCGCCTTCTGCAAGAGGGGTGATATCATTGTGGCAGATCGTGCTGTCAACTTTCCTATACGCAAAGGCATTCAAGCATCGAGGAGCATCGTGAGGTGGTTCGAGCACAATGACATGGACGATCTCGAGCGGGTGCTGGCAAAGCTTGTCAGTGAGAAGAGACCGTTGACACGCAGATTCATCATCACCGAAGCCCTCTCTGAAAACGTTGGCGACATGGTCAATTTGCCTAGATTGCTTGAGCTCAAACACAAGTACAAGTTCCGCATCGTTCTCGATGAAACGTAAGTAGAAGCTTTTGAGGATACCTTGGCGCCCAGACTAATTCGCGCTCTCCTTACAGATGGTCCTATGGAATATTGGGCCAAACAGGTAGAGGCGTAACCGAACTTCAGAACGTGGATGCCGCCAACATCGACATCATCGTTGGAAGCTTGGCGGGTGGTATAGCAAGCGGCGGTGGCTTCAGCACTGGATACCAGATCATGGTCGAGCACCAGCGGTTGAACTCACCTGCAGTGACCTTCTCGGCCTCTTTGCCTACATTCTTGACCACCACAGCTTCGGCGGTGATTGACAGACTACAATCGAGTGATGGTGCGAGAGATCTGAAGACTCTACGAGAGCGCATTGATTCCCTGCGTGTTCAGCTAGACCGCAGTGACTGGGTGACTTGCACAAGCGCGCCGGAGAACCCAGTCCTGCATTTGACACTGAAGGATCAACCCATCAGGAATCGCCGTCTGACACGTTCTGAACAAGAGTTCCTGCTACAAGAATGTGTGGATGAGGTACGTACACACATTTGATGCTTCTTTCGTGTTCAATTTCGCTGACTTGTGGCAGTGCCTAAACAACCACTCCATCCTGATCACTCGCCTGAAGAACATGCCTCTCATGGAAGGACTGCACCCGCGAGATGTGGAGAAGGAATTTCAACCATAGCCATCGCTGAAAGTCTGTGCTACCGCCGCACTGTCGAAAAAGGAGATGGAGAAGGCAGGAATTGCCGTCAGACATGCCATCACTGCTGTCATGAAGAGAAGCAAGTGGCAACATGGCACTTCGCAAGAAGCGTAACGATTTGCTCGAAACGTACTGTATAAACTTAGACAAGGACCTAGTTCAGTGAGTCCATGGCGCTCAGAGCCGATACGTAGGACCTGCTACCGGCACCAGACAACTAATAATGTTTAATTGAGCTTTCCTGACAAGTTTCGGACTCAACCGATCCCACATGATGGACAGCAACGCATCAGCCATCCCCCATTCTCTCTTTGGATATGGGCCAGCCATAGCGGTAAAAGGCGCAGAAGTAGACGGTGAGTCCTGGCAAATGATACAGTCACCTCGATCAACCGCATTCTTGCTCGAAGACAGAATGTTGTCGTCGCCAGAACGGGAAGCGGCTACAACAGCCCTAACCGACTGCCGAACGAGCGCCGGCGCACTGCCGAAAGACCCACATCGCGCCGGGCCGCCTGCGCGTAATCCCGACCTCACCTGTCATCAGCGTGAGGCCTCGTCTTTCTGCCTTCCATTGTTGAAATGCAGAAGAGTGGACGCCATGTGTTTACCCACTCCTACGTGGCCAACTCATGGAGCCCACGGCTGCCAAATGGAACTGGAGGCTGTCGACTCAAGAGCACACCGAACGACAAGTGCGGTGATTACCAGTAGGGCGTAATCGTGCTTACGCCTGAGACACTCTCGACGAAGGTCTGCTGTAGTCGGGTGCTCGAGTGGCCATGATAGTGTTCAGCGACAACATCACTCGACTCTAGCTTCGACGTACGACCGAAAATGGCTTGGGCGAAACTCACAGCAGCCTGCTCAGCTGCTCTCTTGTCTAGTCTTTTCTTGCTTCGCAATGGCAGCGAGTGCCAAGTTTCACAGTTTGAAAGAGGACAGAGGTGGTTCTACCTACTGACTAGAATATGGCTCCTTCTCTCTGAGTACTCGTTGTTCGTCTATCAGCTTCGTCAGCCCACTCCGGAAAACCCCACGGGCAAAGGCGAGTGGTTAGCCCTTGTCATTCACGCGGTGTACACTTACCCGAATGTAGCGATGGCTGCCACGGAAGCTATACAGTCAAATAGTTCTACGCAAGACACAGGTAGAAGTCTTACATAAAATTGCCAAGGAATCTCCAAACGATGGTCTTCCTGCTCTACAAGAGCCGACAGGCGTCTCTTTACTTGCCACAGACACCTCTGCTCTTGCAGACTTGCTTGTTACTCGAGCTGGCGACTATGAGAAACCCACCGGCCTGCGAGGCTCTTTCAAATTGTTGACTTTTGATAGGCTTCTCACCGTTAACGGAGATCAACACAAGTCTTTGAGGAAGCGCAGTCTGTCGCATTTCAGCTTCAGTGTCGTCAAATACTTGTACCCACTGATGTGGCGCCATGCATTGCGATTTGTGAAGTCCGTGGAGACTAGACTTGAGGGAGAGGTAGCAGATCAAGACAATAACTCAAGCAGCAGCATCGAGATCTCGGAGCTGACTACCGAGGTAACCGTCAATGTTATTTGCACTACGGTATGTTGCAAGCATCGAGACTCCATCACGACCGATTTATCTTGGCCAAATCATGCTCGTTCCGTTAGGTCAACGTCTCCGGGTTTTGACATGTCTGTCAGATCTTTGGCCGATCCTACGAAGCGTCCGATGATTCGGCCTTCAAACCATCGCGAGAATTGCTCAACTTCTTTCTGCAACCAAACTTCGCCACCAGCATATACTTGACGTTGAGGTTCTTCTCGCCGCCTTGAGTCAGCCAGTGCCTCACGTTTCCACTGCACAAGGCTGCTGTTAGGACGTCAGAAGCTTTAAAGGACTTATTGCTCAAGCTCGTCAAGGAACAAAGAGAAAATTGAAGGCGGAACCACAGCGTGCCGATCTCGTCTCGCACATGATCGGATCCAGCCATTTCACTGACTACGAGATCGCTTCCCAGCTGCTTACTTCTATGGTTGCGGGGTGAGTCAGCTATTGATACTCGTGGTTCACAAACACCTGCTGATGTTACTCTGGCTTTTAGACAAGAGACAACTGCTGCTACAACCAACTGGATATGCTACTTTCTCGGTCGGGATTCCCACCGGTAGAGTTTGCTGAGGGAAGAGGTGACCCTCGCCTTGGACTCGAGCGGTAAGTCGCTTGAAGAAGTGGATGTCGCCAATGTATTGGAAGGCTTGCCATTTCTCAACGGCTTCGTAAGCGAGACCCTACATCTCTACCCAAGTGTCCCTGTATCACAGCGCGAATCAATTCGAGACACGGCGTTGGCTGGGAGTTTCATGCCCACAAGAACTTCGATTTACGCATCGCCCTGGCTCATTCACCGGAAAAAGAAGACCTGGGGCCCTGAAGCTGATCAATCCCGCCCTCAGCGATAGCTTCGCGAAGAAGACGGTTAGCGAAAATTCGATCCGATCGGAGGTATGAAGAAGACTGTCGATTTCTTGACCTCTTTGCATGGACCGCGCAATTGCATCGGACAGAGCTTTGCCAAGGCGGAACTGCGATGTTTGGTGGCAGCTTTGGCGGTGCATTTCGAGTGGAAGGTCGACAAGGACGTTGGCGAAATTCCAATCTCGGGAGTTCTCACGATCAATCTAGAAGGTGGGCTGCCTCTTCGGTTGCCAGCTTTGCGTAAAGCAGCTCGGTCGTAGATAATTGAACCAATTGCACACCACGATCATCACGAGGTGCTTCAAGAAGTATTAACAGCACCATTAGAATGGATGAAACATCTTCATCCAAGTAGGTCCAGCAGGAGACTACTAGCTCTCAGCCGCCTCCACCTTCAACGCAGCAGGTCCACACCCAGCACAAACTCTTCGCCGAGACCTTCAGTAAGACAGTCTTGCAGGATCGTTATGAGGCCTACATGAGGGGCGCCGGGAAGCAAGAACTGGTCGAGTGGCTACAGGGTTGGGTCACGCAGTCAGATGGCAATATCCTCTAAACAATATCAAAGACAAAAGCGTGAAGAGCAATTTAGGGGCTGGAATTGACTGTGAATAGAAACAAGGGTGGATCACTTACGGAAAGAAGTATGCCGCACGCTCGGAGGATGCTTGGTACGCCTTTTCAGCCGTGCCATTCAGCCAAATCCAGCCACATCATCACAGCCTTCCTTGTGTAACGATGCACGACTATAACAGCCGCCATAAACCCTCACGAAATCGTTGACTTTCACATTATCTACGTCCGCCTCTACAATGCCCCGCCAACATTTCGTCGCTTCCATTCTCTTCTTCCTCACCTCCCTAACAAAAGCCTCCTTTCCCAACCCCGAACCAATCCGCGGCACGATCCCAGGCTCAATAAACAGCACCCTCGACCCAGGTCTCATCCGTCGCAAATCTGACGGAAAGCTCTTCTTGTACACAACCCCCAACGATCTCACGGTCTTCACTGCATCCTCCTTGTACGGCCCCTGGACGAAAGAACCCAACACAGCGCTCTACAACTATGGCGAGGAAGATCTCGGCCCAGGGAATCATGGAGCACCGTCTCTTCATCATCTCGATGATTTGTACTACCTCTTCTACAACGGGCATGATGGAATTCACGCCCCGAACCACGACGGGCAGATTGGCGTGGCGACCTCGTCGACGCTCGAGCCAGGGAGCTGGGACATCTCAGCGGGATATTTGGATATCACCTGGAGTGCGTCGTACAACATCCTCGACCCGACACTCTTGCCCAAGAACGACACCCGCGGACACCCAGACCACCTCCTAGGCTTCGGATCTTATCGAAATGGGTCGTTTAACATCCCCTTGGCGGATAATCTGCAGGATATACCAGCCCCTAGCGACACGGCCAACACGGCGTTCAACAGCACCGGCCGGCACGATATCGAGGGGTCTTATCAATTCTATCATAATGGATGGTATTACCTTTTCTTCAGCAGTGGAGATTGCTGTAAGAGATCTGGAGAAGCCGATCAGGATCCTGAGGATTGGGAGTGGTCACAGAATCCTGGCGATGTGTATAAGGTGATGGTATGTCGGAGTGAGGAGCCGAGAGGGGGTTTTGTGGATCGAGAGGGTAGGAGTTGTTTGGAGGCGAATGGAGGGACCTTGGTGCTTGGGACGCATGATAATGTTTGGGCGCCTGGGGGACAGGGTGTGTTGGCGGATGAGGAGGTCGGTGGGGTGGTGTTGTATTATCATTATGGTGAGTTGGTGGTGTTGAAGCCTGACGGCTTACTTGGAATCAGTACTGATGTTTGATTCTATAGTTGTGGCGGATCGGAGGAACGACCAAGATGTTCCATATCGATTTGGCTGGAACAAGCTGGACTTCAGCAGTGGATGGCCGGTTGCCATCTCCGCATGAGCAGACTGCTGTTGCTGGCATGCTGTTCATGTCGAAGCGGGTGCTTGGAGGCCTTAAATCGATCGTTTATGGCGAGATCTCTGTAGATTAGCCTTGTCTTGTATGCCCTAGGCAGAGCTCATGTCAGCGACGCAGTGATAGCAGTTTACCCCTATGATTCTCTGACAATCCGAAGCACTCATATTGGGCGTTATACTGTAATCTCTCTACTGTCGGCGACATAGTATGCTTGCGATAGGTCTGACAGTCAAAAGTTCGCAAGAACTGTGGATTGGAGTCAAGATTCAAAGCTATCGGTTCGGCAGGCATCTCCATCGTCACAGTATGCGGTAATGATTCATTCCGATGGTGGTCAATCGTTGGAAGGTGATCACAAGTACGTCTCGTAGTACCTGGGTATCTCTTCCCTAGAGTGTAGTCCATACGCCATCCAGGTTCTGCGGTCAGCTGGAACCGCCCCTATTGGTCGCCAGTACAAAGACCGCAAAGAGAAGGCTGCGACAGACTGGCGAGACAACCACATCAGGCATGGCGGTCGCACATCTCGTTATTGGACAGGGAGAGAGGTGAAGGAAAGAGCGATGGCGCGCCTGCACAAAGCGCACGTGCATGCTCTGAAAGTACAGCTCGGTTTCATTGGCTGAAACCTTAAAAGGTGGGGCGCTGAGCATGTGATGATTTGATGGGGCTGGGTTGGTGTGGAAGGCGATGGGGTGCTGGCGGGCTGTTCCTTCCTACGCACATGATCTTCGATATACTGACTTCAACTTCTCGTTGCATTCGCGACGACGTTATTTTATGAAGCACTTCTCTCACTTGTAGCTTCCTGTGTTGTTGTTCAAATCGCGCACGTCCACGGCATCTGCGGGGACGACACCCGTTGCTCTTGCCGCTTATAATCCGCCTTCTCTTCTAAAGAGGCCAAAGCCCAAGTCACGTTACTGTACAGAAAACACGTGAACAACCATCAACGGAAGAGCGGGCTTTCGACCACGGTAAGTTGATCTTCCCTTCGACGCGACAGAACAGGCCCAGGCACAGGCGCGCCACAACCACCACGCCGCCCGACTGCGCGACGAGCACCTGCGACTCGGCCTTGCGACCGTAGCTGTCAACCTCCACCGCCGTCGCAATGTTGCGACAGCAGGCTTCAAGCGTGAAGGCGGCCCCGTCCACGGCCTCGAGGCGACTCGGCCGCATAATGGGTCGACGGACATTCACCTGCGCCAGGCTGCTCGTCGCCAGTCCTGCCAAAGTCGCTCCCTCGCATCACCGCCAGGGCTCCCACATTATTGCTTATCAGTGCCTCGTCGCTGTTGCCGCATGACCTCTGCCTGCGCTGCCACACCAGAATCGCATCACATGAGCAGGTGTCTTGATCACGAGCTAACGTCCTCTTTCAGTGCACTGCGGGCCGTAGAAATCGCGACTGCGAGATCAAGCAACCATACACGCGCACACCGTACCTGCTCTGCAGCCAGCACATCAAGCTCGTCGCCTAACTTCCACCACAATGGCTACGCTGGCCAGTAAGAGGAAGCGCGAGTCTGGAGACATCCCACACCCACGCGCTGCTCCAGGACTCGGCGACAACGAGTTTGGCCAACAATACCTACACACCGACGACGACGGAATGGATCATGGAGATCATGATATCCAATTTGCGGCCGCGCTCACCCACCACAACGCCAGCATGGACGATACCATCGACACAGAGCACAACGCCGGGCAAGAGCAGGTCAATCCGAATGCTGGTCAAAGTGCCAGCGACACCGCCGCTGCTGCTATGGCGCAGTATCATACCATGACAGTACCACAATCCACCGAGCAGTCATTTCTTGCTCAGGCCGCCGAAGCGACACCAGACCGACCTGGAAGTTCATCCGTGGATGCTGGCAACCCTAGTGCGCAACAACGGAACTCGAGTTACGGCGACATCGACTTCAATCCCATGAAGAACGACCAAGGATCGAATGGAGCTGACGCGTCACCGACTGGAGGTTCGCAAAGCAACAAGCCACCTGTTGGCACCGACGAGTGGCACAAGTTACGGAGAGACAATCACAAAGAGGGTAAGATGTCAAGACCTGGACATTGTCAACCAAAAACTAACACAATTCACAGTCGAACGTCGCCGTCGCGAAACCATCAACGACGGTATCACCGAGTTGGCGAAGATCGTACCGGGATGCGAGAAGAACAAGGGTAGCATCCTCGCCCGCGCCGTCCAATTCATCAACCAACTCAAAGAAAACGAAACCCAAAACATAGAGAAATGGACGTTGGAGAAGCTCCTCACCGAGCAAGCGATCGCCGAGCTGAGTTCCACCGCCGATAAGCTCAAGGCGGAGTGTCAGCGCGCGTGGTCTGAGTGCGAGCAGTGGAAAAAGGCTGCTCAGAAAGCGGGCATCACTGTCGACGTGGATGAGAAGGGCGATGCCGATGCCGAAGACGCGGATTAGAAGTCTGGTCCGACGCGTCGGCCGGCCTATCCAGAGCACGCCTTTCCAGAAGGCGCTCGATACATGGGCAATGATCAGAGAATGTACTGATGCCCGCGATATCACCAGACACTAGGATGCCAAAGGCGCTATTCTCGGTGTGGTCAGTGGTTTTGACCCGAGGGAGACATGATGAACGAATGTTTACTTTTTCTGTCTGTTCAACTTTGCAGGGCAGAGAACCTTTTCGGAGAGACGAGAGATGGGAACCACGGGATTAGGAATGAATGCAGGCGTTTTTTCGAGAGAAACATGGCGTATGCGCGGCGAAACGAGGAAAGTCTACCCTTACCTCTTTTTGATTTTGATAGTGGGTTTTCTCTGGGAGTCTTTTTGCCTGCTGCTGCTTGCTGCCGCTGCACATATAGCTACTACAGCGACGGTCCTCGGTATGAGAAAGACTTTATGCAAGAATCTCTTCCTTTCCAACGTCTTTCAGACCATCCCGTATCCTTGCTGCCCGCGGTCTCTACTCTTTCTCCTCTCTTCTCTCTCTTTGGTGATAGGGTACACATCGTGGTGTGTAGGTGTTGTGCCATGGAAAATCCAACGCCGCGCTCAGAAACCGTCCCAATCGTGACGAATCGTGATCTGATATATCCCGCTCTCATCATCTCTTTGCAAGCAAGACGTCTAATAAAACGACTCAACCATAGTCTCCTTGTTCGTCGTATTGATCGCCCCAGGACCCATGCCCTCGCCCAGCTTGAACACACTCTCCACCACACTCAGCTCCGTCGCCGTCGTATCCAGCCCCGTCACCGCCATCCAGTCGTTGACCACCATGCCCGCGCCCACCACGGGACTACCCCGATTCACACTCCCCGCCACGAGGGGCACCTGCAGCAGACTCGACAGCTCGTCCTGGTCCTGGATGCTCGTCTTCGGATGCACGATGCCGCCCTGATTGCTCAGCGCCATGTAGCTCCCCGTGAGCACATTATCCGCGATCGTCTGTCGGAAGACCTCCACGCCCAGGACATCTGCGATGATTTCTTCCGACTCGCGCTCGAGGTCCGGGTGCACGAGGGCGACGTGGTCGTTGGCGCAGATGACGTTGCCGAGGGCGGAGAGGCGCTCTTCGATGCGTTGGATTTTGACGCTGTCGGGGATGCTGTTGCGGAGGTGTTGGAGTTCTTGGTCGGTTGTGGAGGTCGGGACGAGGAGGCCCTTTTTGTTGCCGGCGGTTAGGCGGCCGACGATGCGCGTGCCGGCGATGGTGCAGTGCGTTATGGGGATGACGTCTTGGAGTTCGGCTTCGAAGACGCTTTTGAAAAGGTGTTAGTTGGTGGGGTGGGTTGGTTGGAGGGGTTGTTGTGGGAGGTGCTGTGCTGTACCTATAGAAGTTCTCTGATGCGCCGACGGCTACGAGGGCGTAGGAGTTTGTCAGAGTGGAAAAGACGCCGACCCTGCAGTGGTGCTCTTGGTCAGCGCGATGCAGCTTGATTCATCATATGGTTGCGAGGGACGGGGACGCACTCGTTGCTGTTCTCAAAAGCTGCGCGGACCGCCATGATGGAGCTTGTTGTGGTTGTGGTGTTGTTGGTTGTCTGTAGAAGCTCCAATGCTGCGGTTGTTGGTGTTGTTGAGGGCGTTTGTCTTGGTTGCCGGTGTTGGTTTGAATTGACCTGTGTGTCGCTGTGCTCGAAGTTTTGTAGAGGAAGACGTCAGGGCAGGGTAGTGGGGCTCGGGTCCGAGCGAAGAGAAGAGTCACTCTCGCTAGCAGCAAGACGAAGAATGGCTCATGCAGTGCCAATTTAGACGCTTGATTTCTCGTCGTCTATCTCTCGTGTGACTCAAAGACTAATCGAGGTATTCTGCGAGAGACATTTGGGGGCGGTGCTCTGGTTTTGTATCCCACTGCGCCTGGATGAGTGGGTCAGGTCTCGACCTACGCCAATGCGCCTCAGGATCACCTACCAACTCCTACGAGAGCATCTCCATCTCCATCGCGTCCACAAAGGCGGTGACAAACGATCACCAACAAGCTGTTGATCGAGTTCCCGCGAGATTTACTATCTTCCATCGGCTTACCGCGCGAACTGACGGCTTCCAAACCGTTCAGGAACTGGTATAGGATTGAGCTTATCCTGCCCATTGCCCCTTCAGCCCGCCGACTGAATGCCGCCTGCTGACCACCCTTCTACTTGTCATCTACCCCGTCGAATGATGTTCCCCGCGGTCTCCATGTCGGTGAGCCATTGGGTGCTATCAGATGGTTGGTAACCGTGCCATTTGCCAAAGCTGTCGCGGTCCGAGATCTCAGGTCAGCAAACTGCCGTTCAGTTGAAGGTTAAAATGCCATGCGATCAACACGTGGGCAGCATCTTATCATGTCCGGCAAGAGATCATCAATGGGAAGCCATGAGCAGATGGGACGTCTGCCGTGCCGCATATGCTGCTTCCACCACCCTCCGAGGAGTTGACACAATGGACAATGGGTCTGCATCGCATAACGAGATGTCGAAGAGCTGTGGTTTGGCGAGTCTCGTCTCGCCCCAACACAGATGTCACTTCCCCCGGTGCAACCAGAGTGTTGGAAAAATCTCCAACGCATTAGCATTATCTGCAACGTCAAGCAAGTGGTTGAGGAGGATGCGAATTGCGAGTGCTTTAGTCGAAGCTCAGCACTTCATTAGCAGTTGAGACTGGCGACGTCGTGTGAGGGTTTGCAGATGCAACACTCGGCATCCGAGCGATGCATTATACTTCCAGTTCGGAAAGCACGGCACTGAATCCAAGAACTCGGAAAGGAAGTTCTGTTTGCGAGCATGACCATGACCATGGCTTCAGGGGGTGGAATATGTTATCCCCAATTGAGGTGTTGGGGCAGTATAAGACGATACGTTATATGTTCGTGCGCATTCCTGACACTGGCCCCGTTGTCGTTCGCCGCTCGTTGTATACATGGTCGTGGCTGGGCTGACTCGTTGATGGATGTCAAGCAATGAGGATTCCCGGCACTGAGACTTACGAGTCGGGAAGCGTGGCCCTTGATGTACGCACTTATCGTGTTGTCAGTGCAATATAGATGATGGGCGAATCCGAAACCGCCAAGAACAGCTTCTTACTCCTGCGTGGCGTAGAGCTTCCAGTATTTTGGAAATGAGCGGGTGGCTATTGAGCTGCGTCTCGGGTGGTTGCATCGGGTCTTTCGTGGTGGAGGTCGAAACAGGCTTGACGTGCATTGGGCTGTGGAGCAAGCAGCAAAAAGGGCGAGAGGGGTTTGGCCTGATTCCGCCTGATGGCCGAAGGTTTGCCATACGTCGCCGCTAGGTGTCACCATCCACAGTATAACGACTCAGGCGAGACTCAGGTTTGGGTTTGGCCGAGATCATCACTAGTCGCCATCCACGCACGCCGGCGCCGCTACCTGCAGTTCGGGATGATTTGCAGGTCAGCCTCTCGGAGCAGCCCCTGCACGCCTTTGAGGGCGATCCCACAGATCCGGGGGCGATGGGCCGAGTGCTGCGCCAAGGGCTGCTGTGACACGGTGAGGGTGGATGGGGTTGGACTGTCGCGACAGAGCTTGTCGCCGATGCGCAATCGCCGTCTGATCAGTGGCTGCTCTGACGAATGTTTCAGCGGGACGGCAGCACTGGCAGTGAAGCAGCTCCGCAAGGCGCAAGAGCGGTCAGGAGGGAGCAGAGGTGATGAGGTGTCTGCCTGTCTCTGGCCGAGGGGCCGCCTGGCGCGGAAGCACCTACTCACAGATGAACGAGCGAATGGTGATATCGGAGGATTTCTTGCACAGCTCACGGTGTACAAAAGGAGGGCGCTGGTGAGGTGGAATGAAAGGTTTAGACCAATTGTGCAACGGCGGCGTTAGGATCAAGGCGCAATGCGGGAGCAGCCTACTCTGCTAGCGCCAACGCTTCGTGTACGGATTATTCGTCGTCGTCCAGCTCGTTTGTCTGTCTGTGTCTGGCGGGCATCAGACCGGTTCTCTGCCTGCAGTTCTGTTCTTCGCTTCTCGTTGCCTTGTTCGCCCTTACGACGCCTGCTATTACTGACTGACTGCTACCGACTGCTTCCCTGCCGTGCGTGCGCTGGCCCGAAGCAGGGTCTGCTTGATGAGCTGTCCCTATCATCAGCAGCAGCCTGCCTACCATTCCGCCTTGCTGCTTCACCACCTCCACCGCATTCCACACACCTTCTCCGCCGCCGCCCTTGCGTCCCGCCGCGCCCACACACATAGCACCCCCGCCCGCTGAATGCCACGCCCAGCGTCTCCTTCGATGCCCTCCGCCGGCGCGCTGCACTCCAACCCTCGCCCTCTGGCCAGCCCAGGCGGTGATTCTGCTTCACATTCGACTTGAGAGATTACACTTTCTGCCGCGAGAGGGATCAGCCCTGCTCACGAGCCTCCTTTGCACGCACCCGGCTGCTTGTCAACGAGCATCTCGCCTCTCCCTGGCAGCAGGTGCCTGGCCCTGATTGAAAGCCTCCGCGCTCCGTTCGCTTGCCTGCCAGCGCCAGCCAGCCTGACTGCTTGTCTGTACAGTTTATACAGCACATGCACCACCGCACTACAGTCCCGCCAGCAACAGCGTACAGTCGCCCGTCGCACCCTCCTCAGCCCCAGTCTGCGCTGGCCTCTGCTCTGTTCGTTCGTCCTCTGCCCGCCGCCTGGCTGCCTTGTGTCATGCTGACAGGCCTCAAGTACTCCTCCTCTGGTCCCACCGCCCGCGCCGTCATCGCCTCCTCATTCGCAGCCTACTTGTAGACTAACCCTCTGCCGCCGATTTACACGACTTCGACCTATACAGTAATCTTCCTTCGAATACATACCTCTTTGTATAATGTCTCATGGTGCAACGACCACCGCTCAAAAGATGGCTTTTACCAATACTGTACGTGATGATATATCGATGCGCAATGTTGGCAATGTAGACGGCGAGGCTGACCAGTGTGGATAGTCACGATCGTTTAATCCCATGTCCTCCACCAACGTCTCCGACAACAAGACCATGAACGGGTCTCTAAGCACCACTTTCGCGGGCAAGAGCAACGCATGGGGTTCTAGCAGTATCTGGAGCGGTGGAATAACAAGCGCGTTGACACCGACGACCAGTGCACGGGAAAACTCCATGTCTCGTGACATGGCGTCCCTACCTCCTTCGACTGTTCCAGAGGAGATCGAAGGCAAGACTGGCTCTGGTTCTCTCGTCGACTCATCAGTCTCCGAAGGTACTTCATGGGCTACGAAGCGCAATGGTATCCCTGGACGTGGCATGTCAAACAATCGCTACGTGGAGAACACGCTCCCACAGCAGAGAAGCATCAGCAATGCTGGACTTCAACATAATCTCTTAGACTCCAATCACAGCCTCTCAACCTTCACCACACGACCACCTACCATCAACTTGAACGCTTCCTCTTCAACACAACCACGACACAACACGAGCTCGGCATTTTCCGGCAGTCTATCTGGACGTTCCAGCGAACAGCCGCCTTTTAACGTTTACACGAAGTTTGACCGACCCAGCGACCCTATGCAGAGGAAACCCGACTCCGCAATTGGCTCGTGGGCAGATTCTGCCACCACACCTTCTCCTAGTGATGAGCGACGGCCCCAATTCCCTTTCCAACTCAGCCGCACAGCTAGCATGCCGACTTCGCGAGATGGCAGTCTTCCGCCGTCTCGACATACTGATGAAATGCCCATGTTCACGCGACCAGACTATTCGCGACCATCGCATCAACCAACACCGAACAGCTCACGTGCACCTTCAATCTCGTCTTCGAGGAACGGCTACTATCTCAACGGCAATGCCGATCAGATGGCATCGCAGTTTGGACAACTTGCTCTCAACGGCGACAGTCGACCAAACACTTCTTACAGGCCAGCTTCGTTCAAGAATGGCTATTCTGGATCGATAGCATCATCGACAGGCCGGTCAAATATGCCGACGCCTCAACTTTCGATTGATCGGTCTGATGAGGTGGAGGAAAGCGATCGCGCGAACATGAATTATCTAGGACTTGACGACTTCCCCCCAACGCAGCCTTCCAATACTTACTCTGGGTACTCTGGCCCATCTTTCGCCGAACGTTACTTACAATCAGGCAACACTTATGAGTTCAGACCAGGTCAGCCTTACATGGGCAGCAATGGTCGTCCATACGAAGGCTCAGGCAATCCGAAAACATCCGAATGGCAAAATTATGCGAATGGACCGCTTGCCATGAATCGGCGTTCACCGGGTGTGCCAGACCAGCAAGCATACCTTGACCCCCAATTCCAGCAACTCATGGCTGCCCAATTGCGTGGCCCGTACGCGGCAATGTACAATCCATATGCGATCCCGAACGCAATACCATTTAATGGCGCGTCACCATACATGAGTCTGGTGCCGATGGGCGTTCACGGCGTGGACCTTGCGCAAGCTGCTCGAGATGCACCTGTTGGAGACGGTGTGCAGAGCGCGTTGATGTACGAATTCAAGTCGCAAACGAAGCAAAAGCGCTATGAGTTGAGAGACATCTACGACCACATCGCCGAATTTAGTGGGGATCAGCATGGCTCGCGGTTCATCCAAACCAAACTCGAAACCGCCAACTCGGATGAAAAGGAGCGAGTGTTTCGAGAAATCGAACCAAACGCCATCCCGTTGATGACCGATGTTTTCGGCAACTATGTCATTCAGAAATTCTTTGAGCATGGCGACCAGACTCACAAGAAGATCCTCGCGAACAAAATGAGAGGGCAGGTGCTCTCGCTGAGTCTGCAGATGTACGGCTGTCGAGTTGTGCAGAAAGCGCTTGATCATGTCCTCGTTGACCAGCAAGCATTGTTGATTGGTGAGCTTGAGGGACACGTATTGAAGTGTGTCAAGGACCAAAACGGCAACCATGTCATCCAGAAGGCGATCGAGCGCTGCCCATCGACCAACATTGGCTTCATCATTGCTGCTTTCCAGGGTCAGGTGCAGTCTCTCAGCATTCACCCGTACGGCTGTCGCGTCATTCAACGCTGCCTGGAGAAATGCGATCTCCCATCAAAGGCAATGATCATGTCTGAGTTGATGGAAGGCTTGCAGACTATGATCTCAGATCAATTCGGCAACTACGTCGTCCAGCATATCGTTTCTCACGACGATGGCAAGCCAAAGCGCCGAGTGTTGGGCATCGTTGGCCGTGGGCTTGAAGGTTACAGCAAGCACAAGTTTGCCAGCAACGTCGTGGAAAAGTGTTTGGAGAAGGCCGACAACGACTGGCGTCGAGAAGTCCTCATCACGCTCAGACAAGCTAACCAACGAAGGACGGAAGGCGAAGGTGTGCTCATCGGTTTGATCAAGGACAACTTTGGCAACTATGTGATTCGTAAGTGCTTGATCATGCCGATGATCTGCTAGTCAAATGCTAACGCGTGATGCAGAAAAACTTCTCGACACTCTTGCCCCCGACGACTACTTCTTCTTCGTGGATTTACTTCAGCCCGCCATGGTGCAGACAAAACGCAATGGATGCGGCAAACAGGTTCTCTCGATTGACAAGAAGATGCATCGCTTCGATTCTTACCGTACCGGCGGCGCTCCAATTGGCACAACCCCTTTCAACCGCAACGGCTTTCAGCTGCAGATGCCGACACCGCCGTTCGCGAGCAATTACACTTCTGCTGCGACCACGCCGCCTCCACTCACGGCCGACACCCAAAGCTTGCAGAGCTCTGGTATCCCTAGCGTCAATGGCGATACCGTCGAGGGAGCGACGCTCATGAGCAGGAAAGGCAGTGAGCCATCACCGGACACTGCCATTCAGCGGTGACTAACCGCCGGCGTACATGGATGATACACTTCAACGGCGCACGATCAAGAATACAGCGGCATACATGAGACGAGACAGGCTTGCATAGCGATATTTGGACTGAAGAGCGGATGGACTTCACCACCGCACGCATGCCATTGATCCGGCGTACACAAGAGGCCATGTCAACTGATAACAACAATAACGGAACTACAGGGAAAGCATACGGATACAATATTATCATTCTCGGCTTTGTGTTAACCGCAAATGGGATCTTTCAAGGGAAGAAGGGAAGGGGGGTTTGCAATCTGCTTCAACTTGTATGAATTTCACGACCCCTATGATTACAAAAGAATTTTGCTTTAAGGAGTTTGTGGTTGGATGGATGGGGTAGTACAGGGAATGGGAATGGGGTCGGGGCTTTTTATCATGCAAGGTGTCTTTTGGTTGGGAGATCTCGGGAATGTGTATGAGAATGGGTGTTTTTTAATGGTTTGGAATGAGACCGGGAAACATGGGAATATGGGATATGGGTATACGGGAGTATGGATATGGGTACGGGGTATATGAGCATGAAAGGATAATGATACCCAATAGCTGTTTTTGAGAAAGACTTTGTATGTATGGTATGGTATGCTGATGTATGTTGTTATGAGGAAATCTAAATGGGATTTGAATGCGCTTTGATATAACAGTGTCCATGTCAGCCACAGTTTCGGCATGTGGCTCTTTGCTGCAATGTGTTGAGGAGAGTCAGACTTCCGTGAGGCTTGAGGTCACGCTCTGCTCGAGGACGATCTCGCCCTACGAATTCTTCTTCGACCTTCTTTGTAGGACTACTCGCCATGACTTTCCTGTTGAGCCATCATCGGACAAGTTGTTCGGGCAGGCCGCTTGTGTCGAGGGTTATGTCGGCGGGGATTATTTTGTATGGGTTGGTGGGGAGCAGGGGGCGTTTCTGTGAGGTGGTTAGTGTTGGCGTGGTGAGATGGGGTGTGAGGGTTCCGGCGGGCGTGGTTTGACATGTTCTTTGTGGATGTTGAGGGTTGGAAAGTCAAGGTTGTTGTTGAGGGTGAGGGAATGTCGAGGAAGCAGATGATCCAAGTGAGCGTAGAGGAATAGGAAAGAGAAGATGGAACCTTGGAACGAAGAGGAAGGTGTAGACACATGGTCGTTCGAATTGGTCCTTCCACCATCCTTGCCACTTCTCGGTGTACGGCGAGGACCTTAGAATAGTCCAACGGTCCTCTGTGAGTGCGTGATGAACTGCACGACTCGAGTCTCGCCTTCTCAGTTTGCCTGATGACGCTGCAGGCGCGATGTCGTGAGGCATAGCAAGCCCATTAAAGCGCCTGCAATCGACTCCGAGTCCGGACCACGCAGGAAGACGGTCTTGGTTCGCAGGAAGTAGTGTTCATTGGGTTGTTGGTACACGACCTCTGCGTGGAAGACGTTCTTGTCACCAACAGTAGTGACGATGAACTCCTCGCGGCCGACCAGCTCATAGTGCCCGGGGTTGAGCTTGCCGTCGAGAGGGTACAGCACCTTTACGTTGTCTAGGTATGGACTTGTCGGCGTCTCATGAGAATTTCGACGAGTCATTGGGCCAATACTTACCAAGAATCTGCTCCCGCATGCCACCAATGCCTGCCATCTCTTCCGCCTTCTTGCACTCGGCTTTGGCAGTCTCTCTCTTCTCCACGCTGGCTAGGTGATCTTTGACAAGAGCTGTGATTTGGTCGCCCAGGGTGGACAGTTCGTGCGGGGGTTGAGAGGCCATCTTGCCTCCTCTACTCTGCTGTCTTCTGGGGCCATTAGGCTCGACATGATGACTCAGTGGGAGAAAAACTTACCAGAGTGTGATAGCCGCCGTTCTGTGAACACCGTCTGTTGTTAGATGAAGAGGCAGCAGTTTCGAATTTCAAGAACAAACGGCGAAGCAAGCAAACGTGCACAGACCTTAAATTAAGCGAGCTGCATGTGAAAGTGAGACTTGGCACGAGAAGATGGGGGACTGCAGCAAATGCCAGTGGCAAAGGTTCTGGATTCGCCTACCAAGAGAATGCTGCTGCAATTGCCCCGCCAGATCGCATGTCAGAGACCAGAGGTTCGTGCATCCTACCTCTTGTAATGCCAAGCGCCATTCGGCCCAGCAACAGTATACTGGTTTGACGGATTATCCATGTAACCCCAATTGCCCGACAAGATCTTCTCGGTGTAGTGCAGAAGCGCTTCGAGTGCCTTTCTGGTCGACGAAGCTGTTGGGCCTTTGATAAACACTTCCTTTCGGATGGTGTCATTGCCCGGCGGAAGGTTCAAGGCACCGCCCTGAGGTTGGAGAACAGCAGCTTGGATGGCGTTGCCTGTGCCACAAGTGGTGACAAAGAAGTCCGTGATCTGGACGTATGGGGGTGGCAGTTCTGCAGCGCTTATGGCGAGAATGGGATAGAGTACCGTTGAGTTGGCTGCGAGAGTAATGTCAGATTTGTGACATGAATGATGGTCGCTCTGAGACGTACCTATGATCTGTGCGCGCAGCCCGGCTATGTCTTGGGGGGAGTCAGCTTGTTGCAATGCGTTGACAATCTGCTGCTTGGCAGCATTGAGGGAGGCACTAAATCGATCGAAGGTGTCCGCGAGGACCTGGCCTGCGTCGCGGACACGTACCGCCGAAGGGTCTGCATGCCCACGTCCTAGTCCTCGTCCCCGGTCATACATTGTGCGTTCTGGGTGGCACCGATCTGATCACTGACTTGTAGTTGGGAAGTGAAGTCGGCTATGAAAAATATATTGAGAGTGGCATTGTTGCAAGTTCGTTTGCTGCCATCTTCGAGAATGTGGTGAGGAAGAACATTCCACAGAGGACGAGAGCTTGAATCGCAAGCGTCCTTCTGGAAATCACTGAACTGGTCCTGAACGGAGGTTCGAACCATGTAATTGCATACGATCAAAGCGCCACTTGCCATAGCAGGTGCTGCCAGTTTCTACCTTCTGTTTCTGCTCAAAGAGAAATGTAAGAACTGGCGTCTCTCCGCGTCTGGAAAAGACCAAGCCCACGATCAGACCTGGAGTTGCCTAGACAGCCTCTGAGTGATGGAGATGGATCTCTCACTTTGAACGAGACTCCCATGGTAAAGACAAAAGAAATCCACGGGTTCCGGCATGTACGGACGGTTTCGAAAAATAGCGGTCGGGCCGAATGGTGAAGTGAATCTGCTCCCATTTCAAGTAGAGAAAGAATTTGTGGCATGCCCGGATGATTTCGGCCTCGCCTTCACGGCCTTGTGACACAGCGAGCATGCTTGATAGTGCGATGATATGTAAAAGTTGTGGAAAAGAAGAAGAGGTGAGGTCCCGTCGGACGGGTGGAAAGCACGGATGACCGCCGGCTACGCTTCATGCACATTGAATGCTTGGCTCTCAAAGGTCCTCGGGACGACAGCTACAGCTTCTTCTAGCCACCTGCACACTTTCTTGTTTTCCGGAATTCATTCTTCTCGCCCTTCCTCTCCCTCTTCCTCCTCAAGCTGGTGCCTCGCGATCATCCGGCACCTAGCTCTGCGACCACGCCGCAATCATGTCCGAACAAGTCGAGACGCTCAAGGCCACCGTAGCCAAGCTGGAGCAGAAGATTGAGGACCTCGAAGCGCGGTTACAGGGCAAATCTTCGTCGGATAGCAGCGACAGCATGCGCATGATCCTGATCGGTCCACCTGGTGCTGGTAAGTGCGTTGATGGAGTCACGCGATCCCAATGCGCCGAGAGCGAGGACCGAATGGCTGACCACCCACCTCTTATCCAGGCAAGGGAACACAGGCCCCGAAGATCAAGGAAAAGTATGGCTGCTGTCATTTGGCCACCGGCGACATGCTGCGCGCTCAAGTCGCCGCGAAGACCGAGCTCGGAAAGCAGGCCAAGAAGATCATGGATGAGGGCAAGCTTGTGTCGGACGAGATCATGATTGGCATGATCAAGAGCGAGCTGGATACCAACAAGGAGTGCCAGCACGGGTATGTCGGACAACTGGCGCAGGCCAATGGCTAGAGACAATACGGATGCAATGGGCATAGGCTAACATTGGGCACAGCTTCATCCTTGATGGCTTCCCACGAACTGTCCCACAAGCCGAGAAGCTGGACGAGATGCTCGACGCCAAGCGACAGCAACTTAAACACGCCATCGAGCTTCAAATCGACGACAGCCTTCTCGTGGCTCGTATCACCGGCCGTCTGGTCCACCCCGCGTCTGGCCGCTCATACCACAAGGTTTTCAACCCACCTAAGAAGGCGATGACCGACGATGTGACTGGCGAGCCATTGATCCAGCGATCAGACGACAACGAGGAGGCTCTCAAGAAGCGACTAGGAACATACCACGCACAGACCGCCCCTGTCACCGACTACTACCGCAAGACTGGTATCTGGCGGAAGGTGGACGCCAGCAAGGAGCCAGGTGATGTCTGGAAGAGCCTCCTCACGATCTTCAATGAGAGCGACAAGGGCTCGAGCGGAGGTCTGTTGGGCAAGCTGGGACTCAAGTCCTAGGAGGCTCTTGCTCTTATCACGTGTCTGTGATTCCTGTTGGACCTCGCGGAGTTTGAGCTGCATGGGTTTGGATGGGGACGACAGATTACGTCTCTGCTTTAGCTGCCCTACGGCGCCGGCGGCTGGGGTGAGTAGTGTGCATAAAAGCCGTGACATGTAGCATACGGGCTGTCTTGTACTAGTGGTCCTAATATGAAGAGATTCAAGCCTAGAAACCCCTATCTAGATTTGGCGATTTGCTCTCAAGAGCGTGCCTTCCCCAAAGAATCCGTGCTAACGATCCAGGTGGAAAGGGCGAAAAAGAAGGCGCTCACCCAGAAGGACATCACGACAACCGCACTGGCCGACACTCCTACCTGACTGCCGCTACACCAAGACCAATGTCCACACCAAAGACAAAGAGGAAGAAGCACTACGGCATCGACCTGAATAGATACCTGGGCGTCGAATTTCCAACAGAGCGAATACAAACAACGGTAAGCACTGAAAATGCCCCAGCCGTGACTGCCTCTTTCGACAGGCTGATTGTGAATACACAGCACGAGCGACAGCGTTCACGAAAGCGCAGCAGCTTCGGCTTCCGAGATTCGCTGGTGAGTGAATGAATGCGTCGCGTGTTCACAGCCGCCTAATGCCTTGCAACAGTCCATCATGGCGAACATGACAGTTAAACCCTCCAGCAGCCTCCATCGCTGGAACAGCAAATCCACCACTGCACAGACCACCACGATGATGCCGTTTGTCGACCGCACCAACACGCAGCGCACCCAGCGCTCCACCACCACTGCTGCCACGGCAACTTCGTCCTTCCTCCCTGAGCTCAACAGCACGCCACCGATGCCGACCTTTCAGAAGCCAGATATGGCTACGCCGACTCCGGTGCGCAAGGTCAAGGACGGCGGTGATGATGAGAACGCTACTCCAACTCGCGGTATGGTGATCTACTTTTAACTGACAGCAGCAGTACTAACATATGCTTCTCCTCGCAGGCGGCTACATCCCACGCCGACCACTCGACTGTGTAGAGCTCTCCACCATCTCTAACCCAGTCGGCCTCATCAAGGACACCACCGCTAACACCTCTCCCATGCAACAGCCCTCCACCACCAACACCCGCGCACCGATGTCCCTCCGTTTCAAGTCCAAAGCCGCCGCCACCACGGCGCTCAAGGACCGCATCGGCGATACGCCACCCCTCCCAGCGGCCTGGACCCACCGCCACGATAAAGCCCTCTGCGTCCTCGACGCTCGTCTGTACAGCACCGAAGCCATGGTCATCAAGATGAAGCGCACGTACCCGGAGCTCCAAGGTGTCCTCATGGCCTCGATGTTCGAGAAGCGACTCCGCCAGCTAGATCAGGACATCGAGGTCAGCTATTGGCGAGAGGCGATCGAAGCGATGGATCAGGAGAGGGAGGTCCGCCCGCCGGGTTTGCCTGCGGGAATCCAGTCTGCGTTGAGTACCAACACGGTGAATCTGGCTGGAGGAGCGTCGGAGACGATGTCGTCGCGTGTAAGCACCCTCTCTTCCTTTGCGGAAGTTGATTTTTGATTGCTGATTTCTCCCTTAGACCCCTCAATAGGACGGAGGAAGTTCGCCGTCAATGTCGACGATGGCGCGTTCTCAGTCTACCGGGAACCTCGATGATGCTGCTACCTTGAACGGACGCGCGAGCACCGCGACTTCGAGACCGACTGTGGTTACGAGCGGGTTCTTGACCGGCTATAGATCGCATATTCCGTGAAGCGCATCTTCTTGTAAGTTCGGATCGAGGGACATAAGCGGCAGGGGATGAGATGGAAAGGCAGTCCATTGTCGTGGAGAATCACGAAGAAGATTTCGAGGGCGCAAGGTAGCATGTCTACCGTTGGGCGTTGAGGCCCACGCACTCTTGGTCTTTAGGTAGACTTCAGAGAATCGTAAATCATTGCACATCAATCGTTGCATTTCATTCACATGGCTTCCCTTCCTCTGCTATCGGCCTTGCTCTGCTATCGGAATGTCGCGGCAGCAACGTTATAAAGGCTCTCGAGGAAATCTCTACCATCTTTCGACTTCACTCGAAAACCATGAAGACACAACCATTGCTACGGCCAAGCTCATGTTCACGGAGAAGAGCTGGCAACTAGCATACCGCTTTCTCTACTGAAACCCCGCCGCAGTCGCCTTCTCCCGATACTCCTCAAACGTCTTCGCCGCCCCGCCCTGACTATTATTCCTCGCCCTCGCCTCAAACTCACTCTCATCAGGATTCTCCGCCCTCTTCCTCTCCTCCCACGCCTCCTCCTCTGCGGCAATCATCCCATGGAACCGACTCTGCTGACCCCGCGGGAAATACACCGCGCCGGCCTTCCTGCTCGCGACGTCCTCGCTGATGAGGACGTATTTGATGCCGGAGCCGGGCGTTTCGTACATGGCGTCGGCGAGGAGGCGTTCCATGACGGTGCGGAGGCCGCGGGCGCCGGTGCCCATTTTGGAGGCTGTGCGGGCGATGGCGTGCAGGGCGGGCGTGGTGAAGCGGAGGTCGATGCTGGAGAGGGAGAAGAGTTGTTGGTATTGCTTTAGGAGGCTGTTGCGGGGTTCGGTGAGGACTTTGACGAGGGCGTCGATGTCGAGGGAGGAGAGGGCGCAGGAGAGGGGGATGCGGCCGACGAGTTCGGGGATGAGGCCGTATTTTTGGAGGTCTTGGGGTTCGACCAGGTCGAGGGTGTTGTACATTCGTTTTGGTGGGGGTCTGGATGGGTCGGGTGTTGGTGAAGGTGGGGCGTAGTAGGGGAGGTGTTTTTCGAAGAGATCGTCTTCGCCTTCGAGGATTGTTTCGTGTTGTTGGCCGCTGGAGTCTGAGCCTGGCGCTGCGCGGACGGTTGCGCCGAAGCCGATGCTGCCTTTGCTTATTCGGTCGAGGATCATTTTGTGTAGACCGTTGAACGCGCCTGCGCAGATGAAGAGGATGTTGTCCGTCTTGACGTTGTAGACCTCGCCTTTCTGAGCACCTGAAGACGGTTGACCCATGTTACCGCCTGAGAGGGGGCTGTTCGTTGGGTAGCCTGCGTTTTGTCCCCGATTACGATCTGTGCCAGCACCACTGCCTCGCTCTTGTTTGGCTTGGATCTGTAACGTCGTTCCTTCGATGATTTTCAACAGAGCTTGTTGTACGCCCTCGCCGCTGACGTCCTTCCCGTGCGAGACCTTGGCTGTAGCAATCTTGTCTATCTCATCCAGACAGATGATACCACGCTCGGCTCGTGTCACATCATAGTTTGCTGCTGCCAGCAACCGCTGCACACATACTTCAGCATCCTCGCCAATGTATCCAGCCTGAGTGAAGGGTGTGCAGTCGGACATGCTGAATGGTACCTCAAGCACTCTAGCCAATGTCCTTGCCATCAACGTCTTTCCAACTCCTGACGGACCCAGTAATAACACATTGCTCTTTTCTATCGTCAAAGGACTAGGATCATGCAAGGGTGATGAAGGCGGCCCTGGACCATTCGGCTCCCAAGTTCTTTGCTGCTGTTGGCCTGAACTGGGCGGTCCAAGATTGATAGTTTGTTGCTGGCCAGGAAATTCATCTTCACCATGCCAATCTCTCGTCAGCGAAGGCACAGCAATCCCTCTCTTGAGCTCTCCTTCCCTACCTTCTACAGGATGCCGAGGGTGTTGTGACATCCGCCTTCGCTCCTCCTGCGCCAGCAACTCCTCCTCCTCTTCATCTCGTCTCTGCAGCTCTTGTATCCGCTGGTAGTGGTTGTAGACTGCCGTTGCAAGGGTCTTCTTAGCACGCTCCTGGCCGACGACGAATTGGTCGAGGTGCTGCTTGAGGATCGAGGGGGTTATGCGTGGCGCTCCAATGTTGGATGCATCTCGTAATGGACCTTCGGTTGGCTGCCCGGGCTCATATATGCCGGTATACGGCTGATTATTGAAGTCTGATCGGGAGTAGGCGCCTGAATCGGATCGATGTGCAGATGCGCTGAAGTGCCGTCGTACGATGGCTGATATGCCCAGGTATGTCAGCCTGGCTTGGGGTGTGAACGACGATGCTGTCAATGGAGCCATGGTTGGCGGCGCTCTACCAACTTGCTGCCCATGGATTCAATGTTGCAAAGCAGGGAAAGGACGTTTCGAATGTAAGCTTTACAGCCACGTGACAGAGTGATGAAGTGAATGATTCGGACAGCTCATGCTTCTAACCACGCCATACCTCCAGTCGATCCCCGCGCTCGTTGACCATAGCTCCACCGCCAACTCCGCCCCTAGCGGCATCCAGCAGGTTGTGATATTGAATCGCGCCGAAACGAGAATGCTGCTGCGGATGGCGACAGACACAGGACACGCCCTCCTCAACGGGCCACCATCACCATCACGACTGCCTTTTCAACCAACATTCGCCTCACCGGAAATGGGTTTTCAGAGCGTAGCAATGGTTGAGGTGTGGTCTGATTGGTGGGATGCGCGATGACGCCCGCGCTCCCCAGCAGTTTTGGCTGAGCTCTCCCCAAGTTCCATGAGCCCTGCAGCGAGCCGACGTCCATGGATTCATTGAGAGCAGGCACGCACCCCGCCAACTAACCTCCCTCTCTTAGGTGGTAAATATTAAGTACATGATCGAGGTTTCTCCTTCGACTGCTTCCTCACTTTTCTCCCATTGTGGCTCTACTTTTCCACTGACCCTTCCTTGAATCAACCATCTCGACCAGCCAGATCCGTCCACCATGGACAAACTCAACGAGGCCTCCGCCGACAGCGTCATGGCCAAGCCTGCCAGCGACCAGGTCCGCAATGATGGCACTGGTGAGTAAAGCCGAACGAACTGCTCTCATCAACAGCTGACAATCTTCTAGGCGTCGTCGCCCTCGACCCATGGCTCGAGCCATACTCAGCAGCCCTTCGATCCCGTTTCAGCAAAGCCCAGAACTGGCTCAAGACCATTGACAAGACAGAAGGCGGCATAGAGAAGTTCTCTCGCGGCTATGAGAAGTTCGGCTTCAATGTCTCGCCGGACAACACCATCGTCTACCGCGAATGGGCGCCGTTCGCTCTGCGTGCCTACCTCATCGGCGACTTCAATGGCTGGAACAGAGACAGTCACGAGATGCACCGCGATCCTTACGGCGTGTGGGAAATCAGTCTGCCGCCGAACAATGGCCAGCCTGCAATTCCCCACGACAGCAAGGTCAAGATTAGCTTGGTGGTGCCCAACGATCAGGCAAGACAAGAGAGGATACCAGCCTGGATAAAGCGTGTGACACAAGATCTTTCCGTTTCGCCCGTCTATGACGCGCGATTCTGGAATCCTCCACACAAATACCAGTTCAAGAACCAACGTCCGCCGAAGCCGCAGAGCGCCAGAATCTATGAAGCTCATGTCGGCATCTCAAGCCCAGAGCCAAAGGTTGCCACGTACAAAGAGTTCACCCAAAACACGCTGCCTCGCATTCGAGACCTTGGCTACAATACCATTCAACTCATGGCCATCATGGAGCACGCCTACTACGCTTCCTTCGGATACCAGATCAACTCCTTCTTCGCCGCATCATCACGCTACGGCTTCCCAGACGACTTGAAAGAGCTGATTGACACCGCACACGGCATGGGTATTACCGTGCTATTGGACGTTGTACACTCACACGCCAGCAAGAACGTCTTGGACGGGCTGAACATGTTCGACAACAGTGACCACCTCTACTTCCACGAAGGAGCACGCGGACGGCACGAGCTGTGGGACAGTCGGCTCTTCAACTACGGGCACCACGAAGTTCTGCGCTTCCTGTTGTCCAATCTTCGATTCTGGATGGAAGAGTACGAATTCGATGGCTTCCGTTTCGACGGCGTCACGAGCATGCTGTACACGCATCACGGAATCGGCACTGGCTTTTCTGGAGGCTACCACGAGTACTTTGGGCCAAGCGTCGACGAAGATGGAGTCGTGTACCTGATGCTCGCTAACGAAATGCTGCACAACCTCTACCCCAGTTCTATCACCATTGCGGAAGACGTCAGTGGCATGCCGGCGCTGTGCATCAAGCTCAGCCTGGGCGGAATAGGATTCGACTACAGGCTGGCGATGGCAGTGCCAGATCTGTACATTAAGTGGCTGAAAGAGAAGCAGGACATCGACTGGGATATGGGTGCCCTCTGCTTCACTTTGACCAACAGACGTCATGGCGAGAAGACGATTGCATACGCAGAGAGTCATGACCAAGCCTTGGTCGGTGACAAGACGCTTCTGTTCTGGCTCTGTGACGCTGAGATGTACACCAACATGTCGACGCTCTCCGAATTCACACCCGTGATCGAGCGGGGTATGGCTTTGCACAAGATGATTCGACTCATTACGCACAGCCTTGGTGGTGAAGCGTACCTCAATTTCGAAGGCAATGAGTTTGGCCATCCAGAATGGTTGGACTTCCCGCGCGAGGGCAACAACAACAGCTTCCACTATGCTCGCCGACAGTTCAACCTTGTGGAAGACAACCTCCTACGATACCGGTTCCTGAACGAGTTCGACAAGGGCATGCAGTGGACGGAAGAGAAGTATGGCTGGCTGCACTCACCTCAAGCATACATCAGCTTGAAGCATGAGGGCGACAAGGTGATTGTGTTCGAGCGGGCTGGTCTGTTGTGGATCTTCAATTTCCACCCTTCGACCTCGTTCACAGACTACCGGGTTGGTGTCGAGGCAGCTGGTACCTACAGAGTTGTACTCAACACCGATGATTCGGCGTTTGGCGGTCTTGGACGGATACAGAATGAGACGCGTTTCTTCACGACCGACTTCGCGTGGAACGACCGCAAGAACTTCTTGCAAGTGTACATTCCAACGAGGACCGCGATGGTAAGTTTTCGATCTCCTGCGCATATGAATGGATGCTGACTGTGCAATAGGTACTCGCCCTCGAGGAGACTCTCGATCCCAACTGGAAGAGCCAAGTATCGCTGGGCTATTAGCATTAGTCCCGTGATGATCGCGTGAGGGCCTATCTCTCGGCATTTGTGTTTGATTGCGCGAAACCCGCATTGGCATGATCAGATATGAGCAGAAAGCAGGCTTGCGCCATCGGCGAAGCCTGGATGTAAAACAGTATAGATTCGATGGCAAAGGCCATACAGAAAAGTAATGGAGCATACCATGCCGCAGGAATTTCGCGACGTAGGTATGGTTTTGTTGCCTTAAACATCTCCTCGCCCCAAATGTCGATAGTACAGACGGCCTATTTGCTATCTCGATTCGTCAGGCCTCGCCGAAGAGGGGCAGGTTATCGCGAGGCCCCGCTGCTGGCCGTGATAAATGTTTTACGTTTGACAGGATGCATGACCAAGCAATCCTTACTCCGCAAGGTCCTGAAAGGCGCATCTACTTCAGTTCGCGTCGAAGAGTAGGCATTTGCGAAATACCGTGCGAAGGGCGAGGGGTTGTAGATCGCGCGTAGACAGGCAGTATACGGCAACAAAGTGAGGGACCGCTGCATGCGCCGTCTTCCGACCCTGCCCTTCACTCACTCGGCAAACCCAGGCCAACCCAATACAGCATGCAGTGCCGACACCTACAATAGCTCCAGGTTTCCCACCTCTCGAAAGGCGTCGACTCTACATGCCGCCGTGACGACGTATAAAACTCGTCCCCTCCCCGTAATACGACCGCTCTCCACTCCTCTCACTCCCTTCTTCACTCTGAGCAAAAATGGCGTCGTTCATGAGGACTGCTGCACGACTGCAGCCAGCTCTCCGCTCGTCATTCCGCCAGACTTCCATACCCGCCGCACGACGAGCAATGGCTACTCAGAGCCCACCACGCAGTGCCAGCGCCGCCGCGGCTGCGAAGCCACACCTCGCGGACTCTGTCGAGCAACCATACTTCCCGGACGAGCCGACGGGCCCAATCATTAGAACAGAGATCCCGGGTCCCAAGTCGAAAGAGGCGATTGCAGAGCTCGACAAGGTGTTTGACACGAGGTCGCTGAACATGATGGCCAACTACCAGAACTCATTCGGCAACTACATTGCGGACTTGGACGGCAACGTTCTGCTCGACGTCTACGCTCAGATTGCTTCGATCCCGGTCGGATACAGCAACCCAAGCCTGCTTCTTGCCGCTACGAGCCCAGACATGGCTTCTGCTATAATCAACAGGCCAGCGTTGGGTAACTTCCCTCAACACGACTGGGCTCAGATCCTTGAGACTGGTATCCTCCGCGTCGCTCCAAAGGGCTGCGACCAGGTCTTCACTGCTCAAGCTGGCTCAGATGCCAACGAGCTTGCGTACAAGGCTGCGTTCATGTGGAAGCGTCGCCAGCAGCGTGGTGGTGCTGACATTGAGTTCACTGCTGAGGAGATTGAGTCGTCGATGAACAACCAATCTCCTGGCTCTCCAAACATGTCTATCCTCTCCTTCAAGACTGCTTTCCACGGCCGTCTCTTCGGATCTCTCTCGACGACCCGCTCTAAGCCAATCCACAAGCTTGACATCCCTGCCTTTGACTGGCCACAAGCTTCCTTCCCAGCTCTCAAGTACCCACTTGAGCAGCACGTCGAGGAGAACGCCCGCGAGGAGGCTCGTTGCCTCGCAGAGGTCGAGAAGCTTCTCACCACCTACCACAACCCACCTGCCGCAGTCATTGTCGAGCCAATCCAGTCTGAGGGTGGTGACAACCACGCCAGCCCAGCTTTCTTCAAAGGCCTCAGAGAAGTCACCAGAAAGCACGACGTGCTCTTGATCGTCGATGAGGTTCAGACTGGTGTTGGTGCCACTGGCAAGTTCTGGGCACACGAGCACTGGAACCTGCAAGACCCACCGGACATGGTTACCTTCTCCAAGAAGGCTCAGACTGCTGGTTACTACTTTGGCAACCCAGAGCTTAGGCCCAACAAGCCATACCGTCAATTCAACGTGAGTCAACTATAACATCTTCTAGATGAAAGCAAATGCTAACGATATAACGAGACCTGGATGGGTGACCCAGCCCGCGCCCTCCTCTTCCGCGCCATCATCAACGAAATCGCACGCCTCAACCTCGTCCACAACACCGCCGAGACTGGCGACTACCTCTACGCCGGCCTCGAGAGCCTCGCCCAGAAGTACCCCGGCGAGATCGAGAACCTCCGTGGCAAGGGCCAGGGAACCTTCATCGCCTGGGACTCACCCCGCCGCGACGAAATCCTCAAGAAGGGCAAGGGCGTCGGCATCAACATTGGTGGCTCTGGCGCCAGTGCGGTCCGATTGAGGCCCATGCTCATCTTCCAGAAGCGTCATGCGGATATCTTCCTCGAGGCGATGGAGAAGATTTTGAAGTCGTGATGGAAAGGAGAAGCTTCTTGAATGAGTTTTGAGATACCTCTACTGATGATGATGATGAAAATAAGTCTGCATTTGTGTGCTTTGGTGGAGCGATTCGACAGTTTCCTTTGACGCGCGGTATGAGGCGCGGAGGTTATATGTATGCTTGCATGGCGTTGATGGGAGGCGGTTTGGCTTTCGATGCAACAGATGATCACGTCTAATCAAATCGATCACTTTCAAATCATCATGTTCTTCCACTCTGCTCTTCTTACCTTACAAACTGGTCAGTGGCATTGTAATAGGATCCTTCGATGAGTTGTTCAATCGTCATCGGTGGCCTTTGCTAAGCTTTTCCAAGACGTGAAGAGTTGGCGCGCCGAGGATTAAGCATTTTGGGGGCAATCTTGCAATGCCATCTATCTACTACCCTCTCTGTACCTTTCTTCTTATCTTGCAAGCGCGAGAAAGAGACACACGAGAGAGAGCACTAACTCCTAGCCATATCTTTCCAGATTCATCTCTAACCAAGCCAATATCAACAACACTATTCGACTCCCCGTACGAGACTCGTTTAGTACTTGGAAACGGCATGTGTTCCGACAGCTTTGGGAGAGCCGGCACGATAACGTGCAAGATACCAATGAGGCAAGCGCGGCAGCAGTAAACAAGGAACACATGTGAGCACTGTTGAACGAAAACCACCGCGTCTCCCATGCGCGTGTCCTCCATCTCTCCCTCCCTCTCATTTTACCTTTGCCGTCATCCCTGTCAAACCGCTGCATCTCCGTGACTCGACGTCCGTCCCCGCCATTCAAGCAAGCAAGCTATGGTCGGCAAACGAGCCATCACCTTCGACGATCAACGCAAAGAAGAGAGGAACCGACGACCGTGGAGCAGCGGCGGTGCAGGGCGCTCAGATCTCGAAAGCGGGAATTATCAGGACGCGAATGGACACAGCGGACAGAATGGCAACGCGCGTCCCAGGCCGGACGTCTGGCGGTTCAAAGATGCAGCGAAGACGGCGCTGGAGGACAAGAGGCGGGAAGAGCTGAAGAAGACGTTACTGGAGGGCGTAGATCGGGAGCAATTGGAGAAGTTCCGCAAGTCGGAGGAGGAGCTGAAGGAGATTACGAATAAGGGTGTCAGGAGGTTTTATGAGGCGCAGAATCAGCGGTTGAATGATTGGTTGGAGGTGGATGCGATTGTCATGGCGATTGCGGACGATGTGCTCGAGAGCATGCAGCCTGATCCGGATAATGATGGGGATCATGAGAGGGGTGGGGGGATCCAAGCCGTGGCGGGGAATATTGGAGAACTGCTACCGGAGGATGAGAAGGCGAGACGAGCGAAGGAAGAGAAGAGGGCGAAGTGGGCCATCAACGTCAACGTGATCGCGAACGTCATCCTCCTCATCGGCAAAATCGTCGCGGCGTTCAGCACGGGCTCGCTCTCCCTCATCGCCTCCCTCGTCGACTCCGCCCTCGACCTCCTCTGCACGCTCATCGTCTGGACGACGAACAAACTCGTCCAATGGCGCCTCTCCGCCCTGCAGAAACGCTTCCCCGTCGGCCGGCGCCGCCTCGAACCCCTGGGGATCCTGGTCTTCAGCATCATCATGGTCATATCCTTCCTGCAGATCCTGCAGGAGTCCGTCGAGAAGCTCATGCCGTTGGAGGGCACGGCGGAGAAGTTGCCGGCGGTGGCGATTGGGGCCCTCGCGGCGACGGTGGGCGTGAAAGGGATTATTTGGTTTGGGTGTATCCCGATCAAGACGACGCAAGTGCAGGCGCTCGCGCAGGACTGCAAGACGGATGTCATTTTCAATACGTTGAGTCTGTTGTTTCCGTTGATCGGGTACTATGTCGATGCGTGGTGGTTGGATCCTGTGGGCGCTGGGTTGTTGTCGTTGTTCATCATCTATGACTGGTCAGTTTATTCCCAGGCGTCGAAGTATGACTCTGGCAATGCTAACAATGGTGGGATATACAGGGGCGAGACGTGCTTCGAGAACGTCACCCGTCTCTCCGGCCAAGCCGCCGACGACGCCCTCACGAAGAAACTAATGTACCTCGCCTACCGCTTCAGCCCGGTGGTCGAAGGTTTCAAAAGCGTCACAGCGTACCACGCAGGCGATGGAATCTGGGTCGAGTACGATGTTCTCCTACCCGCTGATACGAAGCTCTATCGATCGCACGATATAGCCGAGACGCTGCAGTACTGCGCGGAGGGCTTGAAGGTAAGTCATGTTGTATATTGAGGAGTGTGTGTGAGCTGTCATGGACGAGACTGATGGTTGTGTGTGTTTTACAGGAAGTCGACCGCGCCTTCGTCACGACAGACTACGATATTAGTGGGCCTACAGGACACGCTTCGGATGCTGAGGTTGCATAGTCGGCATGGCACATGTACAGAAGAAAGCATTGCCCATAGAGACCTCCTAGAGGAGTTGGTTGCATTGGGATTGAATTTGCATAGCGCTGTGAAAGGGAAATGGATGCATGAAGGCTTGTATAGGTGTTATTATTGCTACGAGAGATGGTAGATGAACCTAGAAAGGTACGTGGATACCAAGATTCACATGATATTGTAACAGGGGTCTTCCGCATGACGTAATTCTCGTACTTGTATTCGTATTGGTCCATCAGCAATGCCTTTGATAGGCGATTGGTGCGGAGGAGTTGGTGCGATTCCTTCCACGTCGAGTGGTGGGCAGCTCGAACGCAAATCCGAGCATATGCCCGAAGAAAGAAGGATACCTACGGATCTGTCTGAAGGATCCATCCTGAGAAAGGTATCTGTTCTCAACTTTCTCCGTACTCATATGTCCCCATCACCTCCCCCATCACCTCCCCCTTCGCATCCCTCATCACTTCACCTCCCCACCCCCTCACCCCCCCTCCAAAATGGCAACCCTCCAAACCCTCTTCCCCCCACACCTCACCACCCCCCGCCTAACCCTCCAACTCTACAACCGCTCCCCAGCCCACTACACGACCCTCCTCTCCGCCATGAACAGCCCCACCGCCCACACCCACATGGGCGACTTCGGCGTGCGGACGCCCGCCGAATTCGACGCCTTTAACGCCCGCGCGCGCACCCTCGACGCGAGGTTCCAGGACGGCGTCGCGGACGACGATTTGTACTACCTCATTCGTCTCGGGGTGGGGAATGCGGAGGGGGAGTTAGTCGGCGGCGTGAGCCTCTCGCAACGCCGCGCGAGAGACTCGCAGGGAGGGGAGATTGTTTTGCCGCCGGATGTGGGCTGGTGTTTGCTTGAGGGATATATGGGACGGGGGTACGCGACCGAGGCGGCGGGGGAGTTGATGCGGTTCGCGAGGGAGGTTGTGGGGTGGAGGGAGATGGTGGCGTTTGCGAGCGAGAGGAATCCGGCGAGTAATCGGG